GCGGATGCATGGTAATGACGGCCTTGTTTCTTGACGGCGGCCACGGCGGCACGGCGGCCACCCCACTGCTGCCCGTGAGTAATTCGAATACATATCGAGCCGGTCGGTCGTGCGTTTGTTGATTACACTTTCTCGCCGCGGCCCCGCCGCCCCGCCGCAGCCTTCTTTGCCTCTCGCTCCACGTCGCTGTTGTCTTTTGCATATGGAAAGGAAGCGGTGACCTGGAGGAGCAGGGGGGTTTCTCGGTCCTGAGAACTTTTTTCGACTCTGCATTAGGGTTTTCTTCGCGCTCAGAAGAAGTATCGACATTTGAAACATGTGCAGATTGCTCGGCCGGGCCGCGGGCCGGGCCATGACGCGCCAGGGACGCGTCGGGGATGCTGGCCGGCTGGAGGCCGCGCCGCGCCCGATCGGGACGGCGGTGAGAGGCGGCAGGCAGGCCACGGCGGCCACGGCGGCCACGGCACACGGCAGGCGGCCAATGTGGTCATTGTCCCGCGGTGACGTCACCGACGTCGTCTTCGTCGTCGGGCGGACGGACGTGGGCCCGCCTGGGTCGTTAAGGGTCATTGAGGGTGGAAATAGGCGCGCCGGGTTCGAGTCCCGGTGACGGCGGCGCTGTCGCCGCGGCCAGCAGGCTGACTTTCATCGCTCTGTCTCCCTCGCACTCTTGGGGCGGCCCGTAGAGGAGCGAGAGAGACAGAGAGGAGAGGGCACGTGGCGCAATCGGAGTAACCGAGGTGGCCGCGTGGCCGCCGTGGCCGCCGTCGCATTGATGCATGCATGTATGCACGCCGCCGCCTCGCCGCCACGCGCCTTGCGGGGCTTCCTGCGCGACCGCCACGCCCACCGCGCCCCGCCACGCCCCGCCACGCCCCGCCACGCCTCGCCGGTCCTCAAGGACGCCGACGACGCGGACGGAGGAAGCAGGGCGGAGCAAGAAGCAAGGTGCACGGGGCCCACGAGGCCCACGGGGCGCCCTTCCCTTCCGGCTGGCCGACTCCGCCTTGCCGCCTGCATGCAGTGCTCGATGCAGTGCGTGCTGCTGTCGGTGCCGGCTGCTGCGCCGCGCGGCGCCGCGCGCTGTTTGAACTGGCGGAAGTGACACGCTGCGGCAGGAAAGCGTGACGCGACGACGCGCTGCCGAGACAAGTCGGCGACACGGCCTGGGCGGGGCCAGCGGGCAGCGGGGACATTGTTCGCAGTCGGCATTGTTGCAGGCAGGGTGCTGGCCGGTGCTCGCAGTGCAGCAGCGCTGCCGGTGGCGTGGGCGGCTTAATGGCCCTTTGCGCGGGGCGCGCCAAGGCAGATTTAGAATAATGCTGCCGTCGGTGTAGAGCGGCCACCCTGCTGCGACGACGCGACCGCCGCCGCCGGGTGGACACCCTAGCTCGGCCGGCCGGCTTGCGGTGCGGTGCCGCGGTATGCCGCCGCCGGTGTTTCGATGCCGCGGCATGCTGCGGCCAGGGAAAGTCCACTGTATGTGTGTTGGTGCGCATGAGCCTGGCGGCCCGGCGGCCCGGTCAGGAAGGAAAGGGGAGGAGGCTGCAGGCCGCGGACACCACGCCGGGGACACCGGCCGGCCGGCCGAGCGGCGACGCGAGCTTTTCCTGTGTAGGAGCTGCACGTGTTGCCCGCGATTAAATATCGCCCTTCGCGCTCCGCCCTGCTTTGCCATGCTTCGCCCTTCCCGTCAATTAGTCGGCTTTCTAATCCTTGCTCGATTCCGGCCGCGCGGCTGCAGGCGGCAGGTGCTTATTAGCTCCCTCGCCACCTCGAGGCTCGACTCGACGCCTTGCGCGCCTTGCGCCTCGCTCGACACCCATGCCGCCCTCCTGGGCTGCCCTCGGCTGCCCTCGGCTGCCGTCGGCCCTCGCGTCGCGGCGAGAAAGACAGAGCGACGAAAACGACTCTCAGTCTGCAGGCCCTGCAAGCCGTGCCGCTATCGGTCTTCGACGCGCGCCACGGGGCGCCTCTTTTCCTCTCCGCGGCGCGTGCGTGTCGTCACGGGGGCGTCGCCGCGTCGCCGTCGTAAGGTAACGACGCGGCCCGGCGTTGGCTCCCCGCGCCCCGCGTCTCGCCTTGCGAAACGGTGCGCTCACTTCCGGCAGAACGAGCGGAGGGCGATGATGGCAGGGACTGCGACCCCACCCCCCACCCCTTCCCCCCGCCCGCCGGGCCCCTGCCACGGAGGCGGCCGACCCGCCCGTCGCACGGCGGAGCGCGGCGGGCTGGCCTACCCCGCCCCTGGCGGCCGCCTGCAGCGTGGGCCGACCCGGCGAACTCGCGCGCGCGGCGGGCCGGCCTGCCTCGCAGGCGCTCCGCCCGGCCAGGCCTCTCTCCTCTCGCCCACACGCTCGCGCGGCCGCCGCCAGATTGTTGTGTGGGGCATGGCCGGCATGGCACAGCACGCTGCCCCTCCACTCCACTCCACTCTACTCCACAACGTGTAATTGAGTTGTGGCAATAACATTGATGAAGTCGGCGATCCCAGCCGGGCGGCGCCGCCATTGGCCGTGCTCGGTCCATTTTCTAGTAATATGCGTGTGGAGCGCGCGGGCCGGCCTCAAGGCTGGCCAAGGGGGGGGGGGAGAGGCCCCAAAATGGCCGCACGCGTTGAGGCCCGCCGCTCCGGTTGTGTCACTGCAGTGCACCGCACACGCGGATCGGCGATGATAAGGTGGACCGCACGGAGCTTTCGTCGCGCTGTCTCTCTCGCACTCGTGTGGCGATCGCGGTCGGTGGCGGTGCGAGAGACGCAGTGCCGCTCGTCGAGCCGTCCGTCAGGCGGTGGTCCGGGCCGGCGACGCCAGGCGACGCCTAACATGGAGCCGGCCGGGTGGGCGCGCTCCGCCCCGCTCCGCTCTGCGACGCTGGTCCCCGATGCCATCTCGCTGCCGGGCCCCGGGACGGGACCACTCCCAGTGACGGCGTGGTGGCGCCTTCCGCGGCCCGCTGCGGAGTCAACACTCTGACGCACTCGCGCGACGAATCGGCGCGGAACGCTTTGCCGATGCCGGCTTCTGAACGGGCTGCGGCTAATCGTCCGCCGCTGCCGCCACCCTGGCTTCGTCGCCCTGTCTCTCTCGCACCCCTGCTGGACGGCCATGAGTGCGAGAGAGACAGAGCGACGAATGAGCATCCCGTTGCGGAATGCTGAGTGTGGTGGCGCTGCGTCGCGCAGGACTTTCCCTCTCGGCCGCGCTGCCGGGCTGTGCCTCTGTGTCTCACTGGCGCGCTGGCGGGGCGGGGCGGCCGGCTGCGGTTTCGGTGGGGCGCGCCGGTTCGTCGACATGTCGCGGCGGGGCGGGTGGGGTTGAAACGAAACGCGGATAAATGTTGCCGCCGTCGGTGCGCATTGCCTGGCATTGCCTGGCGTTGCCGCCGCCGTTGTTCGTCTGGAGCGCGACGTGAACGTGAAAGTCCTTCCCGGCCGGGACGTGTCCCATCGCGCCGCCGCCCAAACCACACGCACTAAACGGAGAGGCGGGCGCATTGCGCAATCCGATGTGGCGTCTCTCTCTCCCTCGCTCCGCGTGCGGGGGCGTTCCGCACGGGTGCGAGAGGGACAGGACTCTGCGGACTGCAGCGGCGGCAGCATCAGCCGGTTGCTGTCGACGACGCCAATCTTATTTTTCCCATGCCGCAAATTGCGGGCGCCGTCGCTGCTATTTGCGGACGGATGGGCGCCTCTTGTGCGGCGGGGCGGGGCGGGTCATCGATGGCATTGTGTTGGGAAACCCGAAACGCGGCGAGGACTCAAGGACGCGAGTCCGCGTGCGTCGCCGCGTCGCCCGGTGGGCCGCTGGGGCACTGTGCGCGGTGTGGTGTGACCGTGCTTTAATTGCCGTTATTCGTTTGTCGTCGTTTTCGTTTCTTTGGGCCGAGCAAGAAGTCGCCTGCGTGAAGAATTGGAGCGCAGGGAGCTGCAAATTGGTACACGGAGGCGCCAGGAAAACCGTTTAGACAATGGCGCCTCGCCGCTGCAGTCTGCTTTTAACGCCGAGCGGCTCCCTGGAGTCCCTGGAGTCCCTGGAGCCTGGGCCCGCCGCGGCCTATCGCGGCCATCTGGAGCGGGCGGAGCGCGGAGCGGCCCGGGCCGCCTTATGGAGTTTAAGGGACAGTCCGTGGGAAGTCAACTCGCCGGTGGGAACGTGACCGTTTGCCGCGGGGGAGGCGCCCCGCCCCGCCCCGCCCCGCCCCGCCCCGCCCCGCCCCGCCCCGGCGTGCCACGCCCCTGCGGCGACTGGGCGATGCGAGTGGTGAACGCTGGAGCGGCTTGGACGCTGGGCTAACGCGCGGCTTGTCTTGTTGCAGGTGAGGCCTGCGCGCGGAGGCGAGGCGCCGCCGTGGTGATGGAGGCCAGGAGGCCCGTGTTGTAAGCGCAACGGCTCCAGCCAGCCATTGCATGTTGCGGGTTTTGTTTTTTCGGGGGGTTTCTTGTCACATTTAAACGAAGGTGTTTTTTTTTGTCTTTTAAACTATCCTTTAGAAAAAAAAAGACAAACTATGTTCTTAAAATAAAGGTGCGACTCTCTTGTCGCCTCGTTGGCAGTCTCTGCTGGGCCAGCTGGGCCTTCAGGGTGGAGAGGGGCACGATGTTGGCCTTTAGGCGGAGTCCGCGCCAGTGTAGCGCGCACCGCGCCGAGCCAGGGTTGGCCGTCCCGTCCCATTCTCATCTCACAAATGGCCCTTCAGGCTGCCACGGTGGAAGACCGTGAGGTGGTGGCGTCAGCAAGTAATTTGCGACACATGTTGACCACTCTTTGTTTTAGTTTGACATGTTGCAATCTTGCGACGAGACTGGTGGAATCGGAGGCTCTTCCGCCTGGCAGTCCCGGACGCAGGACTGCCGCCGGGTCTGCCAGACCCATTTCTTTTCATGTACTCTTGAGACTAGACTGCTCTTTTGCACCTGAGGGTCTGAAGGGGGTAGAGGCGTTTTTGCAGGCAGTCGGCCGGGCTTTATCTCAGTGTGATTGGTGTGTTTGTCGTTGTAGTGTACACGCTGGGGAGTGGGGACCCAGCGACGCGTGCAGCGTCTTCCCCCCATGGTACGTACTGGCGGTCCTGGCTCCTGCAGGCCCATGCCGAGAGTCGTTTTCGTCGCTCCGTCTCTCTCGCACCTGTACGGCACGCCCCATGGAGTGCGAGAGGGACAGAGCGGCGAGAGCGATTCCCGGAATGGGGCGCACAGCCCGCTCGGACCAGGATGATGCCTTTGAGGATGCCACTGTGAATAATCGCACTCGTTTTGCCGGCCCGACTAGCTCGCGGCTCGGGTTCGAAACTGGTCTCTCAAGTCATGTCAAAATTGTTGTGGCGCCCAGGAGCATTTTAGTTTTTCGGTCAGAGTAACGAACCCCACTCGGTGCCCGGGGCCTGAGCTGGACGGGGAGTCGGTCCGCATCTTGGCTTCTCGCTCAGTCCACGCAGATCGCTGCGTCTGCCTCTGCAGATGGGCGCCCCTCCAGTATGAAGATGTTCGCCGAAAGTGGATCCTTGTTTTTGGAACCCGCGAGCTGAGCCGAGCCGCTTGCCACCGCGGCCCCTTCGGCCGGCCGTCCGACGACTCCCCAGACCGCCTCAGCTCAGGCCCTGCCGGCCCTGCCCAGCGATTCTGGAGAGGCGTTGCGTCGCTCTGTCTCTGTCGCACTCAGGCGGCTCTCCGTGAGGGAGCGAGAGGGACAGAACGACGATTCACCCCTCTGAAGGACCTGGACGCGTGCTTGCCGCGGGTTTGGCGCTTGCATCCGGCCTGCTTTGGGTGTGTGCTCTTTCTCGTGGAGGTGTGATCTAACTGCACTACTGGATGTAAGTGCACTCGGCTTGTGTCTGCGCGTGTCTGCGTGTGGGGGTGGGGGCAGTGCACTGGAGATGTCATAACCGCCTCGCGCTCCGCGCCTCGCCTTCCCAGCGATGATGCACCCTCCCTGGATGACCGTGACCGAGCGCTGCTCGGCGTGAAAGGGCGCGGCGGTGGTGGTTGTTGTTGTTGTTGTTGTTGTTGATGTTGCTGGCTTTTCCTGGTCTCTGCAACTCGCCGCTCGCTGCGCCCGACTCACGTGCCACTCGAGGGTCAGGCCGGCCGGCGTGCCCGGCGTGCCCTGCTTGGCGGGGCGTGTGGCGGAGACAGGTGAAAGCGACCTGCAATGGTATATAAAGGTGCAGGCAGACCGGGGCGGGGCGGGGTGGGCGCGGAAATGAAAACAAACACGCATGCGTCCCGCCCCGCCCCGCCCCGCCCGGCCTGTCCGCGGACTGGACTGGCCCCGTGCATCATCGCGGCCTCCGGTCATGGCGCGCGCACTGGTAGCACTAGGTCTGGTTGGTGTTGGTGGCGCGCCACGGCGTCGGGGCGACCCTCCAGCATCCTGTAGTGCCGGGGGCACACGGGGCGGCAGTGCGTGCGCGCCGCGGGGCCACGGTGGCCACGGCTGCAGCGTTTGGCGGTTTGCCGGTCGTTGACCCCGCGGCCCGGCACGCCGACGGCACGCCGAAGGCCGTCCCGTCCCGTCCCCCCGCTGGGCTGGGACATTTTCATATTCATGCGCGGGGCCCGGCAGGCTGGCAGGCTCGGCGATGGCGGTGTGCGGCGGCTGCGGGAATGCTGGACCGGGCCCATCCTGGGCCTGAGCCTCAGCCTCCGGGGCCCGGAGTCCGGGCCGTCCGGCCGGCCGTCCGGGGCGGGAGGCTGATGCCCCGGGCCGGACCGGATCTCGCGGGACGGGTCGGGTCGGGCCGGCCGGGCCGGCGAGGCGGGCGGGCCAGGGCGGGTTGCCTAGCGGCGGCCTGCAGCCTGCAGGCGCGCGTCGTTGGCCATGCTGGCCGGCAGGCTGATTCCGAGAGTCGTCTTCGTCGCTCTGTCTCTCTCGCACCGGTAAGGGCCGCCCCATGGGAGCGTGAGAGAGAGAGAGAGAGAGAAGGCGACGAAAACGACTCTCGGAATCTGCCTTCTGCTCACGTGCCCTTGCGCCCAGGGTGCCAGGAGTCGGCAGGAGAAGGGGGCAATGTCGGCCGGCAGCTAAACTGCCCAAGGCTTTACGCCGTTCCTCTCCTTTTCGGCGCGAGTTGAATGCCCTCACTTGCGCGTTGTTGTTTTCTTCTTCTTTTCTCAACTTTCCCACGTTGACCCCGGCCGTGCTCCTGTGCGTATCATTGTCTCGAGCCCGGCCCCGGCAGAGTCATGTGTCCAAGTTCGCGCCCCGCCCCTCCCCGCCCCGGTGAGACCTGCGCCGCGGATGTAGGTCAGGTTGGTGCCGTCCACCGCGCGGACCCGGCCCGGCCCGGCCCGGCCGACTGACCGCATGCAGGCACTACAGCGGCGCTGCCCTTGCGCTGCCCTGGCTCTGCCCATGCGAGCCAGGGCCAGCGCCCGTCCCCGTCCCGCCCTAGAGACCCTCCCGCCCCCGACGCATCGTCGTCTAGGTTTGTCGCCCGCCACGCCGCCTTCAAGTAGCCCTCCCCCCCCCCCTCGCTGGAGCCTTTTCATTGCGCGGCCCGCTAATGTCCTTGCGCGCTTGCGGTTTGAATTCCGATGCGAGTCGCCCAGTCGGTCAAGCCAGTCCGAAGCCAGTCGGCCGGGGCCGTAAAAGCCCGGCTCCAGTCTCCAGCAGACTGCTTCCGAGAGTCGTTTTCGTCGCTCTGTCTCTCTCGCACCTATGCGGGACGCCCCGTGAGGGCGAGAGAGACAGCGCGGCGCAAACGACTCTCGGAATCAGTCTGCTGGCTGGAGGCTCCGGTGACTCCAGCCCTACCCTCCGGGCTGATGGCTCCCAACTCCGAACCCCCGCCCCGCGCCCCGCCGGCCCACATCACTCGGAACAACAACAACGACAAGGGCGAGCCGGCAGCCGGCCGTGTCCGAGCGTCAACTTTGGCGCGTCACGCTCACTGGGGTATTGGTTATTTATGTCATTTATCCGGCGAGCTGCACCTTTGAATGGAGTCAGTCGCCGCAGGCCGCAGGACGGGGCTTCCCTGCGGAGCCCTTGGCGGAGCCTGCGGACAACGACTCGCTGTGCCGGCTGCCGGCTTAGTGTTGTGCCCCCCCCCCCCAATCCCTCTCCCTCTCTCTCTTTCCTTCTTCTTTCCCCGCGGCAGGCCGCGGCCGGTTTAGGAGCTGGCCGATTAGACCAAAGTAGCACCTCCTCTCAGCCCTCTCCTACCCGCCCCTCTGCCACCACGGACGTCGTCTAGAGCTAGAGGCCACAAGTCTCCTAACCAGCCGGTCTGGTCTGCTCCTTGGCGGCGGGCCTTGGCCTTAGCCGCCCTCCCCCCTTCCTCTCCTTCCTCCGCTTCCTCCCCTATCTCCGTACCGGTGTGCAGTGTACATGAATGATGCCTGGTGCGTGCTGCTATGCTGTGCACTCAGTGGAGAGAGGGAGAGAGAGAGAGAGAGAAGAGTTCGCGACCTTACTTCGGGGGATGGAATGGGAACGTGAAATGAGCTTTGACGGTATCAAATGACATGACAACGCATCTCACTATCTACCTGCTTTTCCATTCCTCACCACTGCCTGAAGTGCTAGCCTGTTACTATGTTTCGCAAAGAGAGAAATGATGATATCCTATTTTCCCTTCCTTTTTTTCGGAAATTGTGTTTATCAGTGGATGTGTTTGCGAGCATTTTGTGTTCGTCATTTTCTGTAGGATGCCAACGCCTGATCCCTGATTTAAATCTAATCTTTGTTTGTTACTGTTTCATTTCAGATTTTACAAAACCTGGGCAAAGTAGACAGAACTTCAGATGAAATCTTTGAGGAACATCTTCAAAACTTCACACGACAACAGAATGCTGCCAACAGGCTGCAAAAGGAGTTCAACAACTACATTCGCTGTGTTCGTGGTTAGTTTCCTCCTCCCTTCTAAAATATAGAACAGCTGTCCATTAAGAATAGATTAATAGAAAAATAATTTTCTCTCACATTTCAGCTGTCCAAACTGCCAGCAAATCCCTCTTGGATTCGCTTTGTGAAATATATGAGAGTGGTTGGACAGGGCACGACCTCCTTTACGTACAGGCTCAAAATATTGAGATGCTATGGCAAGACTTTAACCATAAACTAGGCGACCAAGTTCTCATCCCACTCAACACATATCAGAGTCAATTTCCAGAGATGAGAGTATGTAATCAGAGCTTATCTGTGAAACTTAAGTTAATGTGATCTTGATTTGTCCTCAATGTTCTCTAAACTTGATTTTACTTTGCAGAAGAAAATTGACAAACGTGGACGCAAACTTGTGGATTTTGACAGTCAACGACACAACTACCAGTCTCTTCAGGCAGCTGCAGCAAGTGGAACTAAGAAGCGAGATGAAAATAAGATCAGCAAGGCACGTGATTCACTCGATGAAGCCAAGAGGACTTACGAAATGTTAAACTCTGAACTACATGATGAATTACCAGCATTGTATGACTCACGAGCACTTTTCCTTGTCACAAATCTTCAAACATTATTTGCCGCAGAACAATTGTTCCACTCTGAAACGTCTAAGGTAAGATATTTTGTTTTCTCTGAATAACAAATATGGTGCTTCAGAGTCCTATCTGTACTTGTTTCTTTATCTTTCTTTGGTCTATTATTTAACGTCATTATTCTTCTTTTTCCTATGACAGGTTTACACAGAGCTTGAGGCTGTCGTAGACAAATTGGCCACCGAATGTCAGCGAGGATCATACACCTTGAAGAAAAATAATGCGTCTCCCAAGTCTCCCATTATCAACAAGTAAGCCCAGTAAATCTTTTTCTTATAAATACCAAAACTTGTACTTCATGAATTTTTACAATATTCTCTTTTCTCTTGCAGCATGAATTCAAGTATAACATCAGTACCACACTCTGGTAAGATCTTCAAAAAAAAAATTGAATATGTCTCTCTGGTTGTTAGCATTTGACTGAAAGTTCTCCACTTTTAAAAATCTTAATGAAAAGTATTTTCTTTTCAATACTAATGTTAACATTTTCAAACTGCCTTTGAGATTTTACTTACGCTCCATTCACTATTTTGCAAATGTGTTTTGAGATGGTTTTGCATTCTGTTCAGTATAAAAAATACTATCAGTTGCATCTACTATGGCTTTAACAAACTTATTTGTGGTTTTACTGGAAATATTTTGAATACTTTGCACCCTGCAAAGGTCATAGTATTTCAATTAAAAAAGAGTGTAGAGTTATGCCTGTAATGAAGTGATCTGGCTCTCTGAGTGTGCTGAGTGTGCTGTGTTTGTGTGTTTCAGCGGGCAGTACACCTGTGCCCGTCGAAAGCGTGACTCCAACTACTAACCAATCCTCACCTTCCTTCACAGCTTCCAAACTGGCCACATTGTCCTCAAATGATGCAGTGCCGCATATAAATGGCGACTCAAAAAAACAAAACAACAACTCCATCCCTGCGTCCCCAACCTCACCAAGTCCGTCAAGCCCTGATGCAAATGAAACACCTGTTGCAAACAACTCGATTACATCTGCCCCTACTGCAAATTCCACCAATGCCAATTCTTCCACTCCAACCAGTCCAACCAATGGCAAAGTACCCAACAACAATGCTAACAACAAGCCTGTTGAGGAGCTCTATGATATTCCTGTTGGTAAGTGCGTGGGTAGCTAACAGAGAGGGCAAAAATACAGGAACTTAAGTGAAGGGATTTTTTTTTATATGTCCCATTTGCCATACTGTTTTAAAAAGTTCTTCTCTTACGCATACCTTTTTTTTTTGCCCCAAGTTTTGTCTAATACATCTGTGGTGTTTTTTGAGTTTGATTCTCCTACTTCAATTAGCATGGTTATTTCTAAGCATGATTTTGTCTTCAATATTATTTTGCATACTGCCATGTAAACTTACTCTTCCTCCACCGGCCCTGTGCAAATCTTAATTTTTTTTCCCTTTGTTACTTCTGCAGGGGCCACAACGGACAACTTGCCACCTGGTGTTCTCTACAGGGTCAAGGCTACCTACAAATATACTCGTGAGGATGTGGATGAACTGTCATTCGATGTTGGGGAAATCATCAGAGTTGTTGAATATGATGACCCTGAAGAGCAGGTAAGATCATTTGTATTTTCCCCATGCTCTCTGCCTCTATGCTCCAATCCATGATTTATTAATTTAAAAAAAATAAATTTTTGTGTGTTTTAGGAGGAAGGTTGGCTTATGGGTATCAAAGAAGGCACAGGTGATAAAGGAATGTTCCCAGCAAATTTCACTCGACCCTTGTGAAGCCTCTAGCGACTTATTCTGCGATGCAGCAAAATCACTTGTGTATTTTGTTGAAGCTTTAGACATTTGTTATTTTTCATTTCATGCAAACCAGGTTGTCTAGCAACATGAGTGTGGTGTGCTTGGGAGTGTACTTGCCCCTAAATTGTCATTGTCATGCCAATGGTTTGTTGGAATTTGAGAATTTTGATTGATCAATGGACTGCTTTAAACTGCCTTTCTGTGCTGAAATAAGCATACCTTTGGTGAACACTCTTTAACTACAGAGGAGCCATAGTGTGTATAATTGATAAACCGTTCTTCACATATCAGTAGTTTTGATTGGCAACATGGAGTTGTGGCCCTTTGTGCACAACTGGTATCCTATGAAGTCATACAATTCCATCAAATCAGTCACAAAGGGTTTCATTTGTGTGAATTTTTGTATCAAGTGATGCTACAGTATATAAAATTATTTGTATATACATTTTGTATCAAAAGTTTTTACTAAATGACATTAGAATTCATGTCTTTTGTAACAAAAAAAAATCAGCTCTGGTTTTACTGGCTCTTGTGAAGGCCTCAGCATGTCAAGAATTATATCAAAGGATATACACTGGTGGCCTTAGTACTTGATGATAATGTGATACGTACTGGTGAAGCGTACTGGTGCCATTAACTGATTAGATGATGCCTTTCTTCTCATTTGTTGTTTCCCTGTTTTCAAGAAACTTTATATTGCTCATTGCTTCCCCAATGTTAAAGCATATTGTATCAAAATATTGTCAAAGTGTGATTTCTGTCTTATAGATGTTGCATTTCTATTTTTATTGTTCAAAGAATTATTAAAACTTCTGCATGGCATTTCTTAGTCAACCATTAAATCAAGAAGTGTGGAATTAATGCAATTGTTTTGTGCTAAATTGGGAGGGATAAATATTCAATGTCTGTTGCAGTATTTCTTTGTAATGCATCACAACAATTGTGTATGTCCCTATGGTATTAATAAGATTGGCAGTATTTATTCCACTTACAGATTCTGTTCTGTAAAAGCTCTTTTCATTTTCATGTTACCATCATATAGTATCTTAAAAGTGTTAATCTACACTTAGTACTCGAATCATCACAGTCCTTCAAGTAAAAGCTAACATTTTCTAACAATGTATTTAATAAAATCTAATGCTTTTTTCTTAAGTTTAGGACAATATCAAATTCAAGGATGGGACTTAACAGTAACTCTTTTGATGGGAATCAAAAGTATATTTTTTTAAACATTCTGAAAAGGACAAGCATGCCAATGCCCATATGTATTTAGTCATGTGAAATGTGCTGTAAAACAAATATGTGAGTATATTGGATAAAGGTGATTTATATGTGTTTAATGAGTGATTATTGCTGTGCTTGTATGTTTGTATGTGTCTGTGTGTGTAATTATGTATGTGAATGTACAAATGATCGTGTGGATGATATAAGTTGTATGTTTGTAGATTTAACGATAAATTGATATGTAAGTCACTTACCTAATCCTTTGATGAAGCCGCTGGTTAAACCTTTACAACATTGTCTTCCCCACTCACGGCCTAGCATAAATGTTATCTTATAGGCGTACAATTTAAGTCTTTTGTATTTATTCTAATACATCATGACCAGGCTTAACAATTTTCTTCTCATTATTTTCTTTGTTAGAACATTGACAATGAAGACTGTTAAGAAGGGCCAAACTTGAAAGATGATGTCTGTGACTTGCTTCAGTCTGATAAATCTAAAAGAAAGGAACTCAACATATTTTGGATACTAAATGAAGAGTTTATAGTAATGAATTTTAACTTGAAGTATGCCTGCTAACTTTTTTATTCTGTATTTTGTTGATGAGGAGTCATCTTGTTAAAGAGAAGGAGCCTTGTGTTGTTCTTTTTCAGTCCAAACACGTTTTTAAAATGTTAAATTCATAATTGTATTTTTAAATTCTCTGAAGTATTTTATTTTTCCCCTTGTAAATATTTTTCCTGCTGTCTGCTGAGATTTTAAAAATTGTGAAATTGTGACTGTTGTGATTTGATATATTGTTGATCCTTCAAAATATTGTGAGCATCTGCGTAATGTTTCTCTTAGTATCAATCTACTTGCTCCAGTTTGCTTGAAGATTGTTTTTCATGTGGGAATGTTTCTTCTTATTCTTTACATCTTCCATGGTCTTCCTTCTTTGTCCACTACTTCTCCCGTTACCCCTTCCATCTGTGAATTCATATGAGTGTGTGTACAATAATTTGCTTTTTTAGCCTAGCAAACAACTAACCAGCCTCCAAAGCTGCAATTCAATTTTAGTTCAGTAGAAAGACTTTTATCTAAATGTCTGGAATTTTACTTTCTGAATATCTTGTTAGCTCAGCCTTTGGAATCATTTGATATTTGTCTCACTTCTTGCATGATGGCTAAGTCAGTTTTGTTAATTAATTTTAGGACTTCTGGAATCCTTTGCTCAGGACCTTTGTTTTGAATGGGTGTTGTTCCGTATGTGTGATCTATTGTGCATAGTTTATTTTGCTTCAGGCTCATGCTAACACAAACTTGTGTGTTTTATTTAATGATACATTTAGAGAGAAAAAAAAAGATATCTCATGTCTTCCTATTTAGTCTTAGTTCATCTATTCATGTTCTATTTAGTGTATCATTGGTGGTGTTGAGAGGAATTTTTGTCAAGCTTCTTCAGTAATGAAGGCTGGCCTTAGCATGTGAAGTTTGTGGGATATTCACAAGCAGAGGTGGTAAATTTTCCTCAATTCACCATTGAGCTTCCCCAAATCATTGACAGTGCTTCTGATTGTGCCATGATGTCTTTTAAAGTTCTCTCAATTAGACACCAGTCGGCAAACCCTTATTGTAGATTTGAGTTCATGACTGCAAGATCTAATTATTATACAATGCTCATTAGGAAGGAATTTATGGGAAATTTTGTGAAGTGTGAAAATTTGGAGTGTCACAATTTTCTTGTGTATTATATATAAATATATACAATTGAATACATGAATGCAGTAGAACTTTGTGGAAGCGTGCCTCCTTACTCTGTGTGCATTTATAGCTATCTTTCACTGTTATTTCTATGTTTATATGGAATGAGGATGCTGTGTGTAGCGATAGGCTAAAATGCTAGTTATTCTTCCTAAGGCACTTCAGGTTATGGACTGTTTGTTGCTTGTACAGGGTTCTACTGTGTGTAAATGTATTGTATAATTATTATACATAACTATGTACAGAATGAGAAAGATATAATTTAAAATAAACAATCAAGTTACACATATGATTGGTTAATGAATATTTTCTCACCCCAGTCAAGGTTAATTAATGTGAGAGGAATTTTTGTAAACCTTTTTACAACAGTACAAAAGAATTAAGCAGAGGATTCACTAGGATGACGGAAGTTGAGACAGGGAAGTCCGGGCTCTCGAGCCGCCGCATACAACACGAACTATCTCGTCCAAGGGCAGCCAGCCGCAGCCAGCCGAGCAAGGGAAGCTCTGCAAGGGCTGAAGGGCTAACAGGCGAGCGGAGCGGCGGAGCGGCACACTGGCACAGGGCGAGGCGGGGCGGGGCGGGCGAGGCGAGGCGGGCACCACGCCTCGGTTGGCCAGGCCGACTCGTCCTGTCCGGCCCAGCCTGGCTTGCCTGGCTTGCTCCGACCGATTCTGGGGCACATATAGTCGTGTGGTTCTGGGGGCAAGGGGCAAGGCCGTGCCGCGGCCAGTGGCAGCGTTCGGAGGGGAAGGGGAGGGTTGGACTAAACCCCCGACCTGGCCGACCTGGCCGGGGTGAAGCCTACACGTCCCCCTCCCCCCTGCAGCCCGCCACTGGCGACCCGCCCCTGGCCTGGCGTCGCCTGGCGTTGCCTGCCGTACAGGTGTCGCACCGGCAGGTGGCCAGGTGCTTCCCTCTTCCCTCTGCGACAGTCGGCCCAGTCGGCACGGGGCTGCAGCACTCGCTATCGCGCCACCGCCTCTCCGCGCGCCCTGGTCGCCCTGGTGCCCCAGGAGCCCCTGGTGCCCACGGTGCCCAGCTCATCGCCGAGCCCGCTGCTCGCGAACCGGCCAGAGGCGAGACGCGGCACGCAGGATTTGTCTCGACGCGCGACTGCATCCCAGTGTCGCCGCACTGTATCGCGCCCCGACTGTAGCGCACTGCAGCGCTCTGCAGGTGAGCTGGACGGCACACGCAACGCACGGCGCGCACCGGCCAGAGGACATCCAGGCGCGCCATTCCGAACGGTGCATTTGGTCGCGCTGCACGGGTCCACCCACGGGTCGCTCCGCGAGTGCGAGAGAGACGCCGCGACGAAATCACTGTTCGGAGTCATCGGTCTGTTGCTGAGCGGCCGCTAATTAGCGGGCTGGGGTCTCGCGGGTGGAGTGGAGGACGAGGACAGTGCGCCCGGCTGGTGTCGGAGTGTCAGAGGCTGGCCAACACGAATGGGCAGGAGCCAACGCGCAACGCCTCCAGCCACAGTGGTGTGGATCGTGGATGGTCTGGGATTTCCCTGGGCGCACGCCGCGAGCAGCCGAACTCGGAGTTGGGTGCGGTCCCGGCCTGCGGGTCCTCGGTTGGACGGAGGGACGGATTCGCGGGGGCGTTGGCGCGTTGGAGAGACGCGTTCGCGGAATCGCGTGCCTCGCAATCCGCGCGAATCCGCGCGCCATTGAAACATTGGCGCGGGTGGCGCGGGGAGAGACCGTAGCTTGTTTTCGATACGGTGCATGATGGGATTCACCATTGCACAGACGCCATCTTGATTGTAGGCGGTTGCCGTGTCATCTTTAATGTGAAGTTTTATTTACTTATTTTTGAGATACAGATGCATAGGAACGTCCATCCAATGGATAAACTCTTACGTAAGTTTCACTGTGTTTCATGACGAAAAACGTTTCTCTGTAACTGCCCTAAAAAGCGTATCGTCAACGCTGTCTGATCCATGTTTTGTCGCTGCTCCCAGTATCTCGACACTCGTTCTGTATTTAATCTTGTTATTTCGCCCCAGTATTGTCTGGTGCGGGGGCTCTCAAATCGAATTTGTTTAATGGGATCATACGCTGTTGAAGTGTGTGCCGCGGTTCCCGTCCCGTGGCGGGGCCGAGCCGTTTGGAGTCCTTGTAGAGAGGCGTATACACCGCGATAGCAGACGTACTTTGCGTCGTCTGGTCTGTAACAGGACTACCACACCCAGTGAGGGAGGCGGCGCAGCGGCGCTAAGGCAGCGCAGTGTATTGGCGGCCGACCCTAAATGTGTCGGTTTGCCGTGTTTCCAGTGCCTGTGATTGTGTTTCCCCCGATTGGCGGCCGCAGCGAAACTAATTACTGGTTTGTTTTACTGTTTAGGGGTCTCCTGCGCGTGAGCAGACGCCCTACAGACCGCAAAGAAACGGGGCCCCGCTCAGCTATAGTCGTCCCGCTGTATCTTCGGCCCCGAGTCCGGTGGTGGGGGAATGGGCATTGCCTGAGTGCGAGAGAGAAGCACGGGCCGAAGATACTCTGGGGCCAGTATAACATAGGCTGAGCAACCCTCAGACACAACATGGCGTGCTGTCTGTCGGAGGAGGCCAAAGAACAGAAAAGGATAAATCAAGAAATCGAAAAACAACTAAAAAGGGACAAAAGAGAGGCAAGAAGAGAACTCAAGTTACTATTACTGGGTAAGTACTGTGCAACTCTGAAGCGTTCTACTGCAAAGAAATCGCCTTGTCAAATGACGGCAATATAAGCCTACCATTCCGAGAAAGGGCCACATAGCCTCTATTTTTCGCCGATCATGTTTTTAAAATTGCTAGCAATGATTCAATGATTGGAAACTGCTGTCCTGCGCGTGGATAAGCATCTTAAGTTGAGAAATTTACGTGGTTACTTGGGCCCTGCCCAAAGGATAGATTTCTGAAGGCTTAGTAGAAACTTTTTAGGTTGGATTTTATATGGTTCTTGTCAGAATTTTTGAGACTTCCCTCAACTCCTCAAATCTTTCTGAAATTATAGTTTGTTGTTGCTTGTATTATATGATCAAGATTGTTGACAAAATCTTTGTAAACTTAACCTTAAATTTATCGTTTTCATGTATCATTGATTTTTAGGTTCTTTTCGATTTAAATTTCATGTGCGTTGCCTCTTTTATTTTCACCTTGTGTTTAAATTTATTCCTGATCTAATGTAAAGCTGGTCCTCATCAATGTCTTAGTACCTTAGTTTTTACTAAAAACTCTTACACCCATTAACCACAAACTTCCTTTTAAACAAGTGAATTTGTCCATCTTTGTTAGTAGAGTTATGGTAGATTTATACAGTATTTAAATTCAGACAGTCAAAACTTTATGACTTTATTTTTAAATGGAAGTTTGCACGTCCTTTGAAGTATTAGTGATATAAATAATCATTTTAAACACATAACTAATAATGACAACTTTTAATTATAGACATATTGGGTGTAAAAGTTTTATCCTGTAGTTTTGTGCAATTTATGCACCAGTGTGGACTGCTTTACATGGTTTGCGCGTAATATTTAACGCCTTCACTCAACTCCACAAGTCTCTGCCCCAACCTCCGGTCTGTGATACTGCTGCCTTGCTGTTTCTTTGAATGCTATCCTCACTCGAAATCAATTTTGAAAGTTCAGTCCTTTGATCTAAGGTGGGTAAAATATGCTTAAAGAATTCATCCTTGGATCAAAGGTGCTGTTCCTCCTGCATTCTCATCCCTCCTGTCCTCTGTCTCCCCATTCATTTCCCATTCATTTCCAACTGAAGCGCACAGTCCATCGGTCAGTAGTTGAGATAGGATTTCGCCAACGGAGCTAACCTGTCACTTAAAGTTGTACTCCTGTCAGGTTCACTGTGTGTCTGGCCAGGGAGGGTGTTGCTGTGCCTGTTTGATTGGACCACGCCAACCCATGGCAGGCCTTGGCAAGCAAGCCTGGGGCAGCCCAGCAGAGGCAGGCCAAGGCTCAGCTGGGACAGTCTTTATATGCCAATTGAAGTAGAGCCCACTGACCACTGGAGCCTGCCAAGTGGATGTGAGATGGGTCACCCGACCACCTTCCCGCTGTCAGGGCATGGCTGGCATGGCTGGGCCTCCGCCTAGGCTGTCACCCCACCCTGCGCCTGCTGTGCCGCACCTGAAGGGGAATGCCGTGCCTCTGCCTCTGGATTTGATTTGTACTTTTATTTGATATCGCGGTCCCGCACAGCCTTCCGCGTGGTACGCCTCGCGGGTTTGTGTGCAACAAGCGGCTTTTGCAGCACGGCTCCGCGGCAGCGCGCAGCCAGGTGGAGGTGGGGCTTCGCTTGCTTCGGTTGTCCGCTCGCTTCGCTCCCCCTGGCCCCCGGTGTGGCCCTGGTGTGTCGCTGTCCGCGGCGCTGCCCTCGACGGGGGCCATAGGCGACCCCGGCTCGGCTCGGCGCGGTCCGGCTCGGTCCGTCTGGGCTTTGGCCCGGCATTGCGCTGCTTTGCTCGACTCGTCCCGCGCTCTGCCGGCCGCACTTAGCGGTCTTCTGTGACCTCAGTCCAACCCCTCCCCCGTGCCGCCTACCCACCCCGCCCTGCCCCGCCCCGCCCTGCCCCGCCGCGCAGGTGTTTCCCGGTGACCTCGGCCCATTTCGGAAAAGTGTGGGCAAATTTAACGCGGTCGGCGCTGTTCTTTGTCGCGTGCACTTCCGCGGCGGGGGAGTCCGTCAAGCGGCCCGGGGGAAAAAAGGGGGGGGGGCACTACCCCGCGTCCGTACGCGGTACGCGTCCGATCCCCTCGGCGGTATTTAGCAAAATTGACAGATGCCCTCAGTTTCGGACGAGAAGGGGAGGAGCTTGGCCTGGGCCCGGGCATGCCGCCGGGGCGCGGCGGGTGCGGCGGTGCCGGTTCGCGAGGCGTTGCTAACCGCGCCGCGGCTGGGTGACATGTTAGCGAGGGCGGGGCACATCGGGGCGCTCTCTTTTCTCTGTAAACCATTTCGATTGCTCCCCGGCCCACGGCAGCCTACGGCAGCGGCCGCCCCCGCCCCGTCGTGCTGGGTCGTGCCGGGGCGTGGCGGGGCGGGGCGTGCACGCCGCGGTCTCGCGGCACCTGCACGCTGCACGGGCTTGGCGGCCTGGCCTAGAGCATGGCCTAGTATGGCCCAGAGCATGGCCAGGTCGGCGGCGCGGTCCGAGTGGGTCCGAGCTTCCGCAAGGGTGTGCCGCGGCGTGCCGGCCTGACCTCTGACCCGCTCTTGGCCGGGCCGTCTTGGCGCTGCCTCACGTGTGCCCCTCCCCCTAGTCCCTTCTGCAGCACCCTGCGCGCCCTGCGTGCCCTGCGTCCGCATCCCATGCCGAGGTCCCCGCCCTGTTCGTACTGCCCGCACTGTTCGTACCCTTGGCGAGGTGTTGGCGCCCCTCAACGCCGCGCGCCGCTCCCCCCGCGCCACGCCGCCGCGCCGCCACGCCCCTGCCAGATTCCGTTCCCCCTCCCCGCCACTCCCCTCATTCAGAACCGCCACCGTTCATTCATCCACTGGGCCACTACTGGCCACCGCCGCTACTCCCGCACCGCGCAGCACCGCGCAGCGTCGCGCAGCCCAGCCGAGCGATTCAGAGCAGCGGTTTGTCGCTCTGTCTCCCTCGCACCCTTATGGAGAGCCACACGAGTGCGACAGGGACAGAGCGGCGAAACGACTCTTCTGAATCGCTCGACAGCACCGCGTTATGCCGCTATCGAGCCTCCGAGGCTAGGTCCCCGGGGCGCCAGGGGCGGCCAGGGGGTCCGGTGGGAGGAGAGGGGAGAGGAGGGGAGGGGGAAACTCGAGGGTAAAATATCAACTCGTGGCTTCTAATTTGATCCTTGCCGCGCCTCGGCTTGTTCCTGCAGGCCCATGCCGGCGCGGCCTAGCGCGGCCTAGAGCCCAGCGTCGGCCTGAGTGCGGCGGAGTGTGCTGTCGCCCTGCAGAGGTCTTCCGTCGCTCTGTCTCTCTCGCACCCATACGGGACGCCCAATGAGTCCGAGAGAGACAGAGCGGCGAAAACGGCCTGCACTGAACTGGCCGGCATTGGCATTGACCGGCCCGCCGCGGGGCCGCGGCTTGAGGGGCCCAGCGGCCGAGGGGCGCACCTTGTCGCCTTGACTTGCCGTCCTATCCCTTCAATGAGCTTTCCTCCCGGCTTTCCTCCACTCGGCGCTCTCCGCGGGGCCGCGCTGCGCTTGTGTTTCCGGTGCGGGTGCTGGCCGGCCCTGCCGTGCCGCCTGCCGCCCCTGGCAGGGCAGGCAGGCAGGCCGGCAGGCAGGCAGGCCGGCAGGCCGCCCCGTGTCGCATGCACCTTCCTTCCTTCCTTCCTTCGGCCCTTCCGCTGTTCCGCCCTTCGGCCCTTGGGCTTCGGCCCTTGGGCCCTTCCGCCTTTCCCCTCGCATTGTCTCTCCCCGTTCATTCACCTCCCTCCTCTCCTCTCCTTGCCCCACCCCCTCCCACCCCTTCCCACCCCCGCGCCACGCCCCTTCCCTCCCCCTCCCCCTCGCGCAGGGATCGATACCGCGGAGGGCTCTAGGCTGCGTCTGTCCGGATCGGGCTGTGCCTGCCCGGCCTGCCCGTGCCAAAGCCGGCCGGGCCGCGTTGCTGGTCTCTCTCGCCTCTCTCTCCCTCACGGGTCGCGGTTTGCACGCGGCCGCTGCCGCCGCGCTGAGCGAGGGAGAGAGATGCGATGCGATGCGGCGCGTGGCCGGCCGGGCCAGCCGGGCCGGGGGGCCGGGTCTCTAGGGCCGGCTGTGGACGCGGCAGCCTTGGGCAGCCCTGGGCAGCCCTGGCACACACAATGGTCGCTGTTGAGGTGGCTCCATAAATCCGTAAATGATAACAGCAAAGCGGGTTGTATCAAAATGAACTCTGACTCTATGTGTGTCGCGAAGTGCCGCTGCACGGCTGTAAAGCATAAATAAATTGGGTCAAAACTCCTTAAAAATAAAAATCTAAGAAAGAAACAACTTTTAAGTGACATTTTGACTTTCTGATTGGTGGTGTCTCCAATTTGCAGCCCTTATTTTAGTGTTCTTATCTTTGTTTACAGGTACTGGTGAGTCAGGGAAGTCAACTTTCATCAAACAGATGAGAATTATCCATGGCTCCGGCTACTCAGATGAAGATAAAAAAGGCTTTATCAAGCTAGTCTATCAGAATATATTCATGGCAATGCAGTGCATGATACGGGCTATGCCTCTGCTCAAAATCAGTTTTGCAAATGGTGACAACATGGTAAGAATGACAAATTTTCATCAGATCAAAATTTCCTGTGACCTTCATTTCTCTTATTAATAATCTTACCTTTCTTTCTTTTTTTTTTTTTAGGATAAAGCGGAATTAGTTCGTGTCGTAGATTTTGAGACAGTAACTACGTTTGAGAGTCCGTATGTGGAAGCTATCAAAGACCTATGGGCAGATCCAGGTGTCCAGGAGTGCTATGACCGCAGGAGAGAGTATCAGCTTACAGACTCTGCCAAATAGTGAGTAAAGGAGTTTTTCAAGTGCCTCATGCCAAAGCCTCCTCAGTGCAGTGAAGTGTTTTAAGTGAAGTGTGAATTTGGGCTTCAATCTACAGTGAAGATGCCCATTCAAAGTGTTTGTGGGTTGAGAAGATTCCTCAAGCTGAAACCAACAATGTCATCCAGATGTGTTCAATAATTTTCATTGTCTTTTCTTTGCAATGTTCAGCCTAACCTGGTGAACTTTTGTACTATGCACTTGGCAATTTCAGCATTTAAGTCAATGCCATCATTTCATTTATATTTAATTATTACTTTTATTTGTTGTTTTGTCCTCATGCCTCAAAAATGTTATTGCATCCATTACACATTAGATAGATGTATAAATTCAAAATCATTGAAGTCTTTTTCTCCAAGTTCTGTTAATGATAGCCTTGAAATAATAGTCTGACAAATTTTGTTCATTCAATGTTTATAAATCGAGTTTATGGTTTCTTAAGACACAAATAATATGAAAGAAATAGAAATTTGAATTTTGACCTATTCAATATTCTGTAGCTTTACTGTTTTGAGATTAACTTCCCTAAATTAGATTCAATTAATTACTCATTTTGGGTTCAAAGTTGCTTCACCAGGGAATTCAGATCAGCTTTGTATTTTTGTAAGTTTGTAGTTCTGCCAAGTACGCCTGCTTTATTTTCCCCTGTCCCCCTGGCTTGTGGAACTGCATGCCCTGTAAAATATATGGCTGATCTGGATCATCTGGTACATTGATATAATTGTGCACATGTGTCTGTATATTTTTGAGTTTATTTATACTGCAGAACTGCCTCAATTTAATGTTAAATTTTCAATTGTTGCTTATTCCAGTTTAAGTTCCTCCCTTTCTCTACTTTAAAAAAATTATCACTCAAACCCCATGTGGGGTTGACACATTTTTGTTTATAGATTGTTTTTGTCTTGTGCAATCAAGATCTGACATGATGGTGGCTCAGGCTCACTTGATAATACGTGTATCTTATGTGTAATGGTAAAAGTGTGCTGCTATGATATGCTATGAATGGTTTGTGTAGTTTATAACAATCTACCTCCCTTTCATAAAGTTGGAGGTCTAAACATACGTTTGCATCCTTTTCTTGGCTCCAAGGGTAAACGTCATTAAGGAAATTTAAATTACGTTCTGGGCTTTCTTTCCCGTGAGTTAATTTAGTGGTAAAATACGTTTATGACACCCATAAAACATTTGCTTTACCTGCATCAGAACACAGACATTCTAAATTTAAAGAGAAGCTCTTTGATTGAGACTTCCTTGGGGCAAGATCAGGCTGTTATGTCTTTTTTTTTTTTTTGGTCTTTTCTTTTGTCAGTTATTATTTTACTACTTTTAATCTTCTGTTCTATTTTGTTTTATATGGTTTCCTGATAAGTCTTTTGTCTCTCATTGTAGCTACCTGAACGAGATTGACCGTGTAGCGGATTCAAACTACCTCCCCAATGAACAGGATATTCTACGTGTTCGAGTCCCCACTACGGGCATCATAGAATATCCCTTCGATCTTGAAGAAATCCGTTTTAGGTAAGGGGCCTGCTAACATCATTCGACGTCCATGGAATGCTGATTCTTCATTGATCTTAATTTTTGTTTTGCATGGGGGCTTGTGTTTTTTTGCTTTTCTCTAATGTCAATTTCACCATTTGTCATCATGATTTGTCTAACTGGTTGCTTATGATGATCATATATTATTTCTGCATTTTCAATCATCTTGTTTGCTTGCATGGTAAAGTGTTGACATTTTTTCTCATGTTGTTAACAGGAAACTTTCTGCTCTTACTCTTTCTCAAACAGCATGGCTTTGCAACTTCTGCGTTTGTGGAGACCTATGATTGCTTTTTGCCTTTTTTTCATTTTTGTTTGTCTTTGATTTCTGTAATATCGTAAAAGTTAAATTGTGTAAGCATGAGGACACTGCTTACAGCTACCTCGATGACTTGGCAAGAATTGAAAAGTCAGATTTTCTCCCAACTGAGCAAGACATTCTACGTGCTCGAGTCCCAACCACGGGTATTCTTGAATATCCATTTGATTTGGATTCTATTATATTTAGGTAATAGGTCTTATTATAATTGCACAACCTTGCCTCTGAATTGACAAGAAATCCTATCACAGTGCTAGAACACATGTTACTGGTTGACTATGTCCCTTAGCAAGTTGAATACCAAGTTCACATGTTTCGTCCGATTATTTACACATCACCCTACAAACATCTGAGGGAATAAATCAATCCCCTTAAAAACATTCTAAAACCATTGTTGCATTGTTGCATTATCTTTTTACTGGAGCTTCTACCTTGCATGCATTGTTTCGTCATTTGGTGGTTGTTTGTTAATGGCTTGTAGTTTTCCTCATTTAATTTATGCTTTGTACTCCTTCTTTAGATAGCATAGTTTAACCTTATTTTTCTTTCACTTCATATTATCTTTACACCCCAAGAGGAGCAGGCATAGATTAAACTTGGTACTTTTGTTTTAAAGTTTTGTATATTTTTTGTTTAGGATGGTGGATGTTGGAGGCCAGCGCTCAGAAAGAAGAAAATGGATTCACTGTTTTGAAAATGTTACATCCATTATCTTCCTGGTTGCTCTGAGTGAATATGATCAAATCTTGTTTGAATCTGAAAATGAGGTATGGATCTTATTGTTATCTTGTCTTGTGCCCTTGTTGTGCAGTGTGTTCATAGCAATTAATTCTAATTTTCTTGATCTCTGTAGAATCGAATGGAAGAAAGTAAGGCCTTATTCAAGACCATCATCACATATCCATGGTTTCAACATTCATCAGTCATTCTGTTTTTAAACAAGAAGGATCTTTTGGAAGAAAAAATTCTGCAGTCACATTTAGTGGACTATTTCCCTGAATATGATGGTAAGTCTCCTTCATTCGAATTCTGCTCTTTTTTTTAGAGTTGTGCTGTTTACAAAATGATAAATAATTGTAATTATCTTTGTTAAGAAAATTTTCATATTGTCCTTATATTGTACTTGAAAAGGGGCATTCTCTGATAGTGGACCATAATCTGATTTACTCTGTCTATTTTTGTCAAGCTTCTAATTGATACTAATTTGTGTAATCCTTACCATTGGTCAGGCCCAAAAGGTGACCATGTTGCTGCAAGAGAATTTATTCTTAAGGGATATCTTGCCCTTAATCCGGACCCAGATCGCATGTGTTATTCTCACTTCACCTGCGCTACAGGTCGGGCTTTTAACAGCCATATAACCAAGCTAGCCCAATAATTGTCCTGACCTTGTAGTAGTTCTCTTGAAGTAAAACTAATAATGTTCAAAATAATTCTTTTACCATGCCAGTTAGAGGCTTTCCAAATTGTAGTGTGATAGCAACAAGAAAGACCATGAAGTTGACTCTTAAGCTTGAATCCTATCATGAAATTTCCTGCCCCAAACCACTGTTGCACTGTCTCACTATCATAATTTATTATTGAACTGTCCATGCCACTTATGAAATCTCCTCCAGCACTGATGTTCCCCATGAATCTATAACCTCTCTCACCTGTTCACTATTTCTGCTTTTATAGGACCCCAGAAAGACGCTATTGCAGCTAGAGAGTACATTCTTCGAATGTTTGTTGAACTCAATCCTGACACAGAAAAAATAATTTACTCACACTTCACATGTGCCACAGGTATACTTTTTAAAACTTATCTGTATCTCTGCATGTGGGTTAGTGTTATCGTGTAGCCTTGTTTTGTATTTCCTCTTGAGAGACCAAAAATTAGGTTTCTTCCTGCTTTTTTTGTGTGCTGGCCCAGCAAAAATTCTTTAAAAAAAAGCTTTATTGCTTCTTAATGCTTCTTACCTTTTCTTGCTGCTTTTGATACCAAATGTCATTACATCAGACAAAGTTTATTAAGTCAATAGCAAGACTTTGATTCTCTGGGCTTCTGTTCCAGACTTAAAGTGTGTGTTTTGTTTCTTTTGCATGCCTGCCTCTTCTTCTGGATGTCCTTACTGGACTACAACTGCCTCTTTCTCTTCTGGCTCTGAAAAGAGCCTTTTGATTTCCCTATTTCAATCAATAGACACAGAAAATATTAAGCTTGTATTCTGTGCTGTGAAAGACACGATCATGCAGAACGCCTTAAAGGAATTCAATTTAGCATGATTGTTTCAGTCAGTGAAATGTAATTGGTCTGCTTGCTTTTCTGCAAAATTGATACTTGCTCTGTTGGTCTTTCAATACTGTTTTAAATTTGACTTTTATCTTTAGTCATGTCATAATTATAAACTTACTCTTCTAATTTTTATTATTGGAGGAAAGAAGTTGATCTTAGCTGACATGGATGTGACGAGTTGTCCAGAAAGTGTTTTGTGTTGCTACCCTTTGATGTGTGTGCAAAAAAGCTCTTTGAGAAATTGGTTTAGTTTTATATAACCATAAGGATAAGAACATTGCTTGTTTGCTCTCATTTTGACCCAGCTACCCAGGCCGGGCAATCCGAGAACTCGTCTAGCTGGGTAGGAGGAACCGGTCAAAGGTTTTTCCCGGACCACTTGCCACTCGGGTACCCAGGTCCACCTGGGGGGTCGATGGAACAGCGCCGTTTTGCCACGCGAACCCACCGGCATTTTCGTGTTGCCCACCTCGCACGGCACAGTTCTTCCGATCCCCCCGGGTTTTCCCGGGCAACCCGGTGACCCAGGAATAACCGTTGACCGGTTTGTACCCGGCTAACCGAGGTACCTGCGGTACGGGTTTTTGAGAGCTCTGAAGTAACGATGTCTTTGCATCTTGGCTAATGTACTGTGTGTGTTCAGTCGTTCTCTTTCTTTTCTTGTGGGAAACCATCTTAATTTCTTTCTGTTAGCTGTGTCTGCTTAACATTTTCAAGATATTTTTGTAAAGCCTTATGTCTACTAAAAGCACTTCTTAAGCTTAACTCTCCCTTTAGAAGGGATGCTTGCTTTTACAGTAGTGAATTTTAAAATGCTATTCTCATTTCAAATGACTTGTATGGTCTATACTTGCATGGGGAAAGTCTGGTTTTTAGGGTGGTTCTTTGCATGGTTTGTGCATGGAGAATGCTGCAAAGCACTTGAGGTGGTGGGCTAAAACTGGTAAGTGATATATAAATTAAAAATATAAGGTGTAGTTGTGAATCACCAAATTCACCTTGTTTCTCATAATTTGCTTCCCTTGAATAAATTTCAAATCAAAATAAATGTAGTTTTATTTTTTAAGTGAGTGAAATAAATAAATTCAGTGCATTAATGTCTTTGTCTTTCTATGTTGTTTTCAGATACTGAGAACATCAGATTTGTGTTTGCTGCAGTGAAGGACACAATTCTCCAGTCAAACCTAAAGGAATACAACTTGGTGTAGTGACTAGCACCCCAACGGCATGGAGTGCGGCACTCTGCAAGGCGCAAGGCCCAAGGGCATTGTGCAAGTACTTCATACGCCGACGGGTGTCCATACTTTTGCTGGCCTATTAGTGACGGCAACGGCAATCTGCTGCTAGCATGCTAGCATTCGCCACCTGTGGCCCTGCCGCCCAGCCGCCCTGCCAGTTGCCGTCGCCAAGAGACTGCTCATTAGTTGTGGCAGGAACAGAGTGGCTCGTCGTTGTGTCCAGCTTATGCTCCATCACATCGTACACCACCTTTAGCTTATAAATGAAACGATTTTCAAAATATGGTATGAAATATGATGAAAATGTGCAGCCCTTGAGACAGTCTAAGAGTTGTTCTGATTAAATGTACACATTGTAACTGTATTGCATTTAGTATTCCAGCTCAATTTGATAAAGGTATCACTTTTGAGCAATTTTATATCTGAGTTTTTTCTGCATGTGATGTCAAAACCGATTTCTACTGCCATATTTGTAAATAATGCCTGGAAAGACAGGCGCCCACGGACAATGACTAAGACGCAGAGGGTCATTCACTCACGGTTCATATAAAATATTTAACACAAAAATTAAAAAAAAAAAAACGCAATAATGTGTTGCAATGCAGGTTTATCTGCATACTTTGTTGTTACTACCATCAAGGCCTAACCAATTTTCTGTAAAATAATGCCATAGGTTGGCCTTTTATATCCTCTTCCTCCTTTTTTATATAAAAAAAGAAAGAAAAGCTGAACTTTATCTAAAGAAAAATGAGTTGTACCTGAATGCACTGAATGATCCAAGTAGCAGTTGATAGATAAGTGGCAAATTACCGCCGGCGTGGCATGGATGTGAATGGGAGAATAAAGGCCACTCTGCAATAAATCTATTTGTGGTTACTGAGTTTATTTTCTCTTGGTACTATTGCACTATATCAGAGTCCTATCTGGACAGAAACCTTCAAATTAACTCTTAATCTCCTAAATTTTAGTGATTGCAGCTTGTGTTCAATTGTGCATCATGTCCCTGTCTCTTTCCAAAATATTTCTTTCATCCGTCTTGATGTTTTATCTTTTGTAGATATCTTTGTGTATTAACGGAATTTCTTATAAAAATTGCTTTTTCATTTCTGGTGTGTTGTTTTTGTGTGTGAGTGTGTGTGTGTCTGATTATATAGGCATGATTGTGTGAATGATTGAGTGAGTGCCTGTGCGAGTGAGTGTGTCAATGGTGCAGTCATCTTTGTTGTCTGATTGAATTGCATGAAGAGAGAGATTTTCACTGCTCAAATTTCCTTACTTATGATTAGAGCCTTCATTAAAGTGCAAGTGGAACCTTGAGTTCAATGTTAGTTACTTTCCTCAGGCTCAACCTTTGTGAAATTAAAGGAGCCAGGCTTGCCCACGGCCTGGTTTGGCCCCAGTTAATTGGGTAGACTGTTTTTGTTTGTTTTTGTTTTTTCCAATATGAGACTTTAGTAAAGTGCAATGTGATATGATCATTTCATTTAGTGGTAATTGATGAAGGTGAAGGTTATTCTTTGTCTTCTAGATTTCTTAACGTCATTCAAAAAAGTAAGAGCATAATTTCATCCTTAGAAGAGGGTTCAGAACATTGAAGAATGTCACTTTTTCTTTAATGATCTCTGAGATTGTTTTGATATGATATAGAAGTTATGAATTCATGAACAAGTCATTCGTTTAAATTATTAGAAAACCTTTCCTCATGCACTGCGTATATATGTATGATTGTTTTTTTGTTTGTTTTTTTCATTATTCTTATGATGGTATCCCAGTGACATTTCCATTAAGTAACACTTCCATTTCATCAGGGATATATTGGAAGAAGTTTTGTCTCCCAATAATTCCTGGCTGATTGGAGGAAGATGGAATCCTCTGGTTCGGTGCTGAAATCTGCATCTTTCAAATTTCAATGATGTCACAGTTCTACCCGATAAACTAGGAACATGTGGTATTGTGAGTGAATGACCTTTTGCTGTAAGGTATGTTGCCTTAGGACCATGTCCGATACGGGGCTTTTGTGGTATTTGCTGTGTACCAATTCATTTTAAGATGGCGGTGGCTTTTCTTTTCAAAATCTGAATTGAGATTTCCTATTAAAGAATTATTTTGCATTCTACCATTTTAGAACTTGTTAAGGAATGTGTGGCTTTAAAATTATTTAGCATTTTCTGTTGTTTTGCCAATTGACAATTCTTTAAGTCCCTGCCTTGATATTGATATGATGAGCTGAAAAGAAATTGGGGCATATTAAAATTATTGATATCTGAGAGCAATCTGAACAAGACCAATCAAATGTAATTGTCTGTGTAAAACCTGTGTTATTCTTTTTTTTTTTTTTAACGTTTGGGCTTGAATTTGATTTTACTTTTGAAAGACGTTAAATTTGGAAACAATCTCGAGGAAACAACCACCCTTCAAGTCGACCATTTTATAAGTTGCTAGGTTTTTATCTGCTTTTGTTAAGTTTGTACTCAATTTTTGGTGTTCATAGGCAGGCAGCTGCTATCTCTCTTCCCTGCCCTCTTCTTCACTTGGAACAGTTTCCTTCTTTTCCTCCTGCCTTTTCTTCTTCCTTTTGTTTTCTTTATAGAGAAAGAAACCCCTTTAGACAAAGGAAATGTTTGCTAGAGTCATGAATCTGTGTTTGAACACAATACAAATGTGACTGTGATTCTGTGTTCCAAGTTATTGACAGCCAGCCTTGCTCTGCTGGTGGCTCACACTCCTAGAACCAGGCATTGTACCAGCTGCCTGAAATATTTTTCTTCAACAGTTGACAGTTGGTGCTTGCCTTGGTGTTAAGTGTTGTGGAAAACCATATTGTTTTACCCATGATATCGTCCATAAATGTGTTGTTGTTTTATTCTTATAATTTTTTGTTTGTTTTTAGTTTATCATGCTATTTTTATTTAATTCTTTGCTGTATGTGGAAAAAGAGGAGACTGCAAGAATTATCAGCTGTCATTCTGGGTGGTGCTTTTTGAACATCAGGGGGTCTATTGTCAGGATAGTAGTAGTCAGGACTCAATGGAAAACTGTTCAGCTTAGACACAAGAAGAAGAAGAAAAAACTAACTACCCCATTGAATGCTGTTTCTTATCATTTCTCTCTCATTGAAATTAGTGCAACACATGTTGTCTATAGAATGTTGTTTAAGTGTGCCAAAAGTTCAAGCCACATTTTAAGATTGTTTAGTTATGACCTCTCATGTTAGTCACCAAATTGAAGCAACCAGCTGTTGTCTTTACCTAAAGCTCTCTTAGTATGTCACACCAGATTTTGGCTGAAGTTTCCTACTGACTACATGTTTACTTTTTTACCTTAATGCATTCAACTTTCATCCACAGTGCATGATCATCAAAACCTTTGCAGATAGAAGTCTTCTCTTAAAGGACTTAGACACTTGGTTCAACTATTTAGATTGATAACAATGTCTTCCATTTTCTCACTACTTACGACAAGAAACTCACTGATGTTTGAAGTTGCCTTTGCTGCTAGTTTTTTGTTGTCATTATTCTGTATGTGACCTTGCATTCTTAAAATATGTATTTTGGGAGTAACTACTGTTTTCCTATGACTACACACCCCCTGCTGTTTGCTACCATTCTGTTGCAACGCTCTTCACTTTGAGCATGTGTCATTGCCCTATTTCTAGATGCTAAGCCAAAGTATTTTTTTTATTATAATTATTATATTTACTATTATTAATGATTGAGTAATGGTATGTTTTGCAAGGACTAAAATGAAGTTTTTCCTTCCTGTACATGTAATTTAAATTCCCAGTTTATATTATAAATATTGTTATATAAAAATTAATTTAGATTGTAGAATGAAATTTATAAAGGCAGAAGTTTCTCATTTTCCCAATGCAAGCCCTAGATGAAAGAACAATGTTTCCTTCCTTGTGATTATTTATTTTTATTTCTTCAATCGTTTTCAAAGTTTCTGCTGTCTATGTTCCATTATTTCAATGTGTTGTGCTTTAAAGTCGCATGCAATGCAGTGTGCATAAGATGTTTCTCATGGGCAGCGTACTATACAGACATATTCTCAAGATATGGAAAACAAAAAATTCCTGATTATTTAATTTATTTCAGTTCTGCATTTACGCTGACTGGAAGAAAACTTAACTCAAGCCAAGAGTGAAGCTGTGTCAAAGATAAATCTCTTTGCTGCTTGTTTTGCAACTGAATGGATGTGAAGGGTTGTGTTGTGAGTGAATGTGCGTGAGTTAATGTGAGTGCGTGTGTGCGTACGTGCGTGTGTGCACGCGTGTGCGTTTGAGAGCGTATAGGCCTTAGGCCATTTGTAATTTCTTGTCAAAAAATATATATACACGTTTTTCTGAAGTGTGTTTTACCTTCCACCTGTCTTCGCTCGTTTGACAGCCCTGACCGAGCTCATATTCAATTGGAAGATTGTATGTAAACACTATTTTCTGTGCAAGGGTCGAATGTAACAACTTTCATTTCCCTGTATAAAGTAGTATTTATTCTTTTGTATAAGATATTTGAAATAAGAATTAACATAGACTGTTTACATCTTCATGCTTTATTTATTTGCCAGACCCATTTTCAAGCATTGTAAGCCTTACCAGACCGTCACAATCTTTCTAATTACCTGCCCTACTTGGGAGAGGCCCACGTTTCCTGGTAATCGGTGGTGGGCCAATAACAGCAAATCGCTCTCTCCCTACTCCGTGTTCCGCCCTGCGTTTCAAGTGACCCTGCGTGGTAGAAAACAATGGATTTTACTAATGAAACGCGCTGGAGGTTGCTCAGCTCTATGACACTTGCTTACTCATACTTCATACACTCATACTTCTCGCCGTGTTCGCGCCGGAAGGTAGAGGGAAGGCCCACGGCTAAAGGTCTCAGTCAGCCACACTGTTGAAGCCCATGAAGGCGACTGCCAAATTTGAGTCTCCAGGAGGAACTCGATCCGTACCATTGCCGCGGCATTTCCCAAAACAAGCGCCGTTCTAGTTCGGTTTCATCCATTCATTCCTTGCTCAAAAGGACTGTTTCGAAGGTGGCGTCTCAAGTAGACGGTTGTCGATTGACAAGACGCTCCTGCTTAAACCTGCAAATTTTGCTGTAAGTTTGGTTTTTCTAAAAAAAAAAAAATGGTTTGGTTTGGTTTGTGGGATTTGGAGCCAGCGAGATTTGGGTGGATTTTTGACGGTCGTGCCGTCCCGCCTTTCAGGCCGTGGGACGGCTGTTGCCAGTTTTGGCCGCTAGGGGCGCTAGAGAGCATTCCTCGTTCGAACTGGAGACTAGAGAGCCTAGAGTAAGAGAGAATCGTCAAACGAGGTGGTGGAGGGCCGACGCTGATTGGCTGCGTTCCGATGCGGCCTGTGCGTGCTCACTGGGAAGGTTAGTTTGCCCCTATCGACCAATGATGTGCAACGCTTTTAGGATGGATTGCTTTCCATGACTGTCGAGGTTAAACTTTGGGCTTTTCCGATCGCCGCTACGGCGCTTCGGGTCGGTTATACGCACACAGACTGCATTTTATCTGCTGCTCCGGCCCTACTCCGGCCTCAGCGGACCTCAGCCAATGAACGTCGAGATATCAGACTCTCCCCCACTCCCGGCTCTCTAGTTAGAACCATAGCGACGCGACAGTGGCGCCAAACATATGTTTTGTTTTTTCTGAAGGGAAGGGTGGGAAGGGTTGTTTCTGCTCTTGCACTAGATGCACAGATGTCAGTCTCTTAACTCCATTTGGATGAACTGAGGTACTCGTTTGATAGAGATTTCTACCAGCACGGTGTTCTTCCTGACTGACTTGAACAGTTTTGCAAAGAAGAATTGTCACGAGCATTGGGAAACGCTTCCCATTCATCTAACCTCATCTATAGCCCATATTTGAGTAAGAAGTGCTCATTGCCATATTAGTTGCTCTATCTCTGTCCATTCTGTATTATAGCAGATATTATCTTAAGAATTTAATCCTTTCCATGTTTTGTGTTCGTCAATTTGTTTTCTTTAAGATTTTTCAGGTCCAGCAGTGACAATGGGTACAAGAAAGAAGTCAGGTGGGCCCAAATTTGATTTGAGTGCTGAACAGCGAGCTGACATCAAAGAAGCATTTGATCTCTTTGACACTGAAGGCAAAGGAAAAATTGAAACGAAAGAACTGAAGGTAACTTGTTTTCTTTTTTAACAAAAGCCCATTAATTTTTTTTTATTTTTCATTAATTTTGTCTGTACTTCTTCCACAGGTTGCCATGAGGGCACTTGGGTTTGAACCTAAAAAAGAGGAAATCAAGAAAATGGTTGCTGAAGTTGATAAAGACGACACAGGTACAATACCGTTAAGCTTTCAGAATTAATCAGTATTCGTGTCACACATCTTGACTTTCAATTTTTTTTTATTTGCTTAGGCAAACTGTCTTTTGAAGAGTTTTTGAACTTGATGACAACCAAAATGGCTGAAAAAGACACTAAGGAAGAAATCATGAAAGCTTTCAGACTTTTTGATGATGATGAAACAGGGAAAATTACATTTGAAAATTTGAAAAGAGTAGCAACAGAATTGGGCGAAAATTTAACTGATGAAGAACTTCATGTAAGGAGTACAACTGCTACATGTTTTTACAAATTTGATTGTTAAGATCTTCTCTACTGATGAATTAAATTTTCAGGAAATGATTGAGGAGGCGGACCGTGATGGTGATCACAAAATAAGCCAAGAAGAATTTTTACGCATTATGAAGAAAACAAGTCTCTACTAAATTTTCAATGTTCAATCAGTTTTAATCTGGGTGCATTTATATTATAATATTCTCTCTTGAATTCTGGTAAAATTTTCATTATGGTATTGTATGGAAAGGCTAAGAGGTTTCCATTCAAGTTTTCTTACCTAACTACTATGTGTGGTGTGGTTTAATGGTGAAGGTGTCAATGACCTGGTATTCTAACTGGGCCTCTAAGTCTTTAGGAAATCCAATGCTACTTTGAATTTCCATCAATTACAATACATGCCTCTGTCTGCCCTAATGCACATGTGTTTAAATTGTGTTCTGTGATTTTACTGGAAAGTAAGGTCTAACTGCCTCACTGAGGAAAGATTCTCTATTCATTGATTCATTTAGAAGTATTCATTTATTCAAAGACTTATAAAATCCAGAATTTTTTTTGTTTGTTTGTTTCTTTCTTTCTTTCCATGGCTTTACTTGAGTATTAATATAAATTGTTCCCTGTGTGATTGTAACTTACCGAAACTTAATATGTATGAAGTAATTTTATTTTTCTGTTCTAAAGATAATCAGTGACATATCCTTAAATAAGAATTTTGTTAGTATTTTAGATGTTGGTCCATGTTAATGTTTATCAATACTTTCCAGAAGATTGTATCTTTTGTGATTCCTCCTCATGTACTAGTAAGAACATTGCCATTCCCAAGTCTGTTATTATTGCATCACAATTATTTTGAATTTTCTGTGGCATGGTGTATTTTCCTGACTCTCTACTGTGTCTAGTCATACCCCAATTATGTTTACTGTGTTAACTGAACAAATTACTGAAAGTGTCAAACAGAGCATACCTGTTTAGTATTTGTACCCTGCCAGTGTTTTTTCCTATTGTATTTAGTTTGTAAGTCGTGTGGCCTATTATTTGCTTCAATGGAGACCATGCTCTGAAGTTTCATGGGGTGTTGTAATATGGGTGCCACCTGAAACCTATTTTTTTGCTCGCCCAAATAAATGAGTATTTATCTCAAATGTTGTGTTTCTTCTACATCAGTCTGAAAAAGTGACCCTAAACTAGAGAAAGGCTTTTTAATCTGCGTGAAAGTTCATTTTCGGGAAGTGAAAAGCAAAAGTCGGTTGATGATTCGATCAAGAAGGAACCCCTGACTGGGCAGGCAGTCCCGCGACACATACGTGCTGGGCGGGCTGGCATGGCGTTGCTTCTCAGGCGCTAAGTCGGCCTCTCCAGAAATTGAACTTGCAGCATTTGCACAAAGTTCCCGGGTCTCTGTGGAGGCTGAAGTGTCACAGCGAGAACTCACGCTCGGACTGGACTTCCCTGTCGACTCCCCACCAATGGATCAGTCTCCCTGGCCGGTCCCATACATGCGGCAACCCCCAGTCAAGCGGACCTGCTGCACTGCGCCTATCTCTCTGGCACCTACAAGGAACGCCCGATGACAGAGAGAGAGAGGCGGCCTCTCACGGAATCAGTGACCCCAGGCCTCCGGGGGAACATCCCCCGCCAAGTCATCCTGTCCCCGCCGACTGATTCCGAGCGGGACGACCCCCCCCCCTCTCTCTCTCTCACCCATGGGTGCGAAAGAGACAGGCCGACGGGACCCCCCGCTCGGTATGAGCCTATGCTGGCCGGGCCGGCCGCCCCCGCGAGCCGCTCAGGGGCGGCGTGCGCCGAGAGCGCCAAGCAGGCATCAGCTCCTACCCCCGGCCGGCCAGGCGGGCCGCCACTGCCGCCAGGCGGGCCCCTGCTCCCTACTCCAGCGCAGTCCTCTCCTCAGTCGGTTGCAGAGCGCCCCGCGGGAGGGTCGAACAGAGAGACGGTCCACCGGCACTCTCAGTGCTACTCCTACTCTCGCTACGCCCCTCCCGGACTCGGCCCTCCGCCCTCCGCCAGTGTCCCTGCCTGGCGCTGCTGCCCGCCAACGCCAACTTTCCAGGGGCGCCCCGCCGAGCCGAACCGCGAGCACCTGCAAGACCCGCAAGCCGCCACAGGTGAGGCAGAGTGATGCCCTCGGCCGTGGCCGACACGGCGTGGCCGACACGGCGTGGCGTCGCCGCGAACCTAGGCAGCACGTCGTCTTCGTGTCAAAGTGACACCAAATCGGCACGATACAGTCAACATCGGGGACCATTTCGACGTCGCGATGAACAAAAAAAGTGACATAAAGTGATCTGATAGTGACGGCTGCTTCTCCTCGGGCCCCAAAGCAGTGTCCTGCGCGTCCGCGTCGTTGGGGTTGCCTGATGCCTGGGGCTGTCGGGGCGGTCCGGGGTAGGCCGCTGTCGCTGCACCCCGGGAGTCGTTGCCTATGGCGTTGCCTTCCTTTGCCCGCCGAGAGGTGCAGCGTTCGAGCAGGAAGAGCATGTAAAATTGAAGAGACAGGGTGCGTCGCTGTTGGCGTGGTCCTGCTCACCGGAAAAGAGAGACTGGGACGATTAGATCATGGGAGCGGTTTCCGACAAGTCTCTCGTCGGCCTGTATCGCTCGCACTCACGGGGCGTTCCGTCTAGAAGAACAGATCGACGAAGCGCTGTGTGCAAAACAGTGTTGACTTGCAAAAGCTTGGATCACAAATGAATCACCGCAGAGCCGCATGGTCATTAGGTCTTGTGGGAATCAAAAGCAAAATAATGCCAGCTGTGAGATCGGTTGTGTTTGCTGCGTTGCTCTCACAGCAAATAACGATTACGAAAGGACGAATTTTATCTGCCGCCGCAGATCATTGATAAGCGGGCGATCACGTTCACCGGATAGCAGTCACAAATCTAATCCAAAAATAGCAAGGGGACTTTCAAAGAGTGGATTCGCTCGCACTGGGGCATCGAGACACGGAAGCCTCGCGCTGGATAGGAGATATGCCACTACGCGCCCCGCACTTCGTCTCTCTCGCACTCAAGGGGCGCCCAGAAAAAGCGCGGGAGAGGCAGAGCGACGGAACGCCGTGGGGGATCAGTGTACTGGGTACGCCACCGCGGCTCTGCTTTTACTTTTGCCCCGGAATAACCGGAAGTTAGCCGGAAGTGGGGAAGGGTCGGCACGCAGACGGCCGGCCAGAAAGTGTGTCACTACAGTGTGGTGTCGGTGTCACCGTGCGACCGAACCGAACCGAACCGAACCGCTGCCCTGCCTGGCCTGGCCCCTGCCTGGCCAGGGCGGCCTGGCAGCCCGTCGGCCGGTGCTAATCGAACCGCTCTGTTATGTGGCCTGTCCCTTTCGCCGACCGGCCTATCCGTGTGAGTGCGCGCGTGGGTGTGCGCGTTAGTGTGTGTGTGTGTGTGCGAGAGAGGGAGAGAGAGTGTGTGAGTGTGTCACTGTGTCGTATCGTTTCGCGGTAAGTGGGGTTGGCGCGGCGCGGCGTGCGGCCCCGCGGGGCGGGTTGTTGGGGCGGGTTGTTGGGGCCAGGCCCGGACTGGCCCGGGCCGCGGGGGCGCGATCGCGCCCGGGGCCTCGCGCGAAGCGCGGGGCCTTTCGGCCGCGGGCCACGGGGCCTTTCCACCGCGGGGCCTTCTTGGCCGCGGCAAAGTCACGGTCTTTAACTATTTACGTACTTAAATCAAAGGGGTACCCATTTGAATATTTCTCAAGATTTCGCAGAATTTTGCGTCAAAATTATGCCGGATTCCGCGAGATTTTGTTGGTTGGTATTCCACGAAATTTCTGCCGATTTTACGCATGATTTCGGCAAATCAAGCGCATTTTTGTCCAACTTTGGTCCCAAAATCGTTGCGGTCAAAGGCAAAATCGTTGTGGTCAACGTCTTCCCGAGACGGGCATGAAAGAGTGGGGTCTTAAGAATACTAGAACGTCGAGGGAGGCCTTTTACGTCAACTAGATTGGACACAGTGGCCGCCCAAAGTCAGCAAAATCAGCAAATTTCCGAGATTCGACCACTTTTTGACCAACTTTGGTCCCAAAATCGTTGCGGTCAAAGGCAAAATCGTTGTGGTCAACGTCTTCCCGATACAGGGCATGAAAGAGTGGGGTCTTAAGAATACTAGAACGTCAAGGGAAGCCTTTTGCGGCTACTAGATTGGACACAGTGGCCGCCCAAAGTCAGCAAATCAGCAAATTTCCGAGACTCGACCACTTTTTGACCAACTTTGGTCCCAAAATCGTTGCGGTCAAAGGCAAAATCGTTGTGGTCAACGACTTCCCGATACAGGGCATGAAAGAGTGGGGTCTTAAGAATACTAGAACGTCAAGGGAAGCCTTTTGCGGCTACTAGATTGGACACAGTGGCCGCCCAAAGTCAGCAAATCAGCAAATTTTCGAGACTCGACCACTTTTTGACCAACTTTGGTCCCAAAATCGTTGCGGTCAAAGGCAAAATCGTTGTGGTCAACGTCTTCCCGATACAGGGCATGAAAGAGTAGGGTCATAAGAATACTAGGGCGTCGAGGGAGGCCTTTTACGTCAACTAGATTGGACACAGTGGCCGCCCAAAGTCACCAAACACGGCGTACCCTCCCCTGGCTAGTAAATTTAAAACAATGGACGCATATCGGAAAAGGGGGCCCTTGACGTCACACTGCGACCGGGGCCCTGACTTAGCCAGTCCGGCCCTGGTTGGGGCGGGTGGCTAGGCGGGTTGTATGGCCGGTCATGCTAGCGGGCTGGCCGGGGCTAGCCTTCTCGGTGCCAGGCGGTGCCGGGGGCCCTTCTCGGAACCGCCTACGATGATGACACGAGCCTGCCGCGGCCGCGCGGGGGGTCCTTGGTCTGGGTCCCGCGACGCGCGGTTCCCCGAAGAAGCTTTCGCGTGGCGGTGCAGAAGACTGATTCCGTGAGAGGCCCGTCCCTCTCTCCGTCGCACTCATCAGTCCCGTGCAGGTGCGAGAGAGAAGGACAGTCGGCCGCTCTGCGCGCTCTGCGTGGAATGACTGTGCAGACGGCTCGGCGCGTGGGAGAGAGCGAAGACGCCCAGGCCGGAGCGATGTCGCGTTAGACGCGTCGCGCGCGGAGCGGAGCCAGGACACTGCCTGCTGCCGCCTCCCTTACCGAGCCACGTCGAGCCTGGCGAAGCCGAACCGAGCGTGCGAGCGCGCAGCGGGACCGCGACGGGGAAGTCCTGCAAGGCCGCGGGGCGCGTGTCACGCAGTGTCGCGGACACCGATGACGGCGACGACACCTGCCGGAGGTCCCTCGGGAACGCGCGGCCGCGGGGCTGGAGCGGGGCCGGCGCCCTCCGCACGCGAGGAAGCACAAAAAGGCGCCAACTGCGGTGACACGCTGACGACGACGGCGGCGAGCCACTGACCCGGCTTGACCCGGCTTCGAATCCCGGCGGAGGACAACGGAGAACCTCCTCGCCTTTGGTCGCGCTGTGATTACCCAAGCCGTGCCGCCGCCACCGTCGCCGTCAGTGTCCGCGGGAGCGATGGGGCCGCCGTAGGGCGCCGGCCAGTTGTCCACTCCACCCGAGACTCCACCCTTCGGGCCCCGCGGAGGCGGGCCAGCCATCCTCGCCCTCCCCAGGCCGACTCGCGTGATTCCAGGTGGGCTTTACTCTGCTTCGGCAAAGGCCGTCCGTGGGGACGAGGAGTGGGAGCGACGCTGAGCGGGCACAGCCTTTCACCCTCCGGCTAAGGGCCGCGGCGGCGGCGGCGCGGCACCAGCACGGCACCAGGCGCCATGCAGCCCCCTGCCCCTCCATCTGTCTCCTGATATCGGAGAACTCATTAGAGACCCGGCATTTCGGCATTCTGCTCTTCCATAAAACGCGGGAAATCCGAACCGGTGAGGGGCTGCGCAAGCTGTGGCAAGCCCTAACGAGGGTGGGGCTGGCGGGGCCGGCGGGGCTGGTCGGCGTGCAGAGCAGGACAAGCTGTTGATTACGCGCTGTCGCCGAGGCCGTGGAGGCCGCCACCCCGCACTGCGGGGGCGGGGCGGGGCGGGGCGGAGCATCGCAAATCCGGGCGTGCTTCAATTAGTGGACCACACGGCGTGGCCCTCCCCGCAACATCATAAAATTATTGCCGCTGCGAAACTGTCATCGCTTTTATCCCGGCCCTTGCGCCTGGCGCGTGTTATTACCTGGCGCCGACGAGGAATCGAAGTGGAAGGCGAGGCGATGCGCACATTGTAGGCGCACTGCGCTGCGCTGCACTGCGTCGCCCTCTTGTTGTTGTTTGTGCAGGGCACTGTAGGGCCGGGCGTCACTGCCACACTGCTCCGCTAGCAAACAACATAAAGATAAACGCCGCCTCCTCACCTGGCACGCCAGGCATCGCCTGGCAACAGCACGACGACAACCACGACGAGGCTTAGCATGTTTGATGTTTACGAGGCGAGCACCGGTAGCCCCGCCGAGACAGCCCAAGTCCACGAAGTGGGAGAGGGAAAAAAGAAGACGGTTCCTCGAACAGACAAGGGGAAAAACTGGTGATAGGTTCGGACGCAAGTTCTGGAACTCCGCGCACCCCGACTTTTCCTCCTCGGCTCTTCAGTGCTCTGCAGCTGCCGCCGTCGCGCCCCTTGCTCCTCCACTCCACTGCTAGCGCTAGCAGCGCCGCTAGGCCGACAAATAAACGCAGCAGATGCCTCCGTCCCGCAGCTGCCTGCACGTTTTTGCGCCTCTCTTGTTTTTGCGCCGCGGCCCCCTCGTCGAAAGGGTGCCGCTGGAGTGGGAGATTCCGCAGCCTTTCGTCGAACACAACATTTCGAAAATCGCATAACCATCTGTAATTTAGATTTTAAAAATATTGGCGTAATTTGCGAGTACGTAAGTGACTTGGCCACGTAGTATATCCATATCAGTAAGGGCACGTCTTCAGGGAAATGGGTCATTGATCCAAACGTCATGACAGGACTCGCATTCCGGAGCCAGTGACCACTAAATATCAGGAAATGTCCGCGAATCGGACCCGAGCCGAACTCCTGGGAGAGCAATACCTCAGCGAGCGCGGCCACGCCATCCCTACACGGTTCTTCCTCATCGCGCCGAGACAAACATTAATCTTGAGCCCTCGCCGCGGGCCGGCACGCGGCAGCCCTTGCGACGGCCCTTGCGGCAGCCCCCCGAGAGCGTGACCAGAAACCCCGTGGGCCCTCCTCCCCCTCACTCGGCGCGGCGCGTGCGGACCTGGGGAGGGAGGGGACTTGCAGAGGGCCGCGTGGAGGTCCGCGAGGAGCCCTTTGTACTTCCTGAGGGACTCGACGCGCGGCCCCGCGAACCAGGTCCTCGCCGTGGACGCTTGCACTGCGTCCTCGGTGCTTGGCACTCGGCACTCGGGGCGACCGGGCAAGCAGAGCCAGCGGCCTGCTTCCGAGAGTCGGTTTGCCGCTCTGTCTCGCGCGCACCTGTAGGGACGCGCCATGAGTGTGAGAGAGACAGAGCGACGCAAGCGACTCTCGGAATCGGGCTGCCAAGGCGGAACCAGGCGGAAGCGCGTGCAGGATGAGCGCGTTATCGCGTCCTCGCGTGCCTGCCCCCCCCCCCCCCCCCTCTCTCTCTGTCCTGCTACAGTGGGCAGGATGCAGCCCTTTGTCTTCGGCGTGAATAACTCCGCGCCCTGTACTCGCCACCACGCCCCGCCCCGCCCCGCCCCGCCCGCTGAGGGGCACCTGAGACGCCGGCCGCACAAAAGGCGTCGTCCCCCCCCCCCGCTAGATTTGGCCAGCCAAATGGAATGCCGTCCGGCCGTCCCACGCAGCGCCCCAGCAGACGGATTCCGAGAGTCGCTTTCGTCGCTCTGTCTCGCTCGCACTCATGGCGCGTCCGGCGCAGGTGCGAGAGAGACAGAGCGACGAAAACGACTCTCGGAATCAGTCCGCGCTGCGCCGCCAGTTCGGCGAAGCGGCGGCGAAACACTCGCGCTCACTCACCGGAGTGACAACAAAGCGTTCACCACAAAGGCGCCAAAAGGCAAAAGCACTCGCGCCAAAGTTTTAGTTCGGGCGGGAAACTCGGCTTCGCCTGCGTCACCCGCTTCGCCAGCCACGCCACTGGAAGTGGGTTATAAGTCGCGTATGTGGCTGCCGTGTTGCCTTTGAGGTCATTCGGGCTGGAGCAGGGCGGACAGCCAATGGTCTGCTCCCCTCCCCCTCCCCCTCGGCAATAGAGACGTGTCGTTCCCCACCCCGCTCACGCTGAGCTCACTTCCGGCCTCTTCCGGCCCTGGCCCACCCTGGCCGGGCAGCCAGTGTGCAAACAGTAGCCGATCGCTCCTCACTCGAGATGGAGGCCTCCCCGCCGCCACTTTTCCCCTTCTTCAATCATCACTGGGCAAACTTCAATCATGTGGCGGCGATATGTCGTTTTCTCTCGGCGGAGACGGCGTAAGGTTGCGCAATTTCGAATATATTTCGTGCTATTTATCTCATGGGTGAGAGAGACAGACAGACAGACAGACAGACAGACAGACAGACAAGCGCTGGACACGCTACGTAACATGGGCGATGGGACTCTGGCTCTGGGACCGCCCGCCGCCCGCGAACCTCGCCATAGGCAACCAGCGCGCTCCGCAGCGCACGGCTGTGCGACGGGACGGCCCGCCCGGCAGGCGATTACCATTACCACTACGGGCTAGGGCCCCACCACCGACCGCGGAGCACTCATGGGGCACACTGCGAGGGCGCGACGAAGACGGGGCGATAAGCCTTGGATCACTACTCGGCAGACTGACTCTTTGTTTTTGTTTTCGTTTTGCAGGATGGCGGCCGTGTCTCACCTGAGCGTGCTGCTGACCGTGCTGCTGTACCTGACGGCCTCCATCGCCAAGCCCAGCGTGCCGAGAGCCGGCCAGAGCGCGGCCCGCGTCGGCAGCGTCGGCAGCGTCGGCACGTCCAACTTGAGGCAGGTCGGTGTCAGCGACGTCGTCCACAGGCCGCAGGGCCGTTTCCTTGGCCGTTCCAGCCGAGAGTCGTCTTCGTCGCTCCGTCTCTCTTGCACCTATGCGGGACGCCCCACGAGTGCGAGAGAGACGGAGCGACGGAAACGACTCTCGGAATCAGTCTGCAGTGCTCCAGCTGCACTCGGCGCGATGCAAGCGAGCCCTGGATGTCGGCTCCTCTCCCAGTGCCGTGTGCATAATGGAATAAGGGAGATGTGGGGAGGGGGAGGGGGAAGTCGGCTGGTGGCGGAAAGGGAGGGGCGGGGGCAAGCCGCTGCGCATACAAGACGAAGCCACGGATGACGTTGAGCCGGGTGCCGTCCAGTTATGGAGGAGCAGAAAATGGAATGGCGGGCTCTGTGTGTGTGTGCGTGCGTGTGTGTTTGTTTGTGTGAGTATGTGCGATTGCGGGTGTATGTGCGCTTAACCCTCAGACGAGGCATTCCAAACTCCCCTACAAAGCAGAACGGTCCACTCCACTCTCCACTGCGAGACGCGCGAGCTGCCCCAGCTGCCCAGGGTCCAGCCCGGTCCGGTCCGACCCCAACGCGCGCTCTGCACCACAGTACTGCCGTCCGCGCCGCGACGCTGGACGAGGGATCAGAATATATTCCGGCTCCGGCCGTCGGATGTTGGTTAAATCAAGTCGTGTCGAATTTCACGGCCATTTGGCTCACATACAAGAATGAAGGCCCGGGGAAGTCTCGAGAGCCGAGCCAGCACAGGGACGTTCCGTTTGATAAAATACGAAAATTCTTCGTTTCCCTCTCGTGCGGTTTCGCCTGCTGACGTACCGTGCCGCGTGAACATTGCCTGATAGCCTCTATCTAGGTGATGGCATGGAAGAAGTGCCGTGCCGCGCCGCGCCGCGCTGCGTGTGGGCGTCGAAGCACGCCGTCGCCGTTGCCGGGTGCCGGGGCGCGGGCGGAGCCTTGTATAAATAGTTGCTAACGCTCTCAGCCGAGTGAACTCGCTTAACGAGCTGCACCTCTGCCGCTCGCCCGCCTGGCGTCGTCCGCACGCTGAGTTTAGTTTCCCGCTCCAGCAGGCTGACGTCGAACAGCCGTCTCGCCGCTCCGCCTCTCTCTCGCAGTGGAGCGACAGAGACAGGGCGACCGCGTCCGGATGCAGCCCTCGGGCCGCGCTGCCCCGCGGGGTGGGCCTGGGGCGGCCTGGGGCGCCTGGGGCGGGGCCTAGGCCGCAGCAACAAGTCGACCGCCAGCAGCCCGGTCCACAGTGGGCTAGAAGACCGGCGGAGGCGGCCGAAATTCCACGAGCTCCACAGTCGCTAAATGGGACTCGAAACGAACGTGTGACCCCACCAATGGATTCCTCGTTCGGAGAGCATTCCATTGATGGGGTCACACGTTCGTTTCGAGTCCCATTTAGCGACCCTGGAGCTCAAAACACGTCCAGAGTTTTGGCCGCCTCCACCGATCTTCTGGCCCACTGTGCGGCCTCGGCTCGACCTCGGCTCGGCCTGGCCTGGCCTCTCCGCCATCCATCGCCTCGCGGCCTCGCCTTGCCTCGCGTAGCCTCGCGCCGCCCGCCCGGCACGCCGGCACGGCCTCTTCATCTTCCGCACGGCGGACTAGACGTCGAACGCGGCGAGACGAGGCGAGGCGAGACGGGCTCATTTTCTCGCTACTCGACGCGGAGCGCGAGGCTGTCAAATAATGCACGTCTGCCTCGCGCTCTTCAACGAGCGCTCCCTGCAGACTGATTCCGAGAGTCGTTCTCGCCGCTCTGTCTCTCTCGCACCTATACGGCGCGCCCCACGAGTGCGCGAAAGACAGAGCGACGAAAACGACTCTCGGAATGAGTCTGCACGGCGCCGCCGGCAGGAACTTGAAGCCTCTTGCGGTCGACAGCCGCACGCCGCTTCATTCTTCAGAGTGTTTCGCGCGCGGTTACGAAATCGACCGGCGATATTGCTTTCCATTAATGATTGATTTGAACGGGTGTCTATTAGTTGACCTTGCCTCTTGGTTGACCAATATTGACAAATATTCTTCTGGAAAGCACAACACATTTTTCCGACCGGCTGAACGCGAGGCAGACAGCGCCTCCCTTTCGGAGAACCACTAAATCAGCCAGCCACTCAGCCACTCCATTTCAGGTCGGCTACGGATCCGCGCGGTGGCGGCGATGCCTTTTCCCCGAAGAGGCGACGGGGGCGTCAAAGCCGGCGCGGCGGCGTGGCGTGGCGTCGCGAGGCGTGGCGAGGCGAGGCGTGCATAGTGGAATTGGCCATCCAGAGTGGCGAATGAAACGGCTTTTCGGCGGCTAATCCGACTTGGCATCGGATCAGTAATTCTGGTAATTCTATGGCCACACCCCCGCAGCGCCTCATTGACTGTCCAAAGCCCAGCCGCCCCGCGGCCCGCGCGGCGAGGTATTTCTTTTTCATTTTCATTAGACCTGGATTAAAGCGCTGGTCCAGCCCGGGGCCCGGCGGGGTGGCAAAGGGGAGGGGATTCAAGGATTCGAATGATCGCGATGGGACTCGGACAGGCCGCTCACCCCGGCCGGCCCCCGCGGCTAGCCACCCAGCAGGCTGATTCCGAAAGTCGGTTTCGTCGCCCCGTCTCTCTCGCACTCGTAGGGCGTGCCGTATAGGTGCGAGAGAGACAGAGCGACGAAAACGACTCTCGAAATCAGTGTGCAGCCCCCGAGGGCTGAACACGTCACCACGCCCTCCGAAAAGGACTGGACGAACTCGATCAAGAGCGAGTCGGTGCGCGCCGCGCGCCCACGCCGAAGCGAAACCCATCTCGCGGTCTATTTTGCTACCGGCACCGGTATTAAGTACAACTTGCCCGCGGCAGCCGCGGCGGGGGGAATGAGAGACCGGCACAGCAAGGGAAGGGGCGGGGGCGGACGGGTGGGCACTGAAAGGAAACAACGCGGACGGGAAAATATTCGCGGGGCGCGAAAGGAGAGACAATCGGATGGAGTCGAACCTCGAACCCTGGCCTTTCGAATCGGGGGCCGCACATCGAGAGCACGCGGCCGCAGGGACACCGCGCATTGAACGTGCCTTTTTCTGCTCTGCCGAGCGCTTCCGCCGCGCGCACTGCTTCGCTCCGTCTCTCTCGCACTCCAATGGCACGCTCCACGAGTGCGAGAGAGACGGAGCGAGAAGCTGGACTGGATCCCGGCGGCGCGGCTCGTGTCGAAGAAGCGCCTCCGCCGCCTTGCCGCGCTCTCCCCTCGAACCACAACGACCGCAATCGCTTGGCCGCGCCACCTGCCCTAGCCGGCCCTAGCCCTCTAGACCCCCTAGCCACCTGTTGCCGCGCAGGGTAGCGGGGGCGCGACCCCCACCCGCCCCTCTGCCCTCAGCAAAGCGCTGAATTCCTCGATGACGGAGGTGGCGGTCGTGGCGGTCTTGGCGGTCTTGTGGTGGACGGCGATCAAGCGCAGTGCCGACGGCCGGCGCGTGACTCTGACTCGCCAGCATCCATTCATTGGTGGGGTCACACGTTCGGTTCGAGTCCTGTTTAGCGACTCTGGAGCTCAAAGCGCGTCTAGAGTGTTTGCCGCCTCCACCGGCCTGCTGGCCCACTGTGCGTATGACCCGAGCCGCCTCGCCCCGCGTCGAGCCACGCATACTACATCCGCGGACTTGTTCCATTTCTACCCCCGAGGAGTCACGACTCCCCCCCCTCCCCGAATCACCATCAAAGCGTGCCGGCCCTGCCTGCCCCCTCTTTACCCGCGACACCTCAGACAATTTCGTGCGTCATCGCACAAAGGTGATGATGGCCCGGCCGCCCCGGCCGCCCCGGCCGTCTCGACACGCGCTGGCACACTGGCGCAAGGTAGTGCCGCAGGCAGGGGTCGCGGGGGCCAAGTCGCCGTGGATGGCCTGGATGGGGCCGGAGTGCCTGGCAACCACCACATGCAGGGGACTCACTGTGCGCACGTGTGTGTGTGTATGTGTGTGTGCGTTTGTGTGCGTGCGTGTGGTGCACACAGCGAACGCGTGACTTTCAGTGCGGAAGAATGGCGCTGGAGGAGACTCGGCTCCAAATGACGCCGAGGAGCGGAATCCGAAAAAGAGAGGGAGAAATGCCATTTTGAGGACGAGTGGCACGACCCTGCGGACAAGTTCGACTAACGCGGGCCTCTTCATTTCGTCCTTCAAAGGACACCGCCCCGCCCGTCGTGTTATTCCGCGGCGGCAAATGTTTCCCCTCGCTTCGAATTTGGCCAACGCCGCGGCCCCGAAGACAAAGACAACACGTGCGGAACGGAACGGAACGGACTCGCCGCGTCTTGTTGCTCTTGGTCGACGGCCCACCCTCTCGCTCTACTCGCGCCCTCCGCGGCGGCGGGCGGCGAGGAAAAGAAAACCCGTGTCCACAGCCGCACCGCTTCGCTTCCAAAACAATCAGGAACGGGTTGTCGGGTACCAACAGTGTACTCACACGGGTGAGAAGCTACACTGCAAAACGCTAGTGCATGCACACATTTTAAACTGTGTGCTTGTCGGGCTCACACTTTCGAACAGCGGTCCTAGGACCTATGCAGTCTCAGTCAGGCGCGCTGTTCAAAAGTGTGTGCCATGCACACATTTGCGTTTTGCAGAGGAGGCGAACGATTCCGAAAGAGACGTTTCCTCGCTCTGTCTCTCTCGCACAACGCAAAGCGACGAAACGACCGCCTTCGGAATCATTCTGCAGCAGGCCCAGCCAGGGTGCCCCCAGGGCCTCGCAGTGTGCGTCGGCCTCACCCCGAGTGCAAGCGATAGCTCATCTGTGCGGCATAGGTGTGGGTGGCTGGGGAAGGGGAGGGGAGGAGGAGGGGAGGGGAAGGGGAAGGGAGGGGGGGGGGTCGCTCATCAGGCCGATTGGTTCCGCGTCGCGCAGGGACCGGACGTCATCGCCCAGCGCCACGCCACGGCGGGCCAAAGACGAACGGCGAGGACGGCGTCGTACAGTGCACGTCGCCGTCGTCGCCGTCGTTCCCGTAGGTGGTGTGAAGGGGGCGTCGGCGTGCTGATTGCCGGTCGAGGGCCTTGCAGTGTGGGCGCGGCGCGGCGTCGAGTGCCGAGGTGCCGCCTCATCCGCGGCGCCCTCGTCGAGCCCCTCGTTCTGCACCGCCGCCCCCGAGTGCGCCAAGTACGCCGCGCCGCCGATTCCGAATGCCGCCGACGGAATGGGGAGGGGAGGGGGAGGGGAAGGAGGAAGGCTTGCCTATTAGGCGCGGGTTACCTGCACGGCTGACCCAGAACGCCGTGTCAAGCAAGCCATCCGCCATCCTCCCCCGGCCGCCTCCAGCACGCTCCAGCGGCCCAGCCTCGCCCAGCCTCGCCCAGCCTCGCCCAGCCTCGCCCAGCCTCGCCCAGCCTCGCCCAGCCTCGCCCAGCCTCGCCCAGCCTCGCCCAGCCTCGCCCAGCCTCGCCCAGCCTCGCCCAGCCTCGCCCAGCCTCGCCCAGCCTCGCCCAGCCTCGCCCAGCCTCGCCCAGCCTCGCCCAGCCTCGCCCAGCCTCGCCCAGCCTCGCCCAGCCTCGCCCAGCCTCGCCCAGCCTCGCCCAGCCTCGCCGCCTCGCCCAGCCTCGCCCAGCCTCGCCCAGCCTCGCCCAGCCTCGCCCAGCCTCGCCCAGCCTCGCCCAGCCTCGCCCAGCCTCGCCCAGCCTCGCCCAGCCTCGCCCAGCCTCGCCCAGCCTCGCCCAGCCTCGCCCAGCCTCGCCCAGCCTCGCCCAGCCTCGCCCAGCCTCGCCCAGCCTCGCCCAGCCTCGCCCAGCCTCGCCCAGCCTCGCCCAGCCTCGCCCAGCCTCGCCCAGCCTCGCCCAGCCTCGCCCAGCCTCGCCCAGCCTCGCCCAGCCTCGCCCAGCCTCGCCCAGCCTCGCCCAGCCTCGCCCAGCCTCGCACAGCCGCCACCCTCTCCCTCTAAAGTGAGCCAATTAGGCTGGGACGGCCGATGACGGCCGAATGGCGGATGGGGTCGGGAGCCCTATCGGGTTGCCGTCGGTGTGGAGGTTGAGGTGGCCCTGGTTGGCCCAGCAGACTGAGAGTCGTTTTCGTCGATCTGTCCCTCTCGCACTCATGGTGCGTCCCGTGTAGGTGTGAGAGAGACAGAGCGGGGCCAGTCTGCTGGGTGGCCAGGCCGCCACCGCCCTGGTGCCGGCCGGGCAGATTAGCCGGGCGGTCCAAAGGCACGCCGCGGAAGCCGCTCCAGTCTACCACGGCAGTGGCCGAGGGGGAGGGGCCAGGAAGGGCGGGTAAACGTGTCCCCCGGACTCAGAGTTTTGTTTCCCAGCAGCGGTGGAAACTTTGGGGTCTGCGGCATCAAATATGTCCCATCCCGTCCAGCAACAAAGGCGCTTAGGTTTGGGACTTTTTTCCACGCGGACCACTGGGATGAAAGCCACTGGAAGCTGCTTGGGTCACGATGGGTCTTGAGCAGGACGCTGCCGCTGAACACTGCTGAGCCTGGGGGCGTGAATTATGCAATGTTTTACAGCGGCATGTACGTGCGTCAGCTCCGGCCCGGCTCAGGCCTCATCCATTTTTCAAATGTATACAGACCCCATTCAATTCAGTTCGCGCACCGCTCGGAGACCTCACGTGTCCGGCACGTGCTCGTGCAGCACGCCATGACGTGACCCTGCGGACCCCCTGGAGTCTCGGAGAGAGAAAGACTCGGCGGATAAAGGGAGGCGGGCAGCTCGCTGTGTAGCTCTAAAGTTAAACAGCATAACAGATCGACTTAATCGAAAGGGCTGCTTCAAGAGCGAAAATAAACACTGGAAATCGAACGCCACAGGGCAGTCTAAATTAACGCAAATCAGAATCGTGTAGTTTTCTTTTCTTTCCGTTTTCTTCAAAGTAGTAGTCCTTTTTCACGCAAAAGACAATTTACAATCCGTGGTAGGCCGTACGGCCGTTCCAGGCACTCGCCCCTCGAAACAGCCGAAAGCTCTCCGCGAATGGAATGTACTACACGTTCTAGTGTTGAAGGCATGAGGGCGGAGGATTAGTTCGTAGAAGTCAAAGGAACACATTCAGTTTTTTTTTTTTTTTTTACAGTGTTAGAGGTATGTCGACTCTATCACGCGCTTCACAAGTTTCCCCGTGATGCAGTCATTTTCTGGGGCTTGGGTAGCAGCTCACCGGCCGATGGACGGAGGAATTGCTTACAAACTATTACTACGCTAACCTAGGTCGCCACCGCGAGCTTGGGCGGCTCGGGCGCGCAGCGCCATCTCGCGGCGACTCGCGGAACCTCGTCCGCGCGCGAGTCCAGTTTGAGCGGTGACAACACAATAATGCAACGCCACTTTTAGAAAGGTGAAAGTTTATGGCCGCCCCGCGCAAAACAGTGAGCCGCTCCACCGCGTCGGGACAAAGACGGAATCGAAGTCAAACGATGATGGGAGAGGTGTCGACGAGGGTGTCGAAAAGGCGCTCGTGATTCTTTGGTGAACCCCGCCCCGCCCCGCCCCACCTCACCCCGCCCCGCCCCACCTCACCGCGCCCCGCCCCACCTCACCCCGCCCCGCCCCGCAGTATCTGTATCCATTACGTCTTGGCCGCGCACGACTCCCTGTCGGCGGAGAAGAACAAGGCTCGGCCTGCAGCGCCCGGCGGCGCCGCCAGAAAGACAAGGCACGGGACACGGCATTGTTACTGTTATCTTGCTTCGCTCTGCTTGCAGGCACTCGCCGCGTCGCCCCGGATGCCCTTTTTCCCGGAAGGGGCCGAGGCGGCCGACGGGGCCGAAGGGGGCGCCCTGAGCGGACGGGGCCGGGCCAAGCGGACATCGGGCGCCATCCCCATCACAGGTGAGTGAGTCAGCCTGCACACTGATATTCCGAGAGTCGCTTTCGTCGCTCTGTCTCTCTCGCGCCCATACGGGACGCCCCGTGAGTGCGATGGAGAGGGGGCGACGAGGACGGCGCTCGGAATATCAGTGTGCTGGTAAGTCGGTCCCCGCCAAGAGGGCGAGGCAGCCTGAGGGGAGGAGCCGAAGCACCGCAGCCGCCATGAGTGCTCCTGCCTCGCCTGCCCCAAAAAGCCGCCCCCTCACCGAGCAGCAGACTGATTCCGAGAGTCGTTTCGTCTCTCTCGCACCTGCACGGGCCGCCCCGAGAGTGCGAGGGAGACAGAGCGACGTCCGCAGGGCGGCGGGGCACTCGGCCCACACGGTGCACACTTTGGAGGGTTCAAAAACGGCGGCGGGCCGCACCGCAAGTGGCTGCGAGACCTGAAGTTCGTCCTTCGTCCAATTATCTACGGGGGACGTGCAAGCCCCGGCCCAGCCCCGGCCCAGCCCCGGCCATGCCGCAGTGGGCGAGGCAGCGAGGCCCGCGACGCTGCAGACCCAACAACTATCGAAACACTCAAAGTTTTTAATGAACATGATCGTTGGGGCGGTGCCGGGCGGTGCCGGGTGGAAAGGCCAACACGGCCGGGCGGGGGCGCGGTGCGGAAACCAGGACACGACGGAAACAGTGCGGGGAGGAAGCAGAACGGGACCGTCGTCAGACCGGGAACTAAAATGTGCAAACGAAAACAATTTAAAAGATGGAAAGAGACAGAGGCACGAAACATCTGGCGCGCATCGCGTTTACCAGGATTTGCATTTAGGGCGAGGGTGACGTCACTCTTTTTGCCCTTTCCGGGGGGGAGTAGGTCATGACCCTCGTTATTCCCGTGCCGCCCGCGTAACCCAACATGGGTACTTAGGGATGTTTAGATTCTACGCAAGAAACAAAGAGGGGCTCGAAGGGCATTCGATCCACGGAAAGCTTCGCACAGTGGGCCAGAAGACCGGTGTAGGCGGTCAAAATCCCGGAGGTTTTAAGCTCCAGAGTCTCCGAATGAGACTCGATTCGACCCCACCAATAAACTGCTTTCCGAACGAGGAATCCATTGGTGGGGGCCACACGTTCGGTTCGAGTCCTGTTTAGCGACACTTGAACCCCCTTTCGCTGGGCGCTATCACCGGGTTCGAGTACCGGCTGCGGTTAGCGTGCGGCCCGGCAACGCCAGGTGTTTTTGGCCCCGCGCCGCCACGGCCGTGCGTGCACTGCAAAGGGCTGCACGGCGCGGCGTCTGACTGCGTCTGACTCGACACCAGTTACCGCCGACGTGGGCGGCCACGCTGTGCAGCGCGTTGCACCGCGCGTTGCCCCGCGTGCACACTGCACCAGTCCGCATGGACGAGCAGCCTGATTTGACCACAGCGTCGCCCACTCTGCAAACCGTCCGCATCATGTCTGTTGACATCAAAGATAAATAAATGAGAAGGAAAGAAAACAGATATAATCACCCGTCACGAGAAAATAATCTTTCAAATTATTATTCTTTTGAAATCTTCTGTGAGGGTAGTTGCTTTGAGGCATTTTGCGCGGCACTTTGGCTCCGCGACGCGGTCACCGCCGCCTCCTGAACGAGAACCTGGCCTGGTGGATGTGACCGCGGACTGCGGGCGGCCACCGCAGCCACCGCCACCGCGGAGGAGTTTGGCGGTTGGAGCTTCTTGTCGCGGGCAGACTTCCCGAAACACGCGCACTCACACACAAACACACTTACAGACGCACACACATACACACGCAAGTATCACACGCACACCCTTGCTAGAGACCCACCGTGTGGCAAAGCGCGGGCCAACGTTTGAAACTAATGCGATTGGAATACAATATCAGGTTTGCAAGCTGCGAGTTTGTGGCTTCAGTGTAGGTTCTGAAACCTTGGATTAGTTCATTGTTCAGTAACAACAAATACAGTCACGAACAAAATGAAACGACAAACTCTGATAAAAGTCAAACAAAAAGTTAAGTTGCTGCAATGTCAAAATAGGACCGATCGGGGCCGCGGTGGGTGCAGGCCGTGGCGCGGCGTGGCGCCGGCGCCCTCCCTGAGGCACCCCAGCAGACTGATTCCGAGGGTCGTTTTCGTCGCTCTGTCTGTCTCGCACGCATGAGGCGTCCCGTAAAACTGCGAGAGAGACAGAGCGACGAAAGCGACTCTCGGAATGAGTCTGCTGCTGCCCGCGGTGTGGCCTTCTAGGGCTGCCCATCGCCGCTCGAGGCCCTCGAGGCACTCAAGGCCGCCACCGCTCAGCGCGCTCAGCTTGTTACCGCCCCGCACTTTTATGTGGCGCGGTCGGTTGGTCGCGTTGGGCGGTGGCGCGGTCGGTGCAGCCCGGGGCTGTAAAAGCACCGCGGCACCCCGTCCAGCGGAGGGACCGCGACGGACCGCGAGGACACGAAGAAATAAAACGACAACGAGTTTTCACCCGAGTTAGCGCGCCCGCACCGCGCACCGCCCTGTACACCGACTCCGAGAGCCTCTCTCGCACCCACACGGGACGCCCCATGAGTGCGACAGAGACAGGGCGACGACAACGGCTCTGGGAATCGGTCTGCTGGCGGCCCTGGCCTGGCGCGGACGTGTGTGTGCCGTGCCGGGGCGCCTCGCCCCGAGGCTACAGAATCGACAACGTGCATTCCTCTTCGGGGTCCAAATCATTTTCCTTTACGTCCTTGTTCGTGCCGCCAGCGGGAGCTTCGTTGGGACGCCGAAAGGCCATAATGCAACATCAAAGTCCCGCCCCGGGGCCGTCATCAACACGTTGCTCGGGCAGAGCAGAGCGGTGCAGCGCCTTCTGATCAACAGGTGCGGGGCGGGGCGGAGCGGGCCAATGTGCCCCGACGTCTTTCCGTCGCTCGCTGCGACTTTCTCGCCCTCGTGGTCCGCTTCTTAAGGGTGGGAGGGAGACAGAGCGGGATGGGCCAGCCCGCAGGCTTCCCGCCGGCGTGAAGGGCTGCGGCTGGGGCCCAGCTGCCTGATTCCGAGAGATCGTTTCGTCGCCGTGTCTCTTTCGCACCCCTAACGACGGTCCATGAGTGTGAGAGAGACACAGCGACGTTAAGATCCTTTCGGAATCAAGCGGCAGCGGCCGTCCATTTGTGGGCGGGACGGCTATCGCAGCGCTAACGCTAACGCCCAGTGCCTGATGTAGTGATCTAGTCTGGCGGTCAGGGCCGCCGATCGGCCGACATGGCCAAGGGCGGCCAAGGGCCGTCGTTGCGCGTTACGTCTGCGTCCCGCCCCCCCCCCCCGCCCCCCCGCCCCGCCCCACCCCGCCCCGCCCCACCCCCCCCGCCCCCCCGCCCCGCCCCGCCCCGCCCCACCCGCCCCGCCCCCCGCCCCGCCCCCCCGCCCCACCCCGCCCCGCCCCCCGCCCCACTCCGCCCCGCCCCGCCCCGCCTCGTAACGCGGCAAAGGAAACAAAAGCCGGCCGCATGCCTTGTTCAATTTCGCTCGCAGCGGGCACCGCGGCGCCGTGCCGGGCCGTGCCGTCCGGGAAGGCGCCGCAAAGGCCGTGGGCTCCGACAGACGATCCCGGATAATCCGGCGCCCCACCATGTCGATCGTGTTCCTCGTCGGCGAGGGTCGCGGGGGCGGCGGGGCGGGGCGTGGGGCGAATCTCCGCCACGACGCGTCACGCCGTCACGCGACTCCGGTGCGCGCTGGACCCTGCTGGACGCCGTCAAGCGCGGACGAACAGCCACTTAGGGTGGGGTGGCTCGGCGGCCTGGCGCAGCCTGGCGGCACGGATAAGGACACGGCAAGTTCACTTCATTGGAGGGTGTGCCCTGACCGCCCTGCTGCCGGCAGACCGATTCCGAGGGGTCGTTTTCTTCGCCCCGTCCCTCTCGCGCCCCTACGGGGCACCCTGTGAGTGCGACACGGGCAGAGCGACGCGAACGGGCCTTCCAAGATCGCTCCGGCCTGCTGCGGCCGTCAGGGCGGCTCGCTCCGTCGGTGCGTTCGCGCGGTTCGCGGCGGTTCGCGGCGGGCAGGGAGGCTGCCGTCATTAAAAGTAGTAAAGCAAGGCGGTGCCTTAAACTCGGCCGTTATGGCGGCGCGTGGGAATGGGGCGGCCGTGCCAAGTTGAGACGAATCTGATTCACGTTGGCGCCGTGCCGTGCCGTGCCCTGCCGTGCTCGCTCTCCCACCGGCAGCTGTAAAACAAGCTTAATGGCGCCGGGCCGCCACTGCTAAGTCCGCGTTAACGATGTCGTCTTGCGGCGCTGCGGCCAGAACGCTACGCCGTTTGGCGGCCAAGTCTCACTGACGCCGCTGATTTGGGCCGCGACCTGTAGGCTCATTCCGAACCGTGCTCTGTCTCTCTCGCACTCACGGGGCGTGCAGCTGGGTGCGAGAGAGACAGAGCGACGGAGCGCTTTGTTCGGAATAATCAGACCCCAGCACTTGCGGGCCTCAGCAGCACGGTGCCGCCATGTCGGCGACCGCGGCGGTGGTGCGTCTCTGTGGCCTGCATGGCGTGGATGGCGGGCGACGAAGGTGCGGCACTGTTTGAGACTAGCCGAGGGCCGCGGGGCGCAGCATGGGCGCAGCCCGGCGCAGCCCCACTCCAGACTGTCTTGACGGACTGAATTCGCTGAATGGCGATGCAGATTGGGAGTCCGGAGCAATTACGTGGCCACCGCGCCACCGCCGCCCTATGTGCACGCCGACGACGAGCAGGGCCTCGAGGAGGATGGCACCGCACCGCAAGGCCGCCAGCAGCGCCGTGCAGACTGCTGCAGCCATCGTCGCCCTGTCTCTCTCGCACTCGTGTGGCGCTCCGTAGGGCTGCGAGAGAGACAGGGCGACGGAACGATATTCGGAATCACTTGTGGATGGGCTCGGGGCGCGCAAGCCAAGGAGGCCCGACCCATCACGACCGCCACCTGCACCCGGGCAGGGCGGGCACCACCCCGGCCGGTCATCAGGCCGACCAGACCCAGACCCGTCTCCACCCTACAAACCACTCGCTGGATTAGCGTGCAGATTAACGCGGGCTGCCTCGCCGCGCCCCGTCAACACCTGCCTCATTGTAAAAGTGGCCGTGTGGCGCCCCGCCCCACCCCACCCCACCCCACCTCACCCCGCCCCGCCCTCGGCAGGAAATTAGCCGTCAGGCGGCGCGCGGCGCGGGCCTGGTAGCAGCCGTGGCGGGACCACGGGGCGCTCCTGGGCAGGACGTGACAACGGCGGCAAGCTGAGTCCGACGCGCTGCTTCGTCGCTCTGCCTCTCTCGCGCCCCAACGCAGCGCGCTATGGGTGCGAGAGAGACAGAGCGACAGAGCGCCGTTTCGGAACGGTCCCCGGGTGAGCCAGCGAGGCCATTACCGGTCCGTAACTCTGTTCCAGAATGCACCTTCGTCTACACGGAGGAGGGCGACTTCTACCTGGACTACGAGGGCGACCCCACCAAGGTGTGCGGGGCCATGTTCCTGGCGCCCGCCAACCAGCGCGTCCAGCTGCGGCTCACCCTGGACGTGCCCTGCTCCACCGGCGGCATGGTCTCGGTGAGCATGGCCTTTTAGGCGTCCTGGCCGAGCCCGTAACGCACGCGAGCGTGGCGGCCGGCCTACCCTCCGCTTTGCAGGCGCTCTGGACCGCGAGACACTGCTGCGTCGCTCAGTCTCTCTCGCACCCCTGCGGCACGCGGCACGACCGGCCAGACCGAGGGCCAGACAGAGAATGCAGTGTTCCGGACCAGCACCAGCCTGCAGCATGCAGGGGCAGGCCGGCGGGCCCCGCCGCCGCCCACTCCTTGTCCTCGTCCGGCCCGCCACACAGGCGAGCGCGGCGGGCGGCCTACCCTCCGCTTGGCAGGCGCCCTGGTCCTCACGCCGCGCCGCACAGTGGGCCAGAAGAACGGTGGAGGTGGCCATAATTCTAGACGCGTTTTAAGCTCCAGAGTCGCTAAAGAGGAATGGAACTGACAGTGAGACCCCATAAATGATTTGCTCTCCGAACGAGGAATCCATTGGTGGGGTCGCACGTTCGGTTTGGGCCCCTTTTACCGACTCTGGCGGTGAAAACGCGTCTAGAGTTTTGGCCGCCGCCACCGGTCTTCTGGCCCACTGTGCGGCGCCAGTCCGAAGGACAGAGTGTCGAGATCAAGACCCCGTGGGCGTGCGTCTCGTAAACCGCGCCACACGCGTCAGTCGTGCGGCGGCATGCGTGGGCGACAAACCCCTGGAATCAAATGTGGCAACCGCGTGTCCTCCGTGACGCTACGCCGCGGCACGTTTTACGGCGATCATCCCGCGAGGCTGCGGGGACCATACCGAACAGCGCTTTCGTCGCTCTGTCTCTCCTTCGCTCTCACGCGGCGCTCGGGGGCGCGTCGGCGTGCCTTTTCGGACTGTCTGCCCGCGAGGCGGCGAGGCGCGTCAAAGAGAGGCGGCCCGCGCTGTAAGCCTGTAAGGGCGGCGTGGCGGCGTGGCTTGGCTAATTGTCTTGGTGGAATGGCATGTGTCGCAGAGGGGCTGCCGCCTCTAGTCGGGGCACGCTTTGCGGTGCTCTGCCGCCGCCCCGCCGCCGCGCGCTCAGAGGGTCTCGCACGTCCGACGACGTCGCTCACACGCCTTTATCTATTTCAAAACGAAACAAGAACGAGTGTGACGCTGTTTCAGGGAGATGGCGTGAGAGGTCTCCTCTCAAAAACCAAGACGCCGGTCGGTTTCCGAAGCGCGCTAGGAAAAATCAAGATCAACTCAAAATTGATTTCTGTTTTTTTTTTTGTCAGGTGACGGACGGCTGGGACTACCAGAATCAGTACCTGCCCATGGCGCAGGACCACCCCAAGCCGGACAGCGAGCGGCACACCACGCTGTGCGGCGTGGAGCACACGCAGGCCTTCGAGTCGTCGCAGAACGCGGCGCAGGTCTCCTACCTGCTGCCCACGCCCGCCAGGTTCGCCGTCTCCGTGCGGCACGTCCGGAATCCCACACGTGAGCGTACTCCACTCTCGGCGTTCCCTCTGGTTTTCAAGGGAAAGCCCTGAAATCGGCACTGGCTCCCACGCACTGCAAAAATATATTTAAATCGACTTAAAACAATTAATTAATTGTGGTTCTTATGAAAAAAAATCAACCAAATATTTGTTGATTTTGTTGATTTTCTTTCCTGGTTTTCCGAAGTACCAGCTTCTTTTTCTCTTTCGCCATCGGTCGGTTTGATGCGGGGTTTGAGGCACGTCCGTTTGTCCTGCTGCTGCGTGGCCGTGCGTCGAAATGTGTGCTGGCGGCTCCGGCACGTACACGTGTCAGGGCCCGGCAGGCCGGCAGGCTTTTCGAAGGGCTCGCCCAGCGCCGCCTCCTCCGGCAGAGGGGCTTCCTTCGCGTCCCTAAACGGACGGGGCGCGCCTCGCCCCCGACTCAATCGAATGGGCTCCACTCCACCCCACCACACACAGTGGGCCAGAAGACCAGTGGAGGCGGCCGAAACTCTCGACGCTTTTTGAGCCTCAGAGCCGCCAATTGGGATTCGAATCAAACGTGTGACCCCACCAATGGATTGCTCTCCAAACGAGGAATCCATTGGTGGGGTCGCACGTTCGGTTCGAGTCCCATTTGGCGACTCTGGAGCTCAAAACGCGTCTAGAGTTTCGGCCGCCTCCGCCGGTCTTCCGGCAAATTCACTGTGCCTGACGTGGCCGTGTGCTCGCAGCGTGCAGCGTGATGCTGGGGGACAGCGAGGTGGTGACGCTCAGGAACTTCGGCAAGCGGAGGAACTGCTCCGTGACCACCATCTACCCGTCTGTGGTGCGCATCCTGCAGCTGCAGGTCGGCGTCAACGAGAAGCACCCCAACATGGAGCCGGAGACGGGCACCATCCACAAGGTAAGCTCATTTTGCCCTATTGTTTCCTTCGCCACTCGCGTTTATTCTGCTTCCCTTTTTGGCCGGCGGACACTGTAAAAATAGAGAGAAAGAGTCCATTCAAATCGACATAAACTAGTTTGAGTTCTCTTGACTTAATATTCGAGAAGGCTTCATAGGACTTGACTCTTAGTCGACATGATAAAAACCACGAAAGTCAACCTAATAACAAGTCGAGTTGGCCTTGACTCCTTTTCACAGAGTACTGTGCAGGGTGCGTATTGCGTCGACGAGTGGGGAGGGGAGGGAGAGCCAATGACGCTTCGCTTAACTGCCCCAGTGTGCATGGCGTCGCGTGGGCCGCGTCGACAACGGCCACTTACGCTCAGTAAACGTGCCCCCTCTTCTTCCAGTGCGAAAAGCGGGGCCTGGAGGACTACGTGCAGGTGGCGGGGCTCGGCATGGCGACGGAGCTGGCGGGCCCGGAGACCGTCTTCGGATCGGTGTGTGGACTGGATACAAGCGCAGGTAATTTTACAACAAAACAGAACAAAAAAAAATAGTGAAGTTGGTGGGATTCGAACCCGCGTGATTCGCGCCGCTGACCGGCCCCTTTGCCACCACTCCACCAGGCCGGCCCATGAGCATCCTGTGCGGCGCCCTCAACGTGCGGCTCGTGTCCAGCGGCCGCTACGACAACGCCGTCACGGTCTTCGTCAAGCGGATGGAGACGGAGGAGGAGATGCTGAGCGCCGACTTCTTCTGCGACGCCGAGCTGTGAAACTGAAGGTGAGACGAATGCGCCGCGGCACATTCCGAGAGTCGCGTCTGTCTCTCTCGCACCTATACGGGACGCCCCGTGAGTGTGAGTGAGACAGAGCGACGAAAACGACCCTCGGAATCAGTCTGCTGGGCAAGCAAGGCGATGTTGGCCGTGGCCGCCGTGGCCGCCGCCCGTGTCGTTACGTAACGCTGTCACACTTTTTGTCGCTTTGTTCCAGATCACCGCATCGTCACCGCAGCCGCGCCAGAGCTTCATCTTCCGCCATCGCGCCTCGCGCTTCCAGCCGGACCGCGGCGGCCTCTCCAGTGGACACCGGCGGACAGACAGACGGACAGACGGACAGACGGACAGACAGACAGACAGACAGACAGACAGGCAGACAGACAGGCAGGCAGACAGACAGACAGACAGACGGACAGACAGACAGACAGACAGACAGACAGACAGGCAGACAGACAAACAGACAGGCAGACAGACAGACAGACACCTCCCTTCTGCCGCTGCATCTCCGCCACTCGCAGCGGTCCTGGACTTCCCTGGCGGGGCCGGCGCTGCCCAAGCTGTTTTCGGCGTGCGTCGTTTTATTTTATTTAACGAGATTTAAGTCAATTAGGTTTATTTATTTGAGTACAACTTCAATTTCCAGTAGCGTCACTATCACAGTGTCACAGTGCCATCCTTCACTTAAACTAGCTTCACGTTCCTTTTTTGTTTTAATTTAAAATAATGATGATGATTATTATTAATAAATGTCTTAAGTTTGTTAGTGGTTATTGTGTTTCGTCGGAACGAAAAACTTGTCTATTTTTACTACTAGTTTGACTTCTGCGAGAATACCAAAGATAAAGCGTGCGGAGACGCGCCCAAGCCAGACAGTCTTGGCAATACTGCAGCGTGTAGAGGTTCTTCATGTTCTTTCCCCTCTCCTAGAGCATGGTGACTGTAAGTTTGAAAGTTTCTCGTAGTGCTGATGGGTGTATTTTAAGTACAAAATAAATGTGTCCTCATCGTTTACAAAACACCCACTCCATTGTTGTTTTATAATTCTAAACGTGTCTCTGCAGTATACTGTCGTAGCATTTAGGTCGATTCATCGTTATGTTTGTAAAATTAAAAAAAATCCTAGCTGCATAATATTTTAAACGAAATTGTGTTAATGTCTTGACATTATGTCTCATTTTTCTGATTTCTCCAACACTCATTTTCCAAGTTAAAAAAAAAGTCACAATAAAATAAACGAATTTTAAATATTTGTTTGATTGCCTTCTACCTTTTCCTGCCAGCACCGACACAAAGAAACAAGAAAGAATACAGCTAGCCCACGAGCACATGCAGTTCAAAGGAAAGCGTTTTGCAACAACGAGAACGGTGTGGGAAATCGTGCTCTGCCTAGTGCCCCGGCCGGGCCCCCTCTCTCTGTTTCTCTCTCTCTTTTCCGCCCACTTCTCTGCCCGAAAAACAGACTCCCCCCCTCCCCCTGGCATGCATTGGTGGGAAATTGCATTTACGGCTCCAGGCTGATCCGAGCTTATTGACTTTTGGCTTGCCTGAGCCACCTGTGCCCGGTGCCTCTGCGGGCGACATTATGCGTGCATGTGTGTGCGAGGGGGGGGAAAGGGGACCAATATATGAGGGCGAAAGGCTTCTGGGACAAACAGCTGACACACGTTACTTCGCGGCCCTAGGCAGGCGGGCTGGCCGTGGGGAGTGAAATAAGAACTTCAAACTTTCCCACCAGACTCGAACCAACGTTCCAGCCTCGAGCCAGACGGACGAGCAGACAGAGCGTGCTAGCCGTGGGCGTGAGCTGATCGGATTTCACCAGGAACTCCAGGGAGTAGGAACCAAAAGAAACTCCACGGACTGCAGAAACTCCAGGGCTCCAGGAACAAGGGACAAAACAAACTATATGGGCTGCAGGAACTCCAGCAACAAGGGACCAAAAGAAACTCCACGGACTGCAGGAATTCCAGGGACTCCGGGTACTCCAGGGCCTCTATGGCCTCCCAGAAGAAGGTGCCACGCTTCGCTACACTGCGCACGCCGGCCGGGCTTCGCGGGCTTGACTGAGCATTTCTGGCTTCTGGGCGTTCTGACCGCGCTGAGCTAGACGACGGCGGCGGCCCCGCCCCGCCCCACCCCGCCCCGCCCGCGGTTATAAGTGGCGGTGCGGCCCGCGGGGCTCCTTAGTCCAAACGCGAAGCCGTCGCGCGTGTGTAGTGGAGCGCGGCCGCGTGTGTGTGTGAGTGCGTGCGTGTGTGTGCAGCCAGTGTGTGCTCGAGCATGCAGCCCTCAGCGCGCGCCACGCCCTTCGGCACGCCCCCCGGGGCCCAGGCCGTCCTGCTGGCCGTCGTGTGCGTCGCCAGCCTCGCCAGCGTCGCGGCCGGCACGCCAGGTCAGTCAAAGGCACCGTACTTTCTCCGGCTAGTCCGGATTTGGAGACCGGAGCGTCTTGGCGGCGCCACGGCAGCGCGACGCACCGCGACGCGTATCGCGTGCTTTCCAAACGGACCGCCCAGCAGCAGACTGAATCCGAGAGTCGTTGTCGTCGCCCTGCCTCTCGCGCACCTACAGAGGACGCCCCATGAGTGCGAGAGGGACAGCGCGACGAAAACGACTCTCAGTCTGCTGTCCGGCCGTCCAGCCCCTGGGACCACCCTCCGCCCTTTGCAGCGAGCGGTGCAGGCCGCCGACAGAAGGAATACAAAAGGAGCGCGATAACTGACACTGTTCGCAGTAATCCTCAACTGGACAAAATAGTTCCCTTTGGTGTCATCTTAATTTAATGTTAAAGGTTATTTCTTGTCGCACTTGACGTGATCCGTTCACGAGACGTTCAGTGTCGCGTGACGTCATCTTCCAACGGACACATGGCCCGATTCACGCTCCAACAAACGTGACCTTCGTTGGAACACGGTGATATTTTGTCGCCCGATTTTGAGAGAGAATTTGAAATGCCGGTCTCTTGGCGTCCACAGCGCCGCCGCCCGACATGGACGACCTCAAGAAGGGCCTCTGCAAGGACATCTGCAGTGAAATCAACGGCCTGGACACTTACTACGAGAGCGGCTGCTTCTGCGTCCTCGAGCACGGTCAGTTCGGCGCGGCTTTGTTAACTAGTGTATTTATGCTGCCGTCTTTTTTTTTTTTTGGCGAGCGATGAATTTGTGACGACAGTGGTGTGGACTCGGCGTCGACCCCGGTGGTTGCCCTTCATGCACATGCGGTGCAGCCAATGTGTGTGCCTTTGCTGTGTGTGTGTGTGTGCGTGTGTTAGTGTGTCTGTGTCTGTGTGTGTGTTTGCACGCTAGTCTGTGTGCACAGCACTGCCCTCGCCCTTTAACGACATGTACCCCACCCTCACGCCGTGTACCTTGCCCCGGAGTAACGATATGTGTTCTGCAGTAAGGAATTGCCCCAGTAACGGGGCGAGCGAGCGAGAGAGAGAGAGAGAGAGAGAGAGAGAGAGAGAGAGAGAGAGAGAGAGAGAGGAGGGGGGGGGGGGGGATGAGGGGGGCGGTCAACTGTCGCGCGAAACGGGAAAAGATTTCAATCAGTCAGTGAGACTGGGGGGAGTGTGTTGTACGTTGTTTGTTGTTTGCTTGCAGATCCCACCCCCGAGGAGCGGCCGCGTGTGGGGCGCGCGCTGAGCCGCGGCGAGGCCGTGGGCATGCCCGTCACCACGACGGTGGTGGGCCGCGACCCCGGCCAGACGCGCGAGCAGCGCTGCCTCGTCGGGCTAGCCACGGCGCTGCGGGCGCGCTCAGGGACCGCCAGAGGTACGCCACGCCGACACGCCGACACGCACAGCGGGCCAGAAGACCGGTGGAGGCGGTCAAAATTCCGGACGCGTTTTGAGCTCCAGGGTCGCTGAATGGGACTCGAACTGAACGTGTGACCCCACCAATGGATTGCTCTCCGAACCGTCACACGTTCGGTTCGGGTCCTGTTCAGCGGCTCCGGAGCTCGAAACGCGTCAAGAGTTTCGGCCGCCTCCACCGGTGCTCTGGCTCACTGTGCCACGCCTCCAGTCCGCAGCGGCTGCAATAAGTACCTTTACAGTGTCAGGCCGGCCGGCCGGCCGGTGGGCGCAACGTCACGCTTCGGCGACAGCAAAACGAAGTTTACTCGAGTTTAGTTGAAAAGTCCCGAGGCCGGTGACGTCACGGGGCGCGTTTTATTTCCCCGATCGGCCGGCCGACTTGCCTTGCGGACTTCCCTCGGATCGCCGGGCTGATTCGCTCATTCCGAGAGTCGTTTTCGTCGCTCTGTCCCTCTCGCACTCACGCGGCGTACCCCATCGGTGCGAGAGAGACAGAGCGACGAAAAAGACTCTCGGAATCCGTCTGCTGTTCCTCTCGCTCTCTGAGGGGTGCCCCGGCAGTCTCAGGGGGTGCGAGGGAGACGGCGACGGAGCGCTGTTCGGAAGCAGCCCACGGGGGCGACGGGCCGCCAGTGGGGCCCCCAGTGGGGCCGCCATGGCAGCGCGCAGCGCGCTCAAAGGAGCCCGGTCCACGGCCCGTTTGTGCCGCCCCTTCCCTTGGCCGGAAAGCGGAAAATGGCATGCATCATTATTTTTCTGGTGTTGAATGCTAATAAATGTTTTCTCTCCGGTTCAGCCGCGCTCAGGACCCCCGTGGTTTCCGTGATGAAGGAGCAGCCGCCGCCGGCCGCCGCCTCGATCTCCGTCGTGTCGCCCGTCGTGTCGCCCGGCGTGTCGCCCGGCGTGTCGCCCGGCGTGTCGCCCGGCGTGTCCGTGGCCGCCTCGACACCCCTCGGACAAGGTGAGTGGCACGCAGCGGGCCGAGTCCGAACACCACACTGCTCTCGTCGCTCTGTCTCTCTCGAGTCGCACGGCGGACCGCAGATGTGCGAGAGAGACTGGCCGAGGAGGCACCGTCACCTGGGAGGCTGCGACAGGGCGGCACCCCTTTCGCCACCCACGCATCGTGGTGTGGTCATTTTCGGCCACTTATGTGACAACTCTGAAGCAGAGTCTCAGCGATGCGCACTTGTTGTCTGTCTCTCTCGCGCTCATTAGTAGTCCAGGCGCTTCCCGGCGCGTCTCTCTCAGCCTTCGGCAGAGTCAACGCCCGGGCCTTGTGCTAAAAGGCCGTCCCTGCCCCGTCCCCGCCCCGTCCGTTTATGGACGTGCACTCGGCGACGAGAATCCCATTCGACCCCAGCAGGTTAATTTCGGAACGGTGCGTCGTCGCTCTGTCTGCCCCGCACCTTGACGGGGCGCCCCATGGGTGCGAGAGAGACGGAGCCACGAAGCGCCCTCACGGAATCGTCCTGCAGGAGCTTCTCTGCAAGGTTGCAACAGCGCGGCCGAGGGGGCGGTAGCGGCGGCGGCGCTCGGGGAAGTCCTTGACCAGGGCAGCAGTTCTCGTCGCGCTGTCTCTCTCGCACTCCTCGGGCGTCCCCTTTTGGTGCGAGAGAGACAGAGCGACGAGGGCAGCCCAGGGCCCTTGACGGGGTTGTCGGTCTGACCGGGCGGCGCGCTCGCCCCGCCTCGCCGGCAGCCACTCAAGTTGAATACACCACTCTGGCCCACTATGAATTCCAATATCCGGCCGCTCCGCGACGCTGCGCCGAGTACCGGGTCTCTCGGTACGGACTCGACTCCGCGGAGCCGGAAGTGGCGTTGCTGCCGCGGCCGCGGCCTCGGCCTGAGCCACGTCCTTGGCCACGTCCGAGGGCGAAAGGATTATACTGCTCTGAATGGACGATCCTTCAAGGCGGGAGGCGCGCGTGCCGCGTTTTAAGTCGGCTGCTCTTGCTTGTGCTCTGCACTGCACCTCATTTCCTTTATTTCTTTCAAACGTTTATTTTTCGAATGATTAAAATTTGCCGCTCTCTGGCATCGACGCCGTTTCCTCCTGACCGCGGTGACCCCGGCGGGGCGTGGCGTGGCGTGGCGGGGCGGGGTCAACCCCCTGCCCGGCCTCTGCCGACTTCCGTCTCCCTCGCGCCGAAACGGAACGCCCCATGAGTGCGGGAAGGACAGAGCGACGAAGGTGGCGTTCGGAGTCGCTCTGCAGGGTCTCTGCTCCTCTCCTCCGGCAGCCCAGCCGGCAATGCTCCGCGCTCCGCCTGCTGATTGCCTCTGTATGGCGGCGGCTGATTTGATAATGTTGCAGCGAGCGCGGCGCTGGCGTCCAGGGCCGCCCAGCAGGGCGTCTCCGCCGCGACGCCCCCCGCCGGCACCGTCCCCGTGTCCGTCCTCACCATCGCCGGGCCCCTGCCAGGGCCCCTGCCGACCGCCGACCTCCGCGGCAACCAACGTAAGTCTCCTCTCAGCCTTGCCGCAGGGTTGTCTCGTTTGAGGTTTGAAGTCTGCCTGAAATTGTCTTCGTCAGCACATTTTCACTGTAATTCGTCGAAATGTTGACATCCGCGTCTTTCGTTTTCAGAAGACTGCGTCGGCGCTAGAGGCAACCTCTCCCTGCGACAGCGTGCCCGAGCTAGAGGTGAGTACGTTGCAGTGTAGAGGAACCTGTCCATCTCGTTCGGCACCCGCTCCGTTCAAGTCCTGGACGGCAAGCTTCATTCTCACCGTAGCGCAACAACGTATGTTCCAGCGTCTGCTCGCGCGCCAGCTGCAGGTGGCGTTCTGAGCGCTTCGGCCTCGGCCCCCGCGCCCCGCTACGCCGGCATCGTCGTGGCCCCCGTGCAGACGGCCGCCTCCATCCTCGAGTCGCCGACGGGGGCCTTCAGCTCCATGGCGGGCTCGGTGTTCGGCGCCAACCCCACCGCCTACCAGGAGCCGTACCAGGGCCACCAGGCCACCGTGGTGCTCAACGAGGCCTTCCCCGCCGACTTCGTGTCCGAGGGCGCGCAGTTCATGAGGTCGGCCGCGTCGGCCTCGCAGCGCGTCGCGGACTCCGGGGTGGGGGCCGCCCACGCCGCGGTGCAGCGGGCCACGGACCTGACGGCCAGGGCGGTGGACGCGGGGCTGGGCGCCGCGAGGGGCACCATCGGCGTGGGCCAACGGGCCGCGTCCACGGGGCTGCGCATGGCGGACAAGGCCATCAGGCAGACCGAGGAGGCGGCGACCGCGGCACTGCGGGCGCAGGACAGGGCGGCCAGCCTCCAGTTCCTGCTGCCTCCCGGCGGAGTGGTGGCCAGCAGGTCGCGCGGCGCCGCGCAGGACGGCGGCCAGCGACAGTTCAGCGTCAGCTTCACGGACCCCTTCTACGCCGGGCGGGCCTCCGAGCCGGTCGCCGCGGCGTCGACCACCAAGGCGCAGCGCTCCGTGGACGCGGCATCGCAGATCCCGGAGAAGCGGGAGCGCGGTGCGGGCAGCAGGAGGGCCTCCATGGGCTTGGACCTGTCGCGGTACGCGATGGGCGGTGACTATGCTAGGGACGCCGAGCAGGGCCGGGGCATCCTGACGGACGCGGCCGGCGCGGTGGAGCAGGCGGTGCAGAGCGTCGTGTCGGGCGTGAAGCACGGTGCGGCCACCGTGTCGCACGCCGCGCAGGACGTCTACCACGACCTGACCTCGGGCGTCCAGCACGGCGCGGCGACTGCGTCCGGCGTGGTCCAGGATGCCGTCCACGGCGTTCAGCACGGTGCGGCGTCAGCGGTCGACGCGGCCCAGGGTGCGGTGCAGAGCGCGGTGGCGGGAGTGCAGTCAGGCACTGCCAGCGCGGCCCACGCCGTGCAGGGCGCGTACAACAACGTGGCCTCGGGCGTGCAGCACGGCGCCAACACCGCCGCCGACGTGGTCCAGGACGCGTTCCAGGGCGTTCAGGGCGGCGTTCAGTCCGGAGTGTCCTCAGTGTCCAACCTGGCTAGCGGGGCGCTGGGCACGGCGCAGGACCTGGCGCAGTCCACCACGCACAGGCTGCAGCACGCTGCGCACGAGCTCGCGCCGGCGGTGGGCCACTCCGCGGCGGAGGACGCCAAGGCCAGGGCCGAGGCCAGGGCCGCCACTCGCGACGCGCTGCAGGCCGCGGCCAGCAGGACCATCCAGGCCGTGCAGTCGGTGCAGGGCGCGGCGGGCGCGGCGAGGGACTTGGTGACCAGCACGGCGTCGGACGGCGCCGCCGCGGCGCAGAACGCCCAGGCTGCCGCAGTGCAGCGCGTGCAGGACGTCGCCGGCCGGGTGAAGGGCTCCGTGCAGGGCGTGGCGGGGCAGCTGCAGGGCCAGGTGCAGGACGTCGCCGGCCAGGTGCGCAGCACTGTCGAGGACGTCACGGGGCAGAGCGCGCAGGTGGTGCAGGGCGTGAGGGACGCCGTCAAGGGCACGGTGCTGGACGCGGCGGGCCAGGTCCGCGGCCAGGTGGACAGCCTCCAGCAGGCCGTGCAGGGCTCCGTCATGGACGCCCAGACGGCCGCGCGCGACGCCATCCTCGCGGCTGCGTCCAGCGGAGTGTCGCGCGGCCAGCAGATGTCGCAGGGCGCGATGGACGCCGCGCAGGCCGCCGTCTCGTCGGCCATCGACAAGGTGAAGAAGGCCATGGGCACGGCCACCTCCACGGGGGCGGGCACTGCCTTGGGCACCGCACGCAGCGCGCTCTCCGGCCTGGGCTCGGGTCTGGGCAGCCTGAGGGCGGCGTACCAGGGCTTCCAGGACTACCAGCGAGGCTACCCTCAGCGCCAACCCCAGGGCTACCCAGGCTACCCCGGCTACCCTGCCTACCCGGCTCAGCAGGGCTATGGGGGCTACGGGGGCTTCCAGTCCCAGACCGGCTTCCCGCAAGGCAACTCCCAGAGCTTCCAGTCCCAGAGCGACTTCCCCCAAGGGAGTCCCCAGGGCTTCCAGTCGCAGACCGGCTTTTCGCTTGGTAACCCGCAGTCCTTCCAGCAGCCCCTCCAGCAGCCCTTCCAGCAGGACGTGCCCGGGTCGTCCTGGGCGCAGCAGGCCATCGACGGCATCGCGGCGGAGGCCAACGGCGCGGGCCTGGACGCGGCCAACGCGGGCTTCCGTGCGGCCGGCGCGGCCCTGAGCACGCCCCGCCAGGTCGGCGTCGGCGTGGCCAAGGACGGCCTCGGGCTGGCCAGGGCGGCCGTCAGCGCCCTGCCCCTGGGCTGGGCTGGCAGGTTCGCCGCGCTCAACCTCGCCGACGCGGCGCCCAGAAGCGGGTCCGCGTCGTGGTCCGTGTCGCCGACCGGCGCCACCGTCAGCGTCGACGGCGTGCCCTCCGGCGTGATCGTCAGCAAGCACCAGCGTCGCGACGCGCGCCACGAGCCCGTCGTCAAGCAGTGAAGTGTCGACGGGTCGTTTAGAAATGAAATGAAAGTGTAGCACTGTGCTACTGTGCCGTTTCTCTGTAAATTAAACCGTCTTGCGTTGTGATACGTGTGTAAAAAAAGTACAAACAACTTTTATATTGTGAATTTCCGGGTTGTGTAAGACTGTGTAAATATTTTTCTATTTATTCAATAAATTATCTATAAAAACTTTTACTTTGGTTTTGTCTTGTTTTTCTTTAATACATCCGCTTTTCCTAAAAATAAAAGGGCTGCAACTAACCAAACCAAAGATTTGCTCCAATTCAACACGCTTGTTAAAAAAAGCATGCAAGTAATGCAGTAACCTTCATCCCTAAGTTGTAACATGGACTGATTTACCCTGGTTCGAGTCTCTCCAGGGCCCTCATTTTCAAGCGTCCCTAATTGGTAACCTAGAAAAACAAACAGTTGAGACAGTCCATGATTTCATATTGTCTTCAACCCGCGACGGTTTTCTCCGGGTGGACAACAAACAGTCCATTCGACGAACGAGTCGCCTTCACTTGGCGTAGCTCGGCGCAAAACAGGCGAAGCGGGCTAATTTGCTTGCTAATGAAATCGTTTCCTGGAGGGGACGTGGGAATGCGGTCAAGGGGCTCCCGGTCACCCAGCCACCCAGCCTCGAGCAGTGCCGGCATCCACACTTTCAAAAACATTGACCACTTTTTAAATGCTCTGGTGAACTCTGCTATTTAGTCGAGCGTCACGCCCAGCGCTTTCACCTTGGACCCTTGTAGCTCGGGAAAGTGCGAGGGAGAGCGGGGCAAGTGCAGGGCTAAGCAAATCGTTCCTGGAGGGCAGACGCTGGGCAGCGGCAAGGGGCGGGCGGCACGGCAGGCACGCAGCCGCAGGAGGCAGGCCAGGCAGGCAGGGCAGCAGGGAAAAGCAGGGCAGGGCAGGCAGGGCATTAGGCAGGGCAGGGCAGGCGGGCAGGCAGGGCAGGGCAGGCAGGGCAGGGCAGGCAGGGCAGGGCGGGAGGGCAGGCAGGGCAGGGCAGGGCAGGCAGGCAGGGCAGGGCAGGGCAGGCAAGGGCAGGGCAGGGCAGGGCAGGGCAGGGCAGGGCAGGGCAAGGCAGGGCAGGGCAGGGCAGGGCAGGGCAGGGCAGGGCAGGGCAGGGCAGGGCAGGGCAGGGCAGGGCAGGGCAGGGCAGGGCAGGGCAGGGCAGGGCAGGCACTCCGCGGGGTGCTCGGCGCGCCCAGCAGGAGTTGAGCTGACGGGACGGCTGGGGTTTGTAGGTCGACAACCGGCCGAGGGAAATGTGCAGGGAATGCGCTGGGCTGGCGGGGGTGTGGCGTGGCGTGGCGTGGCGTGGCGGCGCGTGGCCGCGGCTGTCCGCTTGACTCCGCCACTCCACTGCGGGGAAAGGCCTGGGTGGGCATTGCTGCGCGTTGAGCGCCAAGCGGCGAAGCGCGGCTATTCCAGAGGATCGGCATCAGCGAAACGCGCCTCCAACTCAGCACCTGGCGGCCAGCGTCAGCATGGCAGACTGATTCCGAGAGTCGTTTTCGTCGCTCTGTCCCTCTCGCACTCACAGGGCGTCCTGTATGGGTGAGGGACAGGGCGACGAAATCGGCTCTCGGAATCGGTCTGCAAGTGTCAAGCGTCAGCGCCAGCGGTTGAACCAGCCACTACCCGCCCATGCCGGGGGCCGCAGCACCCCCACCCCCTCCCTTTTCCCTCTCCGTCTCCGACCGTTCCGCACCCTTTTAATGACTGGAACAATTGGAAGTAGTTAAAGGACGTGATCTCGCTTTAATTGCCTCTCATCCCTGAAGTCTCTTTTGTTCCGCTTTGTTTGTTGTTCGTAGAGCCTCCTGGTACACTCCACTGTAGGCCCGCTGGCGTCTTCCTTTCATCGGCCTGTCCCGCCATTTTGCATCAAGTGCTTGGGCCAGGTCAGTGTGGGCCGGGCCTTGGGCCTCGGGCCGGGCAGGGCACTGCGGGGGCGTGACGCGGCCTTCCAGGGCCCTACGCAACTGTGCCTCGCCGCTCCGCCTCTCTCGCACCCCTCCAGGACGCCCCATGAATGCGAGAAAGGCAGAGCGACGCTAAATAAAGCACCACCGTGCCGGAACCAGCTGCACTGGAGAGGACGAAAGGGTCGCCCCCGATTCCAGTTCATTACTGGAGCTGTCGATGCGGCGGCTCGAGACAACGGCAGACTGAGTTGCTCTGTCTCCCTCGCACCTATACGGCACGCCCCATGAGTGCGAGAGAGACAGAGCGACTCTCGGAATCGGCCTGCAGCATGGCGACGAGCATGGCGTGGGCGGAGCGCGACGTCATCGGGGCAATCAGCAGTGCGGGGGCCCGCGGCCCGCGGCCCGCGGCTGGGTCAACACGGCGAGAAAACAGCGCATGCTGATGAAGGTGAAATGATCTTTTCGGAACAGAGGCCAGCCGCACGCAGATCCTTTTCGGAGCGAGAGAGACAGAGCGACGATGGCGATGCGCGGAATCCCGCTCCGCAGGGCCACCAGACTGATTACGAGGATCGTTTTCGTCGCTCTGTCTCGCTCACACTCATGGGGCGTCCCGTACGGGTGCGAGAGAGACAGAGCGACGAAAACGACTCTCGCAACCAGCCTGCAGATGGGATGGCCGAAGGGACGCGAAGCCATTCACTGGGTCGCGGGGCAGCCACCGGCAGCCACGAGGTAGTCAAGAAGCAGCCCACGCGACGCGAAGCGCGAAACGCCAAGAGACAAAAATTCGAAAAGGCAGTCCGCTGAATGGCCTCCGTGTCTCGTGCGGCCCCTTCGGGTCCCTTTCATACCGCCGCGCGCACCCGCAGGCTGACTCCGAGCAGGGTTCTCGTTCTCTCGGTCTCTCTCGCACTCACCAGGCGTCGCGTAGAGGGGCGGGATGGACGAGAGCGACGAAGCCCCGTTCGCATTCAGCCTTTCTGTAGTCGCGGCCCCTGAAAAAGCTTCCCTTTCATGTTTCCGCGGACCGAGGGCCGAGGGCCGAGGGCCGAGGGCCGGGACGGTCCCCGGGGAGTAACGGTCCGCGCGCCGTTCGCCTCGTCGCCTACAAGGTGCCCCAGAGCGCCCCGGACACCGGGAGGGCTGGACGCCGCGACGCCGCGACGCCGCCGAGGTGCGTTGCCATTACCCGAGGCCGAGGTCGCGACCCCCAGCGCCACCCAGCACCAGGACCACCACCAGGACCGATTCGTCGCTCTGTCTCTCTCGCACTGATAGGGCGCCCCGTGTGGGTGCGAGAGAGACAGAGCGACGAAAACGACTCTCGGAATCGGTCTGCGGGACCACGGGTGGCAGCACAGCGCAGCGCCGCCTGCGTGATTAACATTACCAATTGAATGAATTTAATTTTCAATGCGTTGTTGACGTTGCGTAAACGAGCCGGCCCCAGTGAACGTGGGCCCCTTCTTTGATGGAGCGCGGTTCCCGGCCGCGTCCCCGTCCCGGTCCCCGCTCCGGGACGCTGCCTCGGGGGCGGGGCTCCTTGCCCAGCGCGGCGTGGTGGTCGCTCCACTGCTGAGCGATGCCCCAGAGTCGTCCTGTCTCTCTCGCGCCCCCAACAGGACGCGCCGTGCGTGCGACAGAGACAGAACGGCGGAGTGACTCTTCGGAACGACGTGTGGTCGGTACCGGTACGGCTATAAGACTCTGGGGTGCATCCGGCCGCCGGCCAGTGCACTCCCACGATCGGCCGGTCGAGCCCCGCGTCGTCCTCATCCTGCCCCGCGCACCGCGTGCGGCCACAAGTGTTCCCCGGAGTGCGCGCAAGTGTTGGACTTTCACACGGGAGGTACGCCATGCCGCTCACTGAAGCAATCTTCTTTCACCGGAGGCATTTTATTGGATTCACTGTTCGCTTCGTCACCATGTCGCCGAGCCTCTGTGCTTCCGGGGATCCCCGCCCCCTCGCCCGCCCCCGCGACGACAGCGGAGCGACAGCTGCTGACGCGTACCGGAATGTGAATATGGATGTGCACGGCGAGGCAGCAGGGAATACCGCGTTCGACTCGGGGCATCCCCTGGCCTGGGGGTGGGGGGTGGGGGCGCGCGCAGCGCGGCAACGCTTTCCCAAGAAATCGGCGATCTAAAGCCCTCCCGCCGCGCTGAGGAAAAGCCCACCCCCAAGACCGGGCAGAAAGAGGGCCAGGAATAGGAATTTGCAGATCAAGTGTCGTTTTGTTTGTTTGCTATTACTTTGGGACGTTCTTCTTGTTTCTTGCGTTTCTTTATGTTTACCCGGTACGTGTACACGAATCTGAAAAATGATTCGGGAACGAGGGGAAGGCAGGGAGACACAGAGCACCGCGCCGTGGAAACTAAACGGAGGGAAAGTCGTTGTATTGCTTGTCACGGGATATCGAGTCGTGTCACCCGCACACGCCGACAGGCCGGGAGGACTAGACCGGTCGCCGCGTCACGGCTGCGTCGCCAAGCGAGAAACAAACAATCCCTCAAACTCCGTCGGGACGCGAACCTGCCCCCGGACGCCGATCCATTTTTCACCGGCCGGGGCAAGTCACGTTATTTATTCATTTTCCTAAGTTTTTTGTTTCTCCCACTTCCCGACGTTCCAGCAGGACGCTCCGCGACAACATGCTCACCGGTGCCGCCGCCCCGTCCGTCTTCGGCGTGCTGCTGGCCTGCCTGTCCTGCGCCGCCCCCGCCGCCGGGCGCATCGTGGACGTGCCGCCGCCGGAGTCCGGGGCCGCGCGGCCCGCCACCGCCACCACCACGGAGGCGGTGATGGTGGTGCACGCCCAGAGCCTCAACCAGATGAACCAGCGGAGGTAGGCGAGGCGACTCGCGTGGCGGGGCACGTGACGTGACGTCACGCCGCCGTGCGTCGATGTCGTTTTCCGTTTCGGCGAGAGTGCGCCGCCCGGCGCCGCCAGGAAAGCAGGCCGTGCGTGATGCACTGATCGGACTTTCTCTCTCGCACCCATTCGGCACTCTCCATGAGTGAGAGGGAGAGAGGTCGAGTGACGTCCCGCGCGGAGTGAGTGTGCCGCACGCGGACGTCGCGGACATGGGTGACGGCCTCCCTCTGATTGCAGGTCCCGGTCGCACTGGCCGCACCCGTCGCCGGCCACCGCGCTGCACGCTTTCTCCTCCTCCGTGACGTCCGACTCGCCGGACTGGGGCAGCGGCGGCAGCGTCACCCGTAAGCCACGCAGACCGATCCCGCGTCGCGTCTCTCTCGCACCGACGGGACGCCCCGTGCGTGCGAGAGAGACCGCGCGGCGATTGCGCGGAATCAGTCGATCAGTTCGCCCCCGAGGCCCCCGCCGCCCCCGCCGCCCCCGCCCACCAGGACGAGCCGAGCGTTAAGTTGGCCGTCGTCGGCCCGCCCACGCGGCCGGCGCTGCGCCCGCCGCGTCTCCATCGAGTAGAGCGCCAGGCCGAAGAATCGCTTCGTCACTCTCTCGCAGCCGTGCGGCCGTACGGGTGCGACAGAGACAGAGCGACGCTTCGGTGTCAGTCTGGTGTGGTGTGTGCGTTGTCTTTGAGCCCAGCTTGGCCCGGCCCGGCCACCGCGCCGCCGGCATGTAAATCGATTTCCGCGGTGCGACGCGCCAATTTATCATCAAATCTGGCGGTCGGCGCGGCCCTGGGGATGAGGATGGGATGGGGAATCTGGCACCAGCTCCCCACGTGTCAATGACTTGCACCGGGACGCGCCGCGATGAGCGAAAAGCTGGCGGGCGCCTCAAAAACTCGAACCAACGATCCTCCAGTTCCCAGAGTCAGACTTTTCAGCGAGAGTGTTTGAGTTATCTCAATAGGTTGAGATGGTTTTTTTTTCTCTCAGAAACTTCCTCCGACAAGGGAGTCTCGAAGGACAACGACTGGAGCCCCACCAAAGGTGACGGGCACTGGCTGCAGCGGCTGGGCCGCGACGGCCGTGAGGACGCCGCCGTGCTGCAGTGGAAGCGCGCGCAGGACGAGAAGATCCTCCAGGAGCAGGAGAGCAGGTGGCGCGTCGAGGAGGCGAAGCGGGCCGAGGACCTGGACGCCGCGGAGAAGGAGGTGACTCGGGAGGAGAGTGCGGTGCCGGCGGAGAACGCCGTGCAGGACAAGGAAGGGGCCGCGAAGGAGGAAGCCGCCACCGCCGCGCCGGCCGCGACGGCCACGCCGACCACGCCACTCGTCAGAAAGGGAGACGGGAAGAAGATCCGGAGCCTGCTGGCGGAGCTCCAGGACGTGATGCAGGTCAGCATTTCATCGCGCCGCCCATTCGGATGACGCGTATCGTCAATCATCCTGGTTCTCCCTTGCAGAAGTACCTCCGAAGGTCGCACAGGGAGGAGCGGCAGCACCACGTCGACGACGACAACGGCATCCAGGGCAGCAGCCACGACCAGAACAGTAAAGAATTGATGCCAGCCCGTCGTACTCGTAATCCTGGTGCGTACCCTCGCTGCATTGTTGCTCTGTTACAGCGTCCAGCTGGTGGCCGCGGCCTGAAGACCTGGCCCGCGCGTCGCTCCGCGTCCTGGTGGCATGCCGGCAGGGCCTTGACCGCGAGGAGGACCTCCCCGACGACGGCCAGGACGGCCAGGACGCGCGTCACGTGCTGCCGCGCATCCGAGAGTGCCTGCGCCGCCGCCTGCTGGCCGCCGTCGACTCCCTGGTGGCCGCGGACTCCATCCCCATCGCGTACGGCGTCAGCCTCGTCCGGCGTAGCGGCACCAGGTCAGGAGAGGAGTTGGCCCGAAATGGCACACGACCATGTGTGGTCTGGCCCTTGATGGTAATGGTAAAGGGAGATAGGCAGACCGCTCGGCTTCCCCGCGCGCCGCCAGGCCGGTTGCCTACCCTCGAGTCCGCGGGCGCTTTTGGTCCAGCCGGGCGCGCCACGCCTGGCGGCCTGGCCACGCGCACCGCCGCCGAGCCGCCGGGCCTCCAGCCGGGAGGTCGCGGATCATTCGCTTGGACGCGACGCTGCGACGCTCTGTGCGCGGCCAATCACAGCCAAGCGCCGCGGTCCGCCGAATGATTCGCCGAAGCTTCGTCTCTCTCGCACTGGCGGGGCGCCTCGCCGGAGTGAGATAGCGCGGCATCAGCCGGCTGCCCCCGCCCGCGGCACTCAGCAGTCTCATTCCCAGAGTCGTTTTCGTCGCTCTGTCTCTCTCGCACCTACGCGGGGTGCCCCATGAGTGCGAGAGAGACAGAGCGACGAAGACGACTCTCGGAATCAGTCTGTCACCCTTATTCCCGGCGGGAAGAGCAACACCGCGGAATGGGAGCGCGGCCCGACCCGGACCGCTCAAGCAGCAAATATTGACCCAGCGGCGCAACGAGCAGCGAGGCGGCGACGCCATCGCGACGGGATGATCCGGGCAGAGAAAAGGAAAGGAATGCACATTTTGGCGGCGGCAGACGGAGCGAGCGACGGACCGACGGCCTGACGGCCGGCCGCAAACAGGGCACAGTGGGCCAGAAGACCGGCGGAGGCGGCCTAAATCCCGGACGCGTTTCACACGACGCGTTCTGGCCGGTTCTGGCCCACTGTGCAGGGTGCAGTGGATGAACGGATGGAGGGACCGACGAGCGCGAAAGCTTCCGTTAAGCGTTCCCCTCTCCATAAAAAATAAAACAATAAACAGATCCCCCCAACTATTAACATCGTGGCGCAAGTTTTGGCCAGCCTCATGCAAATAAGGAGGTTTTCACCCAAGAAATCTCCCCCCTTTTTGTCTAGAAAGCCGTCTAGGCCGAGTCGAGCCTCGAGCCGAGCAGCCGGCTTTATAGGGAGCCTTCACTTCAGTTCCCGCGCGGGGCGCGCCGCTTGAAATATGAGTGTTGCCACTAGCCGCGCTGAAGGGCGAACTCCGTGAACGGAGAGGAACTCCATCCCGTAGCGTCCGGCCCAGTCAGCCTCGCCCCTCGCCCCCGCGTCTTTCTGAACGTCACTCCGCCATCGGGCCGGCCCGCGTCCCCGCGTCCCCCGTCGTGGCGTGGGGAGCCTGGCTGCGGGGGCGGGCCGCGGCCGCGCGGCCGGTCATGTCCGCTCCATTTGGCGGGAGTTGATGGTGTCGGTCCGCAGGTCGAGCCGAGCTGAACGCGACTCGGACTTCCCCGAGGACGACGTCGAGGCCGTGTCCGAGACCGCCTCGGACCGCCCCCTCCTGCCTAGGGTGTTGTCGAAGGTGGCCTCCTTGTTCACCACGCACGACCTCCGGATCGGGTACGGCGTCGCCGTCGAGGAGGGTGAGTACAATAATATTTTTTGACACATGCACCGTCAAACAAAATTAAATCAATCGAAAATTTTGTTGTTGCTTTTTTTTTCAGGCCGGCGCCGCCACCACTACCGAAAGGTGTTCCCGGTGCTCGTGACGGGCTTCATGATCCTCATGTCCCTGATGGTGCCGCTGGGCTTCCAGTTCATGGCCATGATCGGCGGCAAGGCGCTGCTCATGAGCAAGGTGGCGCTCATCATGGCGTCCATGTACAACTTCAGGAGGTAAAGCACTGCGCTCGTTAACTTGGAGAAGGAAACATGGCAATAAAAGTTGGCGTTGGCGGCGAGCACCAAGCCTCGTTCCCTCATCGGCACGACCGGGGCCTTGTTGGCCTTGTTGGCCTCCGCGGCCTCCTCGGCCCGGGCCAGCGCTTCCGCGGCACCGGCATCACGACGCACTTGTTGTGGAGAAAGTTGGACGGCGCGGGGGGTTGTCCGCGCTCCGCGCCAAGCTCCGCGCACCGTGGGGGTTACGGCGCTGTACCGCCCCCTTCAAGGTTCCCCGCGGGACGGTATGAGAAATCGCCGGCGGCGGCGAGGCGGTAATCCCATACTCGACCTCTGGTGCCTCCGGGGGACGCCTTAATGATCTGGACAAGTTTCGCAGCGCCGGGAATACTTTAGCCGCGCACTGAAAACGCCCCCACAAGTTTGGCCGCGGTTTGGCCGCGGTGCCGCGACTCGACGGCCGTGACGTGGCCGTGACGTGGACGTGACGTGTGGCGCGGAGTGACGCGAGCATGACGTCACACCACCAATCCAGTGGCCAGGTCGGAATGACGGTGCCTGCGGCTAGGGCCAGAGACACAGAGGGCCGGACTGGCAGACGAGACGGGACGGTGCCGCCACAGGACCGCCACCGCCGCGCCGTGGTTCCGAGAGTCGTCGCTCTGTCTCTCTCGCACTCATGGGGCGTTCCGTGTAGGTGCGAGAGAGACAGAGCGACGAAAGCGACACTCGGAATCAGTCTACAGGTCACGGCGGCGGATGGCGGATCACGACTCCGGCCCACGCGTCGTGCCTCCAGACCACGCCTGCCATCTCCATGCGAGTCGGTTCGATTCCAATTCGAACGGCCATTCGGATCAGCGCACGCACAAGGCGCGGCCCCGCCCCGCCCCCCGCGGCGACACCGCCGGCCGCGCAAACAACGAGGCACCGCGCCGCCATGAGGCCGAAACCGAAAGGGCCAAAAGGGCGGCCGAGCGATTCGGGAGAGTCGTTCCGTCGCTCTGTCTCTGTCGCACTCATGGGGCTCTCCGTGAGGGTGCGAGGGAGACAGAGCGACGGACTTCTGAATCGCCCGGGCGACTAGTTAATATCGTCCGGACGCGCCGACAGTCTCCCCTCCCCTCCCCCTTCACGGCCGCCTCGCCGCTTCCGTCATGGACATGGAGGGCCTCCATTCGCTCTCCCCTGCGCTCCCGCTCGCCCTCCGCCCTCCAGCCGCCGCCGGCACCGCCATTGTCTCGGTGTAAAATCCGTATGCAGTGCGGGTTGCGGGTCCGGTCTCTGTTTGCCCTGCCACCCCACACTGTATATTCTCGGCGGCGCTGGATGCCCAGCGGTTCGGCTCGGCTGGCTTCCAGCGGGTCAGCGCGTGTGGGAGGCAGAGGGAGAGCCGCCTGCCGCCGCACGGTGGATTTGCCAGAGGACCGGTGGAGGCGGTCAAAACCCGGACGCGTTTTGAGCTCCAGAGTCGCTGAAAAGGAATCGAACCGACCGTGTGACCCCACCAATGGATTGCTCTCCGAACGACGGGTCCATTAGTGGGGTCACATGCTCGGTTCGAGTCCTGTTCAGCGACTCTGGAGCTCAAAACGCGTGTGGAGTTTCGGCCGCCTCCACCGGTCTGCTCGCCCACTGTGCCTCTAGTGAAGGCGAGCATGGCACCGAGAGGGCTGGCCCGGCCGCGCACTTTGGAAGGCTCGGCACTGAGGCGAGGCGAGGCCCGCGGGGAAAAAGAGAGAGAGGCGCGCAGTTTAGGCCGCGTGTGTGCCTGTGTGTGTGAGAGAGGGAGCGTGTGAGTGTGTGCGCGCGTGGGCGCGTGTGTGTGAGCGTGACAGTTGGTAATATTGGCTAGTGTGTGTGTGTGTGTTTGTGTGTGTGGAGAGCGCTGAGACGGCCGGAGCCGGGAATTCCATAATTGCGTTTCGCTGCGCCGCGTCGCCGCGTCGCCCCGTCGCCGCCGCACTGTGCACTGCGCGCTGCCAGGCCGTGGCCAGGCCGTGGCGGTGGTGCGGTTGACCTTACCAAGCGCTTTCCAAGCAGTTGCACACATTGCGCGGCGCGGTGGAGAAGGCCCCCCCCCCTCCCCTCCGGGGAATGGAATGGGGCCGAGCCCCTGCGTCAGACTCTCCAGACGTCCTGAAATTTTCAGGGAGGGAAAAATGACTCTGCCGCGGCGGAAGCACTTCGACTCCACCGCAAGTCCCTTGAACTAAATGTGTAAAAGTGGTGATTTGCCTGCGTTCTAAAGAAGTGGTCGCGAACGGGCGCGGCGTCAAGTGCGTCAGGCTTGTCTACTGTACCCGGCCAGCCCCGCCGTCCCCGGCCACGACAAGGAATGCGTACTGCAGCCCGGCCTGCGCAGCCTGCGTGGGGCACTGCGCTGCAGACGCATTCCACGCAGCCTTTCGTTGGTGTGTCTCTCTACCGGGACGCCTCCGTGAGGGCGAGAGAGACAGAGCGCTGGGCCGGCTGGGCCTTGGGCTGGGCGGCCGGTCGATGCCTCCGCAACACACTGACCCAGACACCGTCGCATTGTTCTCGGATCGCCAAATTGCAGTCTCGCATGACGAGCAGCCGGAGCGTTTTGCGACCGCCTCGCCGCACCTCACCGCTTGCCTCAGCTCGCACCGACTAGACCGCACCGACGTCGAGCACACCTCGCTTCGTCTCTCTCGCACCCTTAAGAAACGCCCCATGAGTGCAAGCAAGACAGAGTGGCGAAGGCGCTGTTCGAATGAGACTGCCGCCGCGGCCGCCCCTGCGCACTTGCTGCTACTTCCGTCTCTCTCCCACCTGAGCGGTCCGCTACTTCGCCTTCATCTTCTCTGTCTGTCTCTGTCCTGTTGCAGCGGTAGCATTCTCCCGGCCTGAGCTGCCGCGCTGCCGCCGCCCTAGCGCTTCCTGCTAGCCTAGCCTAGCCTAGCCTAGCCCGGGTAAGTCCGGCGCCCACGTTTTCTCTCCTTCCCCCAACCTGGTTCCAATTTTTTGACTTTCTTCTCGCGCTGCGTCCGCTCCTCCCTCGTCAGCTTGCAATCAGCAGACTTGACGGGCGTGCTGACTCGCTCTCTAACTCCGTGTGTGAGTCGGCGCGGCTCGGCGCGGCCCGGTCGCATTCAAATTTGATTTGGCGGCAGGCGGGGGGGGGGGGGGGGGGGGTGCCGCGGCTGCGGGGGCGGCGGCCGGGCCGAGCTGGAACATTGTTACCCACTCCGAGTGGAACCCGAACAATTTCACCAAGTTTCGCTTCACGGCGAGATGCATGTCTGCCAATCGCATTGGCCCCCAGAAAACGTGCCGCCGAACCGCCTGCTGCCTCACGTTTTGACGTTTCCCGTTCTGCTGCTTCTGTCCTCCCAGGCCCGGCGGCTTCCCCCTGCAGCAGGCCGGCCCGGCCTACCCCTCCGTGCCGCAGTTCATCGACCACGTGCCCTCGCACGTCTTCCACGAGCGCGTCGGCGCCGGCGAGCCCAACGGCGCGCGGTAGTGTCGCCGGTCTAGGATCTAGGATCTTGTAAATAGAATAAAGTCAGAGACAGCGACGGTAATCGTCTATAATTAAAAGACACAACACGATTAGTTTACGTATATGTACACACATGCCTTACCAAATGTTTAAAAAAAAAAATAATAGCATCTTAGGCCAGAAATATGGCGACCGACTGCAAACAAAACAAGACTATTTACATTATTGAAATCATAATAGAAATCAGGAGTGCACACTGTTCACGCTTGCAAGTTAAAAAAAGCATTTTAAAAAAACCTCGATTATCTTACACATTTTCGCATCTGCAGTTTGTGCAGTTGACTTAACATTCATTTGCATAGCCACGTCAGTCAATTATCACAATCCACTTTCATCACAAATAATAACGCACTTATACGACTACATTCACAGAATTCTGAGAATATGTATGAGGTGTTGTTTACGTACATATAGGTATCCTTAACAGGCTTATAAGATAAACTAAATAGACTCTGTTGTCTGTTGGCTCTGCGACAACGACTGAAAAGGCGCCAGAGAAAAAAAAAGAATTTGGTACAGAGAGTTTGTCGCACGACCTCACAGTCAGACACGCGGCAGCCAAGGCCGCAGAAAAGAAAGAAACTAAAAGTATCACAGCATCACTCCAGCCCAACGACAAACCCCTTAAACACTGATCCCTCCCGGCCGACCTTCCTCATCCCCTCCCCTTCGAAAGAGGAAAACTTTCCATGCAGACGCAGCGCCCGCCTCATACACACGAAATAAAAAGAAAAATCTCCACACACGTCCATTTTGTCAGCCTCTGCAGACTAATTCCGAGCTCTGCTTTCGTCGCTCTGTCTCTCTCGCACTCATGGGGCGTACCACAAGGGTACGAGAGAGACAGAGTGACAAACAGTGCTCGGAATCAGCCTGCTGGCGGTGCAGGGCGCAGGGCGCAGAGGGGGTTCAGACGAAGAAGGACGCGAGCTGCACGCTGTGGTCCTTGGCGTCGGCCTGGCGGTGCTGGTCCAGGAACTCGTTGAGGGCGGGCACCACCACCTCGGGGCTGTTGAGGTGCACGTGGTGCGTGCCGTTGACGGTCACCGTGGTCACGGTCTTGGACGCCATGCGCAGGTCGGCGAGGAAGCGCTCCCGAAGCTCCTCGTCGGCGGAGAGGGCGCGCGGGCCCCGCCACTGGGGCAGCACGGCGAGCGCGGGGCAGCGCACACTCCGCGCGCACGCCAGGGCCAGCGCGGCGGGCAGCAGGGGCGCGCGCATCACCCGCGGGTCCACCGTGGCCTGCATCGAGGCGCCAGAGCCCTCGGCGCCGCGGCGCAGCAGCGTCTGCAACAGGCGTCCCATTAGCCCTCGCCGTCGCGTCCAGCCGGCTCATTCCACACAGCGCTCCCGTCGCTCTGTCTCTCTCGCGCCCGACGAAACCCCCCATGAGTGCGAGAGAGACAGAGCCACTACTCGCCACCCTGTGCGGCGCGGCGCGGCGGCGACCGATTCCGGATTTACGATTTTCCGGATTTACGATTCGCCTTGCCGCCGCAGTAACGCAGCAGCGCAGTAACTCACCTCCGCTGCGTGCCGGTTCAGCGAGCCCCCGCGGCCGGCCAGCAGGTCGTCGAGGAGCTGCGCGCGGGGCACGTCGTTGGACGCCTTCCCCATCCTCTCCTCCGCGTCCAGTAGCTCGTCCACCAGGGGGCCGCTCGCCTTCAGCTCGGCGTCGGCGTCCGCAGGGGCGGGCACCAGCGTGTCCAGGCTGACGTACCTGTGGAGCGGGGGAGGACAGAGCACCGCGTCAGAGAGCGAAACGGCCTTGCGTCACAGTGGACTGAATCCGAGTGGGAGGCGTCTCTCTCTCTCGCACTCATAGGGCGCTCCGTACGGGGCGAGAGAGAGAGAGAGCGACGGACCGCTGCCTCGGGGGCGTGGGGCGTAGGCGTGGGGCGTGCACCACCGACGACCCGCCGCTCCACGTAGGCCCTAGGCCCGACTCCGATAACGACATACAAGAGGCTAGTGGCGGCGGGCAGGCGGACAGGCGGTCGCGCCGCCGCGCGGCGAGATGCAGCGCCGGGAGGGTAGGCAGCTCAACGTGCGCCGCGGCGCGCCGCTCCCGCATCGAAGCGGAACGCCCCATGAGTGCGAGAGAGACTACGGAATCACTCGGCGGGCAAACCTCAACAAAGCGGCTGCACTGGCCGCGGAGAGTGCCTTACATGTCCACGTCGGTGGGGTAGGTGGCGGCGTAGATGAGGGCGACGGCGTCCCCGAGAGAGTGGCCGACCAGGGACACGGTGGTGAGGCCCAGCGCGCGCTGCACGCGCCTCAGGGTGGTCAGCAAGAGACCGCGGTCCGCGGGGGCCACGCCGCGGGGCACCCGGGAGGAGAGGCCGTGGCCGGGCAGGTCCAGGGCCAGCACGGGCACGCCGCGGAGCGAGCCGGCCAGGCGCTCAAAGGAGCCGGCGTTGTCGCCCCAGCCGTGCAGCGCCACCAGGGGGCGCCGGTCGGTGCGGCCCCACCACTTGCCTGCAATCAGAGAGTTCGGGTCGGGTTCCAGTACCAGCTACTCGTGTTTTATTCCAGCCCATCGGACTGCGGCGCGGGGACGGCAACGCTGCAAAGGACGGGCAGGGCGACGCAGGGCGACGCAGGGCGACGGGCGCGGCCTGGTGTCGCGTTGCCATAGGCTGGGCCTCGGGCTGGGCCTCGGCGAGGGCGGCCGGGATGAGCTTGATTGGCTTGACCTTGGTGGTGACGTCACAAAGCCATACAAGCCGCGCGGCCAGTGCGTCGCCTCGGCTCTCTCGCTCGCGCCTCTCGCGCCTCTCGCGTCGCGCCGATGCACACGACGACCACCTCGCGGGCTAGGCGCCGGGCGGCGTCGCTCACTGGCCGGCGCCACAGCCACTGGAAGGTCAAAGTCAAGGACGGTGGCTCGGCGCGGCGCGGCTGGGCGGCTGGACCGCCGCCGATGACTTTTTCCCCGTCGCCGCGGTGGCTCGGCGCCTGCATACCAAATGAGTGCAGCCAGCACTGCCCGCAGCCACCGCACTGCAGCGCGCCTTGCACCAGCTCTGAGCGCCCCGGGCTCGCTAATAATAAAAAGCCCGGCCGAACAAAAATTCCAGATTTCACGGTCCAGTTCACGGTCGCCGACGCCGACGTCCCCGGGCAGTGGCGCTGGCGGCTCGGCTGGCGGCTCGGCTGGCGGCCTGCGTGCTGCGGGTATGCGGGGGCGTGTAAAGTGCGAAGCGTCCTGCGCGCCAGACCGGCTAATCCAGCTACATACTAAAACACCTCCCTGGCCCTGCATGGCTCATGGCTAAGCGGCTTGAAAACGCCCACGCCTCCCACGCAGACTGCGAAGACCGCGCAGCGGCCGCAGCCCACAACGCACCCCGACGCCGACGGCCGAGCCTGGACGTGCCGCCGACAAAGACAAGGACGCCCTCCCTCAGCCAACCCCCGGCCCCGGAGGATTACCTCCAGAGCAGCGCAAGCAGCGCAGCGGGCTGATACCGAGCACTGCTCTCAACGCTCCGTCTCTCTCGCACTCACGGGGCGTCCCGGGAGCGAGAGAGACAGAGCGACGAGGGTTGGCCGGCGGCACCGCAGTCACCATAGTCACCCACCCGTACCGTGGTGTCGGACCTCTTGGACCTGCACAGCGATCTAGATTTCCGAAAGAGGCCGCCAAAAGTTCACCGAGCTTCATTCCGCCCTGCTTCCGCGGCCTCATCGCCGCGCCATCGGCTTCCTCGGCCGAGTCACCGATTCCGAACAGTGCTTCGTCGCTCGGCCGCTCTAGCGCCCCCACGCCGGGGACCTCCGCGAGTGCGAGAGAGACGGCGCGATGGAGCGCGCTGTCCGGACAGAGATTAATTGCGACCAAGGAATAAGCAGATGACGGCGTAGATCGCCACCCGCGAACACGGCCGCCGCGCGCCGCTGCTCCCACGACGGCGGCCTCTGCCAAAGGTCGCGCTCGGCGATCCGCCACGGCTGCCGCCGCTGCTGCCACACCCGAAAACTGTTTGGACAGTTGCTGGCCCCGATGATGCGGCGCCGCGGACAGCCGCGCCGCTCGAAAACCAGTAGACAGATTCCGAGAGTCGTTTCCGTCGCTCCGTCTCTCTCGTACCCATACGGGACGCCCCACGAGTGCGAGGGAGACAGAGCGACGAAGACGACTCTCGGAATGAGCCCGCAGCGGTTCAAAGGTTCAACGGTCCGCGCGAAAAGGTTGGTATCGGCGCGCTCGCCACGCTTGTCGCCACGCGGCCGCGGCGTGCCGATCGGAGAAAGGCCACAAAGGCCGACGCCGCCACGCCATTCATTACCCATGCGCAGCGCCACGCGGCGATAAGAAGAAACAATTACTAATTTCCTGCACGGCGCGCTGCGATGTTACTGGCCGCGGGACGGGAGGGGAGGGGGGAGAGGGGAGGGGCGGTGAGGCACCCATGGCAATGACAACGGGAGCCAGCCCGTGCAGTTTGTGGACATTCTGGCCCCACGGCTTTACAGTGGGCCTGAAGACCCACGCTGGCGGCCAAAACTCTTGAGTCGCTAAATGGGACTCGAATCGTACGCGTGACCCCACCAATGGATTGCTCTCCGAACGGGGAATCCATTGGTGGGGTCACGCGTTCAGTTCGAGTCAGCGACTCTAGAGCTCAAAACGCGTCTGGAGTTTTGGACGCCGGCGCCGGTCTTCTGCTGGCCCACTGTGGGCTTGTTTTCGCACCGGCCCTGGCTCCTCATCTCCGCCGTGCTTCCGCGGGGAAGGAAGAAATAGACACTAAATGAGGGTCGGCCGGTCGGCCGCGTGCTGCGCGTGCTGCGTGGGCGGGCGACGGCAAAAGACACCAAAACACGAGACGCGCGGGGCGGGCTAGTTGTCGCTCACTGTTTGTGTTCGCGCCTCTGATGTAACCGAATGGTGGCGCCCCGTGCGAAAGCGATCTCCCGCGCTGCATAGCGTCCAAATATTGCGTAACACGGCAAATGGCAGACGGCAGTACGGCATCCCTCCCGCGCTGTTTGTCGACACTTCGGAAATAGCGCGGCGCGCGTGGCCTGGAATACGCCGCCGGGACGTCATTCGTGCATTCATGAAGCCATTCGTTCATTCATTCCTTCATTCAATCAATATTTAATTTGGCAGATGGCGCTCCGTTCCGCGACGCCCACTTCACCGCGCGGCCAAGCAGCGCGTATAATCCCCACCGTGCCATTACAGTGTTTGCGTATTCCGGGGCGGAAAGGAAGGAAAGGATTGCCTGGCCGCAGTCCTTCTGCTGCAGTTTCATCTCGCGCAGCGCTCCGTCGCCCCGTCTCTCGTACCGCAGCGGAACGCCCTACGAGCGCGCGAGAGAGACAGAGAGAGAGACAGAGAGAGAGAGAGAGAGAGAGAGAGAGGAGAGAGAGAGAGAGAGAGAGAAAGAGAGAGCGACGAAAGCGCTTTTCAGAACCAGCCCGCCGCCCTTCGCGGGCGGAACAAGCGGATCAGGCGAGCAGCCCCGGCCCGGCCCGGCCCGGCCCGGCGGTCGGCGTCGTAGCCGCGGCCATGTCTCGGTGCCGCACCCGCCTCCGCCCCGCCCCGCCTCGCCCCGCCTCGCCCCGCCAACATGGCACAGCCACGTTTTAAAGGCAATCCCTAATGACTTTAGGTCAGAGTCAGAGGGAAAGCCGGGCAGCGCTACAAAGGGGAGAGAGAGGGGAGCTGGACGTGAGCAGAAAGAAGGGTCCCTAGGCTCAAGCACCGCCACCGCCGGGCTGGCCGAGGCCTGGGCGAGCCGGGCCATTCCTGTGCTGCTGGGCAGCTGGGCTGCTGGACCTCGGCCCGGACGGACATGTGCTTGAGTGGCCCGGCCGGGGCTTGAGACTGCTCCAGACTGGCAGGGAAGGGAAGGGAACGGGACTTTGAATCAGCTGCTGTCACGCCCATCATGCTGATGGCCCTGCCGGGCCGGGCCGGGCTGGGCTGGGCGCGCTGTGCTGCCGCTGCTCGAGCACGAGCGATGCCGTGCTCTGTCTCTCTCGCACCCCTCCACATTACCCGCGAGTGCGAGGGAGACAGAGCGACGACCAGGCCGCTGTTCGGAGTCAGCCTGCAGCAGGACGGCTGTCCTGCGCGCGGACGAGGACGACGGACGGCCGGGTCATTCAGGGCACTGTAACTGTGGCAGTAGCAGGCAGTAGCAGGCAGTAGCAGGCGGGGAGTGGCGTGGTGGGCGTCGCTGGCGCTAGCCGAGGCTTTCAGCCTGTTTAAGGGCACTGCCATGGTTGGTCTGCCGGCTGATTCCGAGGAACGTTTTCGTCGCTCTGTCTCTCTCGCACTCATGGGGCGTGCCGCACAGGCGCGAGAGAGACAGAATCTCTAGGAGTCAGTGTGCTGGCCAAGGCCTGCAAGGCCGGCCAGCCCCAAGCCCTTCTCGGCGTCCTCACCGGCGATGTGGCCCCACGGCACGGGGATGCGGACCTCGCGCTCCTGCAGCTGGGCGAGCAGGTCCTCGTACTGCGACGAGGCGCGGGCGGCCGTCCCCGCCGCCCTCTGGCCGGCGACGTCCTCGTCCTGCTCGTGCCGGGGCCGGGGCTGCGCGGCCGTAGCCTTCCCGCGGCACAGGACCAGCGCCAGCGGCACCAGCGGCGAGGAGGCCTCCGTGGACGAGGCGGGGCCGGCGACTAGCCCGCGGGCGGTCCGTGCGAACAGCATTCTAGCCGCGTCCTGCAACAGAGCAAATCGGGCGTTCAAGTTGAAACGCGTGCAGTGTCCCCGACTGAGCAGTGCAGTGCCAGTGCTGCCCGGGGCCCGGCAGCGAGCTAACTACCCCAAATTACACTTGGCGCACAATGGCGCGCAAATGCGACGCTGCCGCTCCAAGTGTCAAGACCGTCAAGTCCCACACGGCGCGGCGTGCTGCGGTTGCACCGCGTCGCCTCGCGGTCGTGCGCAGCGGGGCAGGGCGGGGCGGGGCGGGTTGGGACGCGACGCCGGCGCGGGGGTGCGCGCGAATGGTGGGGGAGCCCTCCTCGCGCCAAGCACGTGTACTTCCCCGGACCACCCACCCACGACAGCGGTTCCATGGTGTAATGGTTAGCACTCTGGACTCTGAATCCAGCGATCCGAGTTCAAATCTCGGTGGGACCTGCATTTTGCGCGGAACGACCCGTTCGCAGTTCACGCGCGCGGGCGAGAACATCCAGGGCAGCCTGGGTGCTTCAGTGGGCGTTCCCCAGCGCAGACAGAGAGCAGCCGGCACAGACGGTCGTATCGCATTGCCACTCTAGCGAGCGCTCTGCAGGCTCTCTCTGTCCCTCTTGCACTTGAATGGGACAGCCCATGAGTGCGAGAGGGAACGACCAACGAAACGCCGCCGTTCGGAACGAGTCTACAGACGCCGATAGTGCACGGGCCGCCCCGCCGCCGCCCCGCCGCCCCACGCTCCACGGCCACTCCACGTGCTCGCCGAGTGGCGATCTGACGCCGTAGTATGACTCGTACGGCAGTACGCCGGGATGAAGGTCCTCGGCCTTGAGCTTGAGGTGCTGCGCTGCGCTGCGCTGCTCGCACCCACGCCGCGTCGCGCCGCGTACAGTGTAGCGATACGGCGATACAGTGCACGGCTCACTTTCACACGGGGCCGGCACACTGATTCCGAGAGTCGATTTCGTCGCTCTGTCTCTCTCGCACCTAGACGGGACGCCCCATGAGTGCGGGAGAGACAGAGCGATGAAAACGACTCTCGGATTCAGCCTGCAGCCCTCGGGACTCGGCCACGGGTCGGCTCGGGTCGTCTGCTAGACCAAAGACCAGGCGACGTGGGCTGGCTCTTCTTTCAAACCAAAGAGCGCTAGATTTGGGCGAGCCCGATGGACGGGGCACAGTCCACGCGGGCGCGGCCTAGCCTTGGCCTAGCGGTAGGACTTGTGTCTCCGTCGCTGCGGATTGAGTGGCTCACCGCGCTATCTCTGTCGCGACCCCTAAGGAGAGTGCGAGAGCGCTGCCCGGGGTTCGGAATCAGCCTGCAGATGCGCGCATTCCCGTGTGCCGCCGTGCCGCCGCCCTCGGCCACGACGCCGTGCACGCCGTCTGCACGAGCTGCACGAGCTGGCCGATGAAGCGGGCCGACGCGGGCTCGCCGCCTGGCCGCCCACCAAGCCCGCCGTGGCAGGCAGCGGCAGGGCAGGGCGGGTACACCCGGTACCGGCACCGCTACTATTTATGCCCGCCGGCCGTGCCAAATCCACCCCGCCGTCGCCGTGCGAGTAAGTTGTTGTCACGTTCCCGCGGGAAAGCGCGCGGACCGCCGGCGGCGGCGGGAAAAGGGAAGGCTTGCCGCGTCGCTCTGACTCCCTCGCACCCCTACGGGCCGCCCCATGAGTGTGACTGGGACAGAGCGGCGAGAAAGGGGGTGGGCGGGTATCTAACCAACGAGGTGGTGCAGCGAGCGGAGCGTCAGCTTCGGCTTCGTCTTGGAAAGCTTTCGCGAGTCTTGGCAGGTCGTTGACCGCCGCGGTAAACATTGCCGAATCAGAAACCGAGACCGCCACGCCGGGCGCGATGCCGCGATGCTGTGCCCGGACCACGCGTGGACCACGCCTCCAGCCCGCGCGCCCTCTCTCTCTCACTCACACTCGCACGCACATCGCTCGTTAGTCGCGATCGCCGTTGTTGATTCGAATGAAAATAGAAAAGTAATCAGCCGCCACGGCGACGCGCGAAAAACGGAAAGGTGTGAAACGGCGACGCCGCCGCGGTCCCACGGCTCTCCTCCTCTGAGAGGGAAAAGGGGGGGGGGGGATTGGCTGCTGGCCACCGTCCAAGGAGGACCCGCACAGCTCGAGTAAAACCTCAAGTGCGATTCGAATGCCAACGACACTGACCTCGGCGGGGCCTAAACACGGCCGCTCCGGAAACCTTCCGGTGTGTGCTGACCGTCATTATTTGCGCTGTCTCTCTCGCACTCTTGCGGAGTGCCCCTGAGTGCGACAGAGACAGTCGCTCGTGGCTGAGTGTGTCGTCTTGTGTCCAGCCTGGCCCTTCCCTGCCCCCTCCACTTCCCTTGACCGCCCCTGCGCGGCCCTGCGCGGCCCTGCGCGCGCCGGCCGGGAACGTCCGGGAACTCTCTGGAAGCGAGAAGTGCGGCAACGTGGGCACGCATGCATGGGACCAGAGGGGACCGTGCTGCATCTGCATCACCTGCATCGCCAGCAGCAGCCGCAACAGCCGCACAGCGCAGAGGGAATGCGGCGCTGACGCTGTGAGATGCTGTGCTTGAGTGTGTTTGTGTGACTCTGGGCTCTCTGGACAAGTCAGTGTGACTGTTGCCGCACGCGCAGTGGCCTCAGAGTCCCTTCTAAGTCATGCACGTCAACTTCTTTCAAGAAAGGAGAACGCGATTACTCGTGAAAGGAGAACATGATTACAAGGCCGGAAACGTGATTTCCTTGTCTGCCAAACACTCGTTCGAGGCTGGCGTCCACTCCACTGTATCAGTGTGCGCGAAAACCATGGGGAACAAGAGCGCTTACCAAAGGCGTCAGTCTGCAACACACAACTCGTGGAAACGGCTACCGAGTGTTGGCAAAATGCGGGTGCCGGTCGATGTGACAGCTCCAAGCCGCGCCAAGCAGGTAGGCGCCTTCGTCTTCTGTCTTCGGATCGAAAGTTGGGTGCGATTTACTGATTGACTCGCCGCGGCGCGCACTTTAAAGCACACGGCCCGGCCGCCTTATCAGGCTAGGCGGATTTGGGCTTCGCAATCTTTCCAACTCACTACTGCCGCTGAAGCGCACCCAACCACTACTGAAGTTGAGCTTGGCATTCCGTTCTAGCCACCAACTCTGTTTTGTTTACTTCCCCTCCCCTCCCCACTACATCACATCTGCCCCCTTCCCGCTTCCCTCCCGCCGGGCCTGGCCGGCGGCCGGCCATCAGCTGGGCTCCCCCCACTCCTCATTCCCGCCTGCAGCTCATCTCACTTGGCGCACTCGGCCCTGCACTTTGCTGCTACTTTGCTGCTTCGCTCTCGGGGTGTTGGTAAGTCACTTTTCTTTGTCACGACATAGGGCTCATCATCATCGCTAAGCAGGTCTTGAACCAAAAAGGAGTGCTGGATGAAGAGCAAACAGATTTTTGAATGACATGACACTCCATTTCAATAAATGATTTTATTGAAAAAAAGAATGTGAATAAAACATTGTATGCTGGACCTTGGTAAATTGAATTGGCTCAATGATTACATCTCATATCAATAGTAAAGTAAATAATAATTACAATGAACACATACAACATAAACCAGACACACATTTACACACATGAATGAGATCTCCTACTCTGTTTAGAGGAATTATACCTCATCGAATTCCTTGAGCTTTGTTCAAAAAGGCCATGAAGCACACTTATCTCCATTCAGCATTCTACTATAAATTCACGCTTACATAAATTTTTGAAGGAGTAGTAAATTTACTAGCAACGCCATCCTTGAGGGAGAGGTTCTAAAATCACATTTCCTGTAACGTAGCTGAGCTGCAGCATCACAGTAGTATTTACATAAATATAACAAATTCCTGCCAAAAACCTATTTGAAAAAGGAAACTGGAAAAGTATTAGGAGCATACGAAACACCATCCCCGCAAGGCCTACGTACAATATTCATGTATTGAACATGTATTTATTTGGCTTCCTAAACATGGTGCGTTGAAATTTTATCTTACTTTCCATGCTATAAAGGAGATATAATGTGAAATTTGACATTTTAACATTAACAGGTAAATAATACTACTCACAAAGTCCATCCAACAAAACAAAAATAGATTTTGCCCATAATCAGAGACATTCTTTGTTAAAAAAAATTCATGTTTTGTGATATCTAGGCGATAGGTTTGGTGGAAGCATACTCTCCAATAATATCTAAGCTTTACTCCAATTGGTTCATTGTAAAGGGGAGAATGGGACAAATCACAGCAAAAGTCAATAACTGCCTTTTCTATATGATTTCAGAAAGGCTTCAATTATCAGTCTTTTATAATATTTATGCCCATGAGATATCTTGCTTGCAAATAGAGGCATGGCATAATTCAAGTTTAGATTAATAAATAGAGTTCCATGGGTTTTACTAACAGGGGTTGTTTCTAGCCAATTTTAAGGTCTCACCGAGACAAACACTCCACAATAAGTTTTAACAAATGAAAACAGCATGTTTTGTACATAGATGATCACATAGTTAATAACAATAATCTACAAAAAGCAAATTAATAACAAGTATCAGTAGCTCTGATTTGAATAAAATTTACATATACTATACATATGAATATACACCAATATCATGTGTGTGAGGGTACATAATTTCAGGTTCAACCTAAGTTCAAGGGAACAATACCATTGTGACTAGAAGGGCAGCAAAAGAAAGATAAATCATTCATCATATTCAAGGGAACTTGCAGATCATACAAAAATATTAAAGCGAGTTGTTTGATAGATTATGTCTATGTGTAGTCAGTAAAATCATCGGGCAGAGTACGGTGTACGCGGCTGCTCGATTCAACAGATGAGCTGGTACCATTAGTTGGGTTGGCTGAGCCACTGTTTTCATCTGAAAGATTTTGAAGAATCTTTGCTCGCATTCTTTTGATAGCCCGGAGTCTTTCTAGCCAGTTGGAGGCATAGATATTGCCACTACACTTTCCTCGAAGACTTTTAGATGCAAGCTGAATAAAAATAAATGAAGATTAAGCAATGTAGTTTCACTGTTTCAAGAAAGGAAACTTGGGGAAGAAAACTTACATTAGCATGAAGAGCAAGTTGCCTGGCAAGAATTCCAAGATTTAAATCTGATACAACTCTAGGTTCACCAGTCAAACCTAACTCAGCCAGCTCATCTCGAGTTCGCAAAGTTACTTGATTTGATCCATGGTCCAGGGGCTGAATTTCTACACATGCGTAGCTAAACTGACCCTGAAAATTTGATTTATTAAAAGTATAGTCTTAATATATTACACAAGGAGCATAGCTTCAGTTATGATTAATATGTATATGAAAGCAATATATTTACCTTAATAGTTTGTATACTGAAGTCTTCACCACTTTCATTGAAAACTATTGTAACATAATTGTTTCCAATGTGACGCTTCTTGTCATTACATGAAGGATCTTTGTCCTTGGTAGGCATCAGAGTAGCAACATGAAATAACACCTGCAAATTTCACTCATTTCAATTAAACACTTCTGATCACCTGTCATTAGTAAACTCCGCATGAGAATAATGAAACTCACTTGTGTCACATCGTCCTGCCAAAAGTAAGCAAATTTGCCATCTATATTTGGGTCCAGACCACCAAGAAATAGATGAGGGTCAGGGTCTTCCAAGCTGATAAGAGACCCTAATCTCTGTACATAGTATGGAAAGAGTCAGCATTAGAATTTTTGTTTATCAATTAAACTAAAAATCAACAACAGAAAACATGTTAGGCATTAGTTTTAGAACACATGATCTTACTTGTAAAAATTCAGTGTATCTTAGGGACCCAGTTGTATTTCTTAAGATTTCCTGTTCATTGTTGACTTGACCACTGCTTACATACAACACACCAACCTGAATTATTTTTAAAACACAAGGTTTGTTAGCCACCAAAGATAGCAAAAGTAAGTGTAAGTTGTCCATTATTTTTTTCTTTAAAGTGAAAGTTACAGAAGTAATACCTGATGAGTTTCATAAGGAGGAGTGAGATCCAGCACTTTGATAGATCGTTGAAGCATAGCACTATTTGAAACAAGAAGAGGTTTCTCCGTTGTGTTGCCAAAGTAAGATGAGTGAAACAGCTGAAGGAAAATCAAACTGGGAAAAAAAGTCAATATTAAATGAGGTTTTCATGTAAAATAACAAATGGTTTAGGTTCAAATCATACTTTGGATTGACACTTGAACGCTGTGAATTCTCTTTTGTTCTTGGGGAGTTTGCATTTGCTTTATTACGTTTTGCATCTAAATCAAGCTTAGGCTTCCGTACTGGACTCATTACGGAGATAGTGTGCCCCCTATCTCTTTTAAATGACAAGGGTGGCAAAGCAGCTGGATCCTGTCGCAGACTACCATCATCCCGATTTATCTGCGCAAAATAAAAGGGGTTCTCATTATCATTCAAACGCCATAAGGAAACATAAAGACCATATTAAACAGCCACAAAGAAAATTTACCCTTTCAGCACTTGCACTCAGATGATGAGCATGAGAAGTAGTTGGTGAAGCTGGAGCAGATGTTTGTTGAACGCGTCTGTCTAGCTGCAACTGCAATTGATCAGTATTTGCTTTACTGTCCAGGCTTGAAGTACTTCCTCCAACACTACTGCTGCCACTTCCGCTAGACAACCTGCCACTTGTCAAAACTTTCTCCTTGGCAGCAACGCCTGGGCTAGCTGTGTTAGCAGTTTTAGATTTTGATTCAGGGTCATTGGCATGTCGTGTTTGTGTCGGAGATAAGGGGGGCTTTGTGGCCAGGGTCGAAGGGAGAAGAAGGGGTGGAGTTGAATGAATTCCACCCGCGCCAGCCGCGCTAGCAGGCTGTGATGAGGCCTCAGCTTTCGAAGAGTTTACCAATGGTGATGACACAGTAGTCGGGTTTGATATAACAGTCAAGGCATTAGAAGAAACATTGGAAGCAATCTGTGGAGAAGAGCACAACTTTTACAAGAAGTCAAAACAAAAGGAAATATTTGCTACACAAGATGCATTAGGGTACATACTGTCAATTGAGAGCCAATTGGAACTGGAGAAGATCGGACATCATTGTCTGAAATAGTCACTGCACTTGTCTGAGGTAAAGTTTTCTGACTCGCTTCATTGATTGGGAAGCGAGGGACGATGGGAGAGGTGGATGGTGGAGTGGTTCCTAATCCAGCAATCTCCTCAGGTATAGCTTCACAATTGGCCCTAGAGGATCATGAATCATTACAATTAAAATGTAAAATGTGACAGATCAAAAGTTTGAAGCCAGCTGAAGCACACAACAAACCTCAAATCCTTAGAATATGATGGTTTAGTCATTTTTTCCATTTTCTCTCTATCAGCTGCAGAAGATGACAAAAACGGATTTCTCCATCCAGCACTCATTTCTGGACTTGAATTAGACCTGCGTACTGGGTTTCTTGCACGCCCACTGCCATCTGTTAAAAAATTAAAAAAACACATTCACATTTTGACTTAAATTTAAATTCTATATATAAAGGCACAAAGTAAAAACATGCCATCTATCTCAGTCTCTGGGTCTCCCTCCTCTTCCTCTTCTTCATCTAAGCTATCTCGAGAACTCTGTCTAGATGGGCTTCTGCGCACAGGGGAAGCTGGGATGTTCACAGGTTCTGACAAGACAGGCTGGGTTGTTGGCACATTACTGCTAGGGTTTTCATCAGTGGGAGGCATAGCTGATTCCTAAAATGTAGATAAAAGCAAATTATAGTCATAATAGCTTTATTTTAAAAAGAGGCTAAAATTGTCCAACAAAAACTTACATCTATTCCAATTTTGTCAGGCTGACCCAGAAAGGCAGCTCCAGAACTATCACGTTTAATTAATGAAGGCAAAAATATTGTTGGTACATCTGACATATCCAAAGAACTATTTTGGTTCTGAATTCTCATGACCCATGACATATCACCTAGAAAGCAAAGTCAATGTAAGACAATTCAAACATGGTCAAAACAAGATAAAATAAAGAGACAGAAACAATCTATGGAATGAATAGAAATACCTGTGGGTCTGCGAACATATATTTCAGCCCAACCATTGCACCAACAAGCACACTGCAATTTGTCCTGTAGCTCAATGCGTTCAACCCCTGTTCGATTTTTTTTAAAGGAGAAAGGATAAAACAGTTACTGTAGTATGTTTCTTATTTGAGTCCTAGAGGAAAATTTATTGGTTTCCATACCTTGAATTAGCTGGTCCAGTTTACTTGATTCTGTGTCCATAGTTTCAAGAGAACCAGAAAGTCTCCTCTGCTCATCAGTAGGAGAGTTAACATTAGGTGCCAAGTTATTTGAGCTGCCTTGTGGAACCTGAACAAGAAGAGGCAAGTTGCGGATTGAGCCGCCCGCAGATGAGGAAGCTGCCGCACTTCCTGAGGACTTTTCATCTCGGCTCAAAGTTGCTGTGACCTACATGCAGAAAATTTAATTAGAGAGACAAATATCAGGCTTCGGTTCAAAAGTGTAGTTTCAATGACAACTTACATCAACACTATTACTTCGCTGAAGAGAAGCTTTGCCTTGTTGGTCAGCCCTTGTGGAACTGCTGCCCGACAAGTCATTGGTTGAACTTTCCGTGGGGGTAGCAGGATCTTGGAATAGAAACAAAAATTACCCACTCAGAAAATACAAGAAACAACTGTAAAGAAAGCCTAGAAGAAGGGCATAGTTTGCGCTATATGATTCAACAAAAATTTTACCAGATTCAACACGACATGATGAGAGGCATTTATCGCACAGCCCATCACGCTTCACCTTCTGGTTGCAACCACTTGTGGTAACAGTAATCAGTCTGTTACCAACGAGCCACGTCATCGACTGGCCGCCACTGAGTAGACTCTGCACTGCTGGCAATCTAGGACATGAAAACAGTAATGTCACTCCATAAAGGTAGATTTTTCACTTACTCGAAGCTACAGTAATAATGATATTGAAAATAACCTTTTAGGCATAGCCGCACATGTTGAGAATGTATATCTGGCCATTAAATCAATACAAGTTTCAGTAAGCTCCATGTGAAATAATGTAAGTGATTCATCAGCTGGTTTTAAATCCAGCTGGCGAGTATCCAATCTCGATCCAGTTGTGCGCCTTCGACTTCCCTAAAGACAAGAATCAAGGATACAAAAAATGTTATTCATGTCATGAAAGTAAGAGACATTTTTTGAAAGCTCTATCATTACCTGTTCAGTCAAAGATGAACTTCGTTTTCTACTGGATGAATCCTCATTCAAGAGATCTAACTTTAAAGGATCTTGCCTCAACATTGGTCCTTCATCTAATGGCATGCGTGATACATTTGCTTTCAACCCCTGCAGTGATTAAACCATCATTAAAAGGAATGAAAATTAGAAAAATAATGTATTTTTATTAAATATTGCTAGATAATTGCAAGTTCATTATTTCTTTTACCGTGGTGATAAACTTGACAAAGTCCTTCCTGAATGGCAGCCTACATTTCAAGAACCACACTGCTATGACATGATGAGCCAAAGACACAATGAAGTGGTTATACTTAAATGGATTGCTGTAAGGCAATGAGATGGCTAGCACTGACATGTACTGGTCACCAACAAAACTTGCAAAAACTTTAGGAAGCCTGGTCAATGCTAGAAAACAAGAAGAAAAATTGAGGGTAAAGATAGAGCATCTTAGGTATAGAACAATTTGTACCAACTAACATAGATGACATACTTGATAAGAATGAAAGAATAGGCAGAGCAATTGTAACTGTGTCTGATATTTTGGAGAGGTTCAATAAGACTTCAGGGAGCAGTTTGTACATTGCATCTTTCATTTCCAGTGTACATGTAGTTAAAGCTGAGACAACTTGAGCAGCACATCGAGATTGAAGACCTGGAATTTACCGTATTAGTAAAAGTAAAAGAGGAACCTGGAATGAAAAAGAAACTTTCCATAAAAATGACAAACAGTGCACCAACCACATTCAAGAGAGCATATAAGCCGGCGTTGATAATTTGGCTCCAGATGATTATGATATGAAGCCAGAGATGCTAAAACTGGGTACAGGAAGCTGAGGAACTCAGATCTCTGGAATCTCTGACCGGGTGTGTTACGGAGTGAATCAGGCAAGTTTCTGTCATTTAGCTGCAACACAGAAAAATCAGACAGTTTATTTAAGCAGTCCTCAACGGGAAAAATAGAAAAGCACATACAAAAATTCTTACCATTGTGCTCACTATGGAGCATAGGGATGCTGCCATCAGGTCAATGTCATTAGCATGACGAGATAGGATCAATGCCTTATTTTTCATTACTTCAGGCACTTGTGTCAAAATAAGATGAAGAACTTTCCAATCTGTAAAAACAAAGTCATTTCAATACCATACTAAAACTAAGTCTAGGAAAAATTTACAACAACATTCAAAAAATAAGGAAAGTAATTACCTCTCTCATTTTTCAGTCCGCTGATGACTGCCTTACAGGCATGAGTCAAGGACAATGCTGTGAACACGCATGGCACATGGGCTGTTGGGGCCGGGCTCACCGGAGGCGGAGAGGACGCTCCTCCCGTCCTTTCACCATGCTTGTGATCCACTCCAAGGTAGGGGCTGAAAATCAGCGGCTTGCCCAGCTCCGCTTTCATTCCACCAGGGTAACCCAGTTGGTAGGCAGAGTTAGCCCGAATACTCAGAAAGCATTCAAAGATCTGGAAAACATTCCGTCATGAGGCAACATACACAAAAATGTATGAAGGTTATTGTTGGTAAACTTAGGATTAGACTTACTACATGACGAATAGAGGAGTGGTTCTCTAATACCGGAGGAGACCGGTAATAGGAATCCAGGTGATTCACAAGTATTTTGTAAGCGTGAATAGCATGGGCTGAAGGTAATTGATACATTTTAGCAACAAATATGTGGACAACGCCTTTTGCAACAGTGAGTGTATCAGCTATTTCAAGGTCATTTCCTGCTTCAAATGGACGGTTCAGAAGCTATTGTGTGCATGAAAAATAAGATTATAAACAGATTAGAAAAAGAAAGTCTCCAACCTATAAAATTACTTAGTAATAGGCAGTACTTGGCTCACCTTTTCCAAAATGTCCAAAAGCTCAAGACATCTTTTTGTGTCACACTGCAGACAAAGATCTATGAGAAGGGCAGCACCTGCGTTCCTTACTGCCACATCTTGGTCTTGATCAATATGAGCAAGGAATGGAACAACGGCTTGCTCAATCAGTTCATCTTCATAGGCAGCTCTAAAAACAAGCACAAAATCGACCTCTTACTTCTCTTAAATCCATGGAAATACATGCACATTTATACAGCACTGTTCTTCACAAATATACCTGTTAGTTTGAATGACTTTGTCAAGAACACGAAGCACTTTGACACGAATGTTTGTTCTTGTTTCAGATCGGAAAAACTTTTCGAGAAGTGCATGCAGTTTTGCGAGCCATTTGTGGCGTGTAGGTTCAACCGAACTTGCAAGATATGTTACCAATCTCATTACTGAGCTTTCCTGAAAATACATACCGTTAAATACACATAAATATTACAATAGTATTAAAGTAATCTCCACTTAAGTTCTACTTACAGGTCTGTGAGGGGAACACCTCTCAATCAATTCAAACACACGTCGTGCAGAGCCTTGGAACTGACCAAGTTCATATAAAGTTTCTACAGTGCATAGGGTTTCATGTAAGTGCTTGCCTACTAGTGCTGTATTGTAGGAAGATGGTTGCGGTGACACCTCTGCAGCCTCTGAAAAGTTTGATAAGAAAAGAAAAAAAGAGCCAGATAATTTTTTGCCAGTTATAATGAGATATTCTGGAATTTCATACAGTGGAACCGAGTCTCACCTATGTATTTCACAACAGCTTCAAGAATTGAGAGCAACAAATCCCAAGCAGGATCCTGAAGCTCTACACCATATTTGTTTACCAGACGCTGACAACTTAGCATGACCTCATACACAACTACTGACTTTCCAGCAGATGCAGCCTTAGTAAAAATTTCAAAAATGAGATATAAACAGAAGGAAAAGATAAAAATGACGAAAATAAGGACAAATAAGAGGATAATTCATGAAAGTACCTGGAGTAATGATGGGAGAACTGATGTCTCTGTGCACACTAATGTGGGGACTCGTTTATTGCCCCACAAACCCATGTTTATGTAGAAGACAGCTCCTCGCATGAGACCAGAATCCCCCTGATATTCCTTATTCTGGAGAATGCTACACATTGTGTAAAGAGCTGCATGGCCCATGTGAGTACCAAGAAGATTCCTCATTATCTAAAGAAAAAGAAGAGAATTTACAAAGAAAATATTTAGAATTTGCAAATTGCCAACAAGATCAAAGAATAGTGCAATGGAATAGTACAATACCTTCCAGCTTTCCTGACAGTAAGCTTCAATGTTTACAGTACGACATAAGGCACTAACAAAATCTAGCAATGACTCCGAAGGAAGATTTGAATATCGGACCACAGTGTCTAGCACTTGAAGGCATCCCATCACAACATTTCTAGAGCAGACCCAGCAACACAGAAAGCACACATGCCTGCGAAAAACGAAATTGTAATTGTAACACATACATTCACACAAGTTCGTAGAAAAACACCTTAGGTGAAAATATTTCAGACACAGAGGGTACATACTGCACGAGTAACATGATGACATCATCATCCATGTAGGCAGCATTGTATTTAACAACATTCACCAGAAGACCTAAAAACTCTTCAGTTTTGCTGGCAGATACAACAGATGGCATCCAAGATAATAAAAAGTGACCCATTTTTTCTTCAAGATGTTCAATAACTTTGCCATTGTCTGTCAATGCATTCAGCAAATCCAATCTGCACAGACCCAAAGATTCAAACAATATTCAAATGACTGTAAACACCAAAATAAAATATAGCACCAATAACAAACCTGCTAGCAACATCTTCCTGTACATCATTGTTTTTATCATTGTTTCTGATTATGTCAAAAATATGTAATCTCATTTTATGTAATCTATCATATTGACCAGCAATGAGGCACCGATAGAAAGCATAGCCTTGTTGCCGATATTCACGAGGTGTATCGGGGTAAAATAAATCTTCAATTAGCAACCTTAGTTTCTCCATATCACCCTGAAAACCAGAAGTATTAGAGGATGAAAAGTAGGACTTTAGGTAATTGTATGTAAAGACTTACATATTCAACACTGTTCTCCTTGACAGCTTCACACAAATCTCTGAGGACTCTTATCCTTTGGTTCATATTATTGTCTTTGCGCAGCTGAGCTTCCACATCAGCAGCTAATATGAAATCCTGACGACTTTTTAAAGTTGCTGAAACATGAGAAAATAGTCTTTTTAGGTCAGCTTCAGTTTTTTAATAGGACTGAGAAATATGACTGAAGAATGAATTAGGCGAGTACCAATTCCTTTAATTCCAAAAAACTGCTTCAACCGCCGCAGCGGTTTATTGTCCTTATCCTTTGCTGACATTGTGAAGATTTATGCTCAGCAATGACTGTGCAAAGAACCTACAACAGAAAGACAAGGGGAAAACAAAATTAATTCTCACTAGTAATTGTGGTGAGGGTTTTTCTAAAGACACCAAAGCAATCAAAGGTATCCCCACCAGTTTATGTGTACCAGATAAAATACTGACAGTACTGACAACTCATCTAAAAGCCTGGAAACACTGCAGAACGGCAAATATTGCAAACTTTCACGAAACTATAAATGTTTTAAGACCTTAAATAGGAGAGTCCTACTATTTTTTCATTCCCTGTTTTTGACAACGCAAACTGGCACTGGCGGCGTTTCAGAGGTTAGCACCATTTCGAGTCGCAAGCTCAGGCTACGTTGTTCAATAAATGGTTGACACTGACTGAATGTTACAGAGATCGCAGGAATGGCTGCACGAGAAGCGCAGCGATGGGTTTGAGACAATTGATGGAAATTGTGGAAACACTAAAGGCCGCTTTAAGCCCACGGCCACGGCCCCTTTGTTATCCCAACCCAAAATCCCCCAACAGCTGAGCTAAGCAGACGCAGCGCCTCTACCGCCGCTTTACGGAACTACAGTCGATCGCACAGCCTTTCTGCTCCATGTTTTGTTATTGTTTAGGCGTCCGCCGTCCGTGACGGCAGTGGGAATGTCGTTTAATTGGGGTAAAAAGTGTTGTATTCGTGTCTAATCCTCTTCATTGACTGTAATGCGAGAGATCGCTTAGCACCTATGTCATCCTCAAGGTTTACGCTTGTGGTCTCGGCGATTCTGTGCCACCTTGCTTTTGAGGGTGAGTATCTGTCACCGTACCACTCTTCCATCCTTTTCAAAAATCATATTATGACCCTTGATGAGTGTTTAATAACTCTGTTGTGTCCTAATCTTCGGATCTCTACCTTAGTTTTAGTCTTATCTGAAGTTGGTGCTCACATTTCACTGTGGGAATTAAATTTGGCTTATTTTATCTATTAGTTGAGGTTATGCGATCATAAACTTGTGGAATAGGCGTGTTTGCTCTAGGAGGAGACTCTATTCTGCAAGAAGGGTTTGGCCTTATGTCATTGTCTTATTTTCAGAAAGTTAGTGATTGTTGAATATGAATGAATGGTTCACTGTATTACTGGGACCAGTCTTTGCTTTTGATAAGGAAGGACAAAGGAAGATAATTTTGAAGATGTTTCAGTCTAAAGCCGTTGTGACCTACTGTTATTAATGGGCTCTTAATGTATCTCATTGCAGTGGCGGGAAATTATGTTGTTGAGATAACTCAAAATGGGCCAATCGTTCAAGGAGGATCGATTACCTTCCAAGCAGAGCTATTTGCTTCGGATGGAAGCCGCCCTGAAGGAAAATTTCGTTTCAACTGGAGAGACAACACACTCACACCGCACACATGGACTGTAAATAGATAAATGTCTTGTCTGAATTAACTGTCAAATGTACCTATTAAGTTGTAATCATATTTTGTTCCATATTAGGATGAGACACATCAGCCCAAGTCGGCGTGGCATGTTAGCTATCCACACAAATATTATCCTGGAGAATATGAGGTTGAAGTTGATGTTGATGAATTCAAATACCTCTTCTGGATGGAGATTGGGAGCAGGCGAACATCATTTAATATAACTGGTATGTTTTTCTTCAGGCTCTCCTTTCCTTCTTGCTCATTTTGTTCACTTTTTAATTTTTATCTCATCTACAGGTTTCTTGAATGGGAAGATGGAACTTGTTCAAGATAAGCCAATTTTGCATAACTTTGTGTCAAATGCCACTCAAGTTGAACATGAAATAGTCCTTTCAGAAGCTGATAGGAATTACTTGATGAATGCCACTCAGGTCACAACATATTGGTAAGAGCATGTCAGTCTTAATTGTTTGAATGATTGGACCTGTTTACTCATTCCCTCTTTCTTTACTTTTCAGGTTTATAGATTGTACATTTTATGGGGAATCTAGTGATTTCACTTTTAACTACACATATGGAACTGTTGGGGTCAATCACAGTGTTGAAGCCTTGGTTGCTGTATCATTTGAACCCATAACAACTACCACTTCTACCAGCACTACAACCACCACTACAACCACAACCACCACAACAACTCCTGCCCCAAGCACAACCACAGTTGTCACTTCATCCTCTTCAACAACTCTTCCTTCAACATCGAAAAGCATTCTCAATACATCTCTCAATTCAAATGAAGTGAGCATTCTCCCGGGACAAGCTCCCAGGAATTTGTCCCATATCCACGTTCCATATGTTTGCCTGAATTCTTCAATAATTCCTCCTGACCCCAAAATGACTTATGGTTATTTCCATCACCAGATTAATGTAAAAGGTGGGAGTTATTTTTAGATAGTCTTCCGTAAACTTCTTTTAGTTTTACAAAATTGTTGATAAATATTATTCTTGTTTCAAATGCAGCTCCAATTCAAAATATAACATTCAAAGGCACAGACTGGTTGCAGCCCTATAATCTGCTTGATCTGCAAGTCATGTGTCGTGGTTCTGGAAACTTCAGTTATTGCTATTATAAGGCAGCTGCAGATTACAATGTTACTGGTAAGTCATTTTGTCATGTTGAGTGATTTGTTGCCCACTTTTCTTTTTTCTGTTATTCATTATCTATGTTTTCCTTTTTCAATTTCTAGGCAATGAGGAGTGTCCTGAAGTGGCTACTATTACTGAGATGTGTCAGTTCAATATCTCTGGATATTTCTCTTATACAAATTACACAGTGGTTGTCATCATCAGCAATGATGTTTCCAAAGTGGTGAAACCTATCAGTGTTATATTGTACAAAGGCAAGCTCACATTTATTTAGCTGTGACCATTCGTGTCTCGTATTCTTTGATAACTTATAGTTTCAATCCTTTTACAGTCCAGAAGCATGCCCAGCTGTCAGTAATTGTTGTCCCTGTCGTCTGCAGTTTAGTTGCAGTCATTCTGATTGTGTTTGGAGTGGCCTACTATGTTCAAAGACGCAAGAGGTTTGTTGGATTATAATTTTATACTAGTAGTTTTTTTTTTAAGTAGTAATGAGGTTTGCTCTCTAATTATGTATTTTCAAACCTTTCTAGATTTACTGTGGAAGTTGCCGATTTTGATTTTGGCCATGGTGTAGGGGACATGGAATACAAAACATTCAGAGAACGATTGAGAGAAGCTGTTGTGAACTCACTCAATAGAGATTTTGGAGTTGATGGTGAAGGCAATGTTTGGTCTCCCAGCCGGAAATATGGTAGCATGCAGTGACCTCGGCTGCCCTCGGGGCCTGGCAGGTCAGTGGACATGTGTATTCAAGTCTTCTGTATCATTTAAATTTTAAGAGTCTTGCATAGAGAGTGCATTTTTCTCTCTTTGTTTGTCCTTGTGCTTGACCCATGTTTTGACACCCTGTAACTCTTTTCTTTCCCTCCTTTATAGGGCGCATGACACCCACCCATATGAGGGCTACTGAAGACAAATTTGCAACTTCACACATGATTGCAACTGGACATCTGTAGTTTTGTGATATAGAAGTTAAATAGTTTTGAAAATTGAAACCAAACAGATTCTATCAACTATGTGGGTGTACGCCAATAAATTAAAACTGAGAATATCAGCCTGAAGCAATGCGTACCTTTTATCCAAAGACTAGAAGTCACTAGGTGGTTGCCTCTGATTGGTTGTAACTTGGCTTAAAAACAACTGTGAAGTATGTACACCCATTTGGGCTTCTTTCTGTTATAGTTTAAATAGGAGACACATCTTTGATGTTTTAACTACGGTTAGTTTTAAATAAAAGTTTTTGCACAAAATGTCTCTCATGAATTTAGTTCTGGAGTGCCCTTTAAATAGTTGTTTTGTAGTAGGTGTGGTGCTGTGATAAATAACTTGGCAGTCAATATCTAATGTTTCTGATGCACTTTTCCAGAGCTTTATTTTAGAATGTTTTATGAAGTACTTGCTCTTGCTGTTGAAATGAATTATTGGAATGTGATATGTGATCAAGAGCATAATGAAGTTCTTGGGATAAATGAGGTGGGCTTTCTGTAAATTTGTGTTGTGTGTTTTAGATTTTGTTCTGTTGATAACTATTACTGAATACCAATGTAAACACTATGTACATATTATTATGATTATTTGATGATGTAGTTGTGTGTAAAGTAATTTTCAAATCATTTTAAATGCTGTCATACTTTTTCTGACCAAGTTTTCTCACTACAAATTTTTACTAACCACTCTAAGTGTTTCATATTTCATTCATGATCAAGTCAGGTTTATGTAAAAAAAAATCTCTGATTTCTGTTTTAATTTGTGTCACAACCTGTTTTGATATGTTGGCTGCATTTTGAAATGTATCCTACCACATGCAATTTATGTGTAATACTTTAGCAACATTATTACTGTATGACTGCGAAGCAAACTGAAATTCTGAATTGACATAAGAATGAAGTATGTATAGCTTCTGCATGCTATGTACGAAGGAGGGCCAAACTCTGCAGAAGTTCTACACATTCATGGAATTTTGCGACCCCCTTTCCCCTATTTCTGTTCCACCAATCTGTGAGATTTGCTTCATTCCAACTTTGAATGAAGCGTTTTTTGCATGTCTGTCGTCTTTGGCTGTGATATAAAATATACTTTTTTTACAGTAGCATATTTAAGAAATGTTTTTTGTCAGTGCGGCTTGTCTGATTCATAGGTTTTACTGGCAATTAATTTGAAACTAGGATTGAAAGTGTACTGGGAATGAAATAAAACATCATTACTATGCGACTGATGACTTTGTCACTCTCCTCTCAAACCAATTAACGAGACAACCCAATTCTCCATCTTCCATCAGTTTAATCTGCTCAATAAATAACAAGTATACATTTTTTTCACTATACATGGGAGGGACGGGCGTCGTGGTTCACTCTAGGATTGGCGAGGCTCGGCCATGTGAACACGAAGCCAGGACTGCCGTGGCGCCAGCGCGCTAGAGAGGTGCCAGGGCCAGTACCGCCTTGGCTGGGGTCGCTAGGGTCGCTGGGGTGGACCGCGGCGCGTGGCGCGCTTCGGCCAAGGCTCTGGCCACCGAACACCAAAGCCGCAGCAAGCTGCCGCCGCAGCTTGGATCCCGACTGCGGTGGAGGTTTATTAAAAGAGAAAGAGGAGGCACCAGTCCGGAGATGGAAAACGAAAAGGAGAGACGGGAAAACGGGGACGCGCACGGCCACGGCCTACGAGTGGAGTGCGCTGTGCTGACGTCCTGGTGGTGCTGGTGCGGTGCGGAGCGGAGATGCTGTGAGATGAGATGGCGTGGCGGGCCGCGGGCCGCGGGCAGCTAGGACAGCCACGGCGCCGGGGAGGCGGGACTGCTGGACAGCGAGACAGCGTCCCGGGGACACCCTCTACGACTTGTTCACCTGCGGTCCGCGTACCGGGGCCACATCAGGTTTTCTACCCGCTCCATCTGGTGGACAGGAGAAGAAAAGACGATGAGAATCCAGACTCGGCGATGGGGCGCTGCGCAAGTTCTTTTCTGCGCCAAGGCCAAGTCCAGGGAATTCCACTCGACCTTGCTTTACTGAATAACGGGATTTTTATTTTTTAAGAAAGAGACAGAGGCGCGTCGTAGAATGACACGCTGTTGGTAATGACTCTGACCCTCTCAACACGAAGCTGGAACAGTTCATATGCTGCCAACAGATTCGGGGAGGGGGAAGGGCTTACCGCCATACGCCGCGTACACCATTAATGACACTGTCGTGCACGCGTTTCAGGCTCGCCGCCGACGCGCCGTGCCGCCGTGCCGCCGTGAGGGTAAATTAAATGTCATGTCTAGATCTGTTTACACCCCACCACGCCCCCCGCCCGGCCCCCGCCCCGCGCCGCCCCCGTCCCTCGGCCGCAACAAAAGATCCGACGGCATCCTGCTTTTGTGTGGCGTGCGCGAGCCTCGGCGCTCCGCGACGCGATGCGGCGGCTCCTCAAAGGAGGGCCTCGGCTCTGAGGGATCGGCGCGGCGCGCGGCAACCTGGCGGCAACCGCGGTAGCGGGGTGCCTGCGCATAACCGCCAATATAAATCTTTCCAGTCGGCGGGGGCGGCGTGGCGCTCCCACGATAAGGTCGACAAGGCGGCGGCCAGCTGCAAAGGTGAGTCCGGGCCGCACGGGCGCAGTGGGCCAGACGTCCGGTGGAGGCGGCTAAAATTCTAGACGCGCCCTGAGCTCCAGAGTCGCTGAATGGGACTCGAATCTAGCGTGTGACCCCACCAATGGATTGCTCTCCGAACGAGAAATCCATTGGTGGGGTCACACGTTTGGTTCGAGTCCCATTTAGTGACTCTGGAGCTCAAAACGCGTCTAGAGTTTTGGCCGCCTCCACCGGTCTTCTGGCCCACTGTGCGGGCCAGAAGACTGACAGCCTCTTCTCTCCTTCTCTCTCGCACTCAAACGTTCCGGTGAGGTGGAAGAAAGAGAGACAGATGAAATCACTCTGCAGCCAGGCCAGCAAGCGAGCGGTGCGGGGGCGGTGACAAGGGCTTCGCGCTGCTGGAGGCCCTGGAGGCCCTGGAGGCCCCGAAGGCCAGATGGCGCCGCGCACCGCGCACCGGGACTGCAGCTTCATTTAATGAACGCCGCGCCGTACCAGCCACGGGTACCTGGACTTTCTTTTGACCCGCGACCCACCCCGCTCGGCTGGCCGCGCCGCGCGCCGCGTCCGGGCCGCCGCTCTCTGATTGGCCACGCTGGCCGAGCAAGCACCCTTTGCACTGGCAGACACCAATTAAAATTTATTGGTCTCCTCCAAAGTGTCGACGTGCAGCAGAAACGAGTCGCGGCACGTCTCTCGTTGGGACGAGGGACGGTGAGATTCGAACCATCGAACCATGCCCTCGCCGTTAGTGATTTTAGCAGCGCAGTTCGCCAGTTCGCCCTCAAAGCGTGTTTTGGGAACGGCGAGTCCGAGTGGCGTGTAATGGGTTTGCCCGACTTCGCCCTCCTTTCAAGCACCCTGCTCTGAGAACCCTGCTCAGATAGGCGATGATAGCAAGAATGTGATAATTGATCCAACACGATATGTCACTATTCGACTGATATCAGAAAGGCGACCGACTTTGTTGACAGAGTGCCAGTATCGGGACAGTGGAAAAATTCATACAGCCTGACTTCAAATGTTTACTTTCTGGCCCCTTTCTAAGGCTAGAAATGTAAAAAGACCTTTCTTTAAAACATAAAATGTCATTGGCTCGTGAAAGAAAATATATAAATAGTATAGAGCCTGGATGCATGCATCACAAGGATACAGCAAGTGTCCTCCTTCCCAGCGAGTGTCCCCAGGTGAACTTCGAGGCCGCCCATGCTCTATGTTCGATGGAGGCACCCTCGACCTACATCGAGGGACTGTTCCGTGCCGCGGGTTCGCTGAAAGAGACTCTGAATGCGGCGGGGCGTCGTGAGATGCGGTCGGCGTCCCGTCCCGAGAAAGCGCACCCGGCACGCCACCGCCACAGTGTGGGAACACCACACCGCTCCACACTCCACGCTCCACCTTGAGCTCCACACGGCGAGCGCCCGCGGAACTGAGGATAGCCTACCCGCCTCACACCACTGCGCTGCCCGCCGCGCGTTGCCTACCTCCAAGGCGCTCTCCGCCTGGATTTGGGTTCCCTTCTGTTTCGCGTTTTGTGCAGCTCTTCCCCAACTTCCACGAACGCCTCTTCTTGCCCGCGGTCCTCCGGGGCGGCTTTGGCGGCGACCAAACCCGCGGCGGGGCGCGAGGGACCAACCCGCGCGGCCGTAAACCGCAGTAAACCGGCACCGATCGCGTCGGCGGGCAGTAAATTTGTTATTATTAAAACAATTATTGAGGCGGGCCGGTGGCGGGCCGGTGGCGGGACAGAGGGAGGGGCCGTGGGGCCGTGGGAGTGAAGCGCGGACCGACTCGCCAATAAGAGGGCGGGGTTACGAGGCACTTGCGACACGCCGACACGGCTGGCCTGGGGCCTGGCCTGGCTTTGCCTCGCTTTTCCATCCGCCAAAACTGCATTGAAAAGCGGCGGCAAGAGTCGTTCCGCTGCTTCGCCGCTTCGCCTCGCCGCACGGCGCCGCACGGCCAACAGCCGCCAACACCGGCCACCCGGCCAACCCCGCCCAAAGCTGTTAATCCGACCCACGGCGGAAAGTTTCCGATGAAAACCGCCGTCGTCAGAAGGCGGGGCGGGGCGGGGCGGGGCTGGCCGTGCACTCGCGGGTCAACGCTCGGCCGCCACGACGGCGGGCTGACGGGCAGCTCGGCCTCCGCGGTCCACATGGTCCACACATCACCGAGTCACGGCGTCGTGAAGCCGCACGCGTCGGCGGGCTGATTCTGAGACGGCGCATCGCTGCTGTCTCTCTCGCACACCCACGAGTGTGAGAGAGACAGAGCACACCGTTTCGGATTCCGCCTGGAGGGATTGGTGGCTGGAGCCTTGGCCGGAGCCTGGCCGGAACCCCCCGGTGCTTCTGTTTCTCATTTTCATACTTGCCTGCGCCGCCTCGTCCCCGCTGGTCACCGGGACGGGCCCCAGGTCAAGCAGGCGGGCCTCGGACCGCTTGCCGTACCTGCAACATAGAGGGGCGTCGTCACGTCGTCTCGGCGGGGCGGGGCGGGGCGGTGAACGCCCCGCCGATGGTGCCCCAGCCGCCGGGGACCCGACCCTGCCCTGCCGCCCCTCCAGCGGCAGCCTCCAGGTTGCCTCCAGGCCATTCATTGCGCGTAAAGCCTTCTAATTAAACTAACGATGTGCATGAGTTTATTTCGGCGCCACCGGATCCAGCTGGCTGTGCCGTGTTCCGCCAGGCGGGGGTGGCCCCATCCCCATCCGCTCGCGCTCTGATTTTGAAAAAAAAAATTGAAAAAAGGAAATGGTTTGTGGAAACTTACCTCGGCCTGTTGATCATCTTGTACCGGTTGTCGAGGTCTTGCAGCATGAGCAGCTTGTAGGCCTGCTTCAGCTTGAGCAGATCGTCGCCCGCCTTGAGTCCGGGGTCGCTGCGAACACAGTGCAACACGGTGATGACGGTCATGGCGACGGAGGGCGGGGCGAACGGGGCACGCAGGCGAACACCGGCATCGAAATCAGGACGCCAAAATCACTGCGGGAAATCCAAAGTGCCCCCGAAACAACACAACGACGGCGTTCGCCGCTGGAACAGAAGGGGTTTGCCGCTTTGCGCGTTTGTTCACTTTTCGCTGTGTTTTGTTCCCCTTTTTCCTCTCGTCTTTCTAGTTAATTCATTACCGCGGTCTAATTGCGTTTGCATCCCAAAGTTTTGGTCGTGGGCAGGGCAAGGTTCACCGCTGCGTCACCGCGTCGCCGCGTCGCTGCGCGGCATGGGGTCAAATGGTGAAATTGGGTTGAACGGTGACGCCCACAGCGAGCACGGCGAGCAACGCGAGACAGGGACACTTTGCGTTTCCGGTTGTAACACCGGACTCCCGGAATAGCGCTGCGTGGGCGTCGGTCCGAACTGCAGACTGAGAGTCGTTTTCGTCGCCCTGTCTCTCTCGCACCTGCACGGGGACGCCCCATGAGTGCGAGGGAGAAAGAGCGACTCTCGGAATCAGTCAGCCAATCACGGCGCTCGCATTCGAGCATTCGAAACGCCGCCACCGCTAAACGTCACCGCCGCCTTTTGAAATGCGACGCTAGCTTTGGTTTCGTCGCCGCCTTCTCTTTTTCTCTTCTTTTCCTCCGCGTGGGGTGCGTGGGGTGCGTGGGTTGCGCGCGGTCGCATCCGCAGCTGTTGCAGTGGTCGGCTCGCTTGGCCAGAGCCAAAATTAAAGGACATAACTCCCTCGTCCGCGTGCACCGAGGCGTGCACCGTGCACCGAGCCAGGGCGGGAACCAATACACGCGCGTTCTCGATACAGAGACTTTCAAATCCCTCCTTCTACTCCTCCTGAACGTTTTACAAAATGACCAGTGACGAGCAAACAGACGACGATGACACGGACATGACAGTGCGGCATGCAGTGAAGGACAAGTGAAGGAAGTACGGGAAGTACGGGGAGTACATGAAGTGCATGGATTACAGGAAGTACATGAAGTGCAGGGAGTACAGGAAGTACATGAAGTGCCGGGAGTACAGGAAGCACATCAAGTGGTGGAAGGTGCAGGAAGTGTAGGAAGTACAGGAAGTACAGGAAGTACAGGAGGTACAGGAAGTACAGACGTGCAGAGAGATTCGGTGCGGCGCAGTGTTCCAGTCAGTTACCACTCAAACAGACAGAGATACATACAGGAATGCCCACAAGTCTCGCCGGTCGGAATGCCTGTCCGAATAAATTGCCAATCGAGAAACCGCAGGGTTCGATCACAGCTCAGAAATACTTGCGGTTGGTTTTCTCGGTAATCTGGGCGTGGGTGCTTATACTGAGATTCATTTCTCTTCAGGGCTGGAGTGATTTCTTGAAAATGAGGGAGGGAGAGGGGGGGGGGCTCGGGTCTCTATGGCCGAACCCTGTAGTCTAACAATCGGCAATTTCATCCCAGACAGACGGACAGACAGGCGCTGGGTGAGCGAGTCCGTGCGTACAGACAGACAGACACAGGCGGTGCGACGTGCAGTGCGTGTTGCCCCGCGTTCCGAACACAGGCGATGCATGGACACAGCGTCGGCGCCACGCCGCTGAGCTGCGGAACGCAACGCGCTCGTAACCGCTGCAACCATTCGGCCGCGGCACGGAATGGATTTACAGCCTTACAGTGCATTACAGCCGCGTGGCTCCGCCCCGGCGTTTTGCGTCGCCTCAGACGGCGGGGACGTGCAGCGCTCGGAACGGGGGCAAACAGTCAAAGTGGGCGCAGAGCGGCGCAGAGCGAGAGAGACGCACTCACCTGAAGCCGTCTGACTGTAAGCTGCGGGGTGGAAAAAGACAGAACATGCGTGTTATTGAGGCCGTGTCGTGAATGCTGGAGGCATGAATGAAGGACTGCCGTCTCGCTGCTCAATTCGTCTCGCTTCGTCTCTCTTTCTCTCTGACTCTGTCTGACTCTGTGTCATGTGGCCGCATGCCGGGGGGAAAAGCCGGTGGCGGATAGAGGGGAGTCGAACCCGCAGCTCGCGTCCGGCCTGCAGACTGATTCCGAGAGTCGATTTCGTCGCTCTGTCTCCTCGGCGCTCATGGGACGACCGTGTAGGTGCGAGAGAGACAGAGCGACAAAAACGACTCTCGGAATCAGTCTGCAGGGAGGCCCAGCTGGGCCCAGCCCCATCTGTTTTGCATAGCGAGGATGGCGACTTGACGTGTGGTGGCCAGGCTGGGGTGGGCCTGGCGGGCAGGGGGAGCGGCAGCGAGGGCCTCGGACGGGACGCCCGGCCCGCCTGGGTCCTGGCGGTGCCACTGGCGGTCCCGGGTCGTCGTGCTCACCGTTTGGAGTAGATGCGGTCCAGGTCGAGCAGGGCCTTGGTCACCTGGTCTTGGCTGGGGACGCGCTGCGCCAGCGCGCCCAGGCCGCCCAGGCAGCAGGCCAGGGCCGCCAACAGCAGAAGATTGCCGTACTGCATCCTGCCAACATGACGAACACGGCGTGAGCATTTCCCTCCCAGCCTGCCCCGGCCGGGCCCCTGCAGACTCATTCCGAGAGTCGTTCTCTTTGTCTCTCTCACACCCATACGGGATGCCCCATGAGTGCGAGAGAGACAGGGCGGCGAAAACGACTCTCGGAATCAGTCTGCTGGCGGTGTACCTCGGTGACCGGGCGGCCCCGCCCCGCCCGTCCACCGGCGTTAATGAAAAAGCTATGCATAAATTATGGCTTGATTTGACGGCCGCGGTGGACTGCTGGCGGCGGACTGCGGCCGGCCTTGAGGCCTTGAGGCTACCACCGCGGTGACCAACGCCAAGCGCCCCCGCGCCGCCCAAGTGGCCACATTCACGCTCGCGTTCACGCGGCTGCCGACCGACCGCCGAACGCCGCCAGCGGGATCAAGTAAATCATGTACAGTCGCAGCAGCCAAAGCTCGGCACGAGGGACGGGCTGGCCGGGCTGGCCGCAGGGCTGGTCGACGGACTCCCGGGACCAGAGCGCCGCCAGCACCGGCCGCGGGGGTGACTCCCACCGGACCCTGTGCGCGTACCGGTCAGAGTCCGTTCGGGCGCAGGGGTCGCGCCCCCAGCAGGCTCATTCCTACCGCTGTCTCTCTCGCACCCATACGGGACGCCCCACGAGTGCGAGAGAGACAAGCGATGAAACCAGTCAGTGTTCGGGAAGGGATTGGCGACAGGTCGGCGACGAGGTCTCTCATGGGCGACGGGATGGCACACCCAGATCCTAGATTTGCGAACGGGCCCGGCGCGGCGAGTCCGTGCCCATGCCGCCCACGCACCACGGGGCGCTGACTGCAGACTGATTCCGAGAGTCGTTTTCGTCGCTCTTTCTCTCTCGCACTTATGGGTGACCCGCAAAAGAGAGAGAGAGAGAGAGAGCGACGAAAACGACTCTCGGAATCAGTCTGGTGGCGTCGAGTTGCCTGGATGTGCTTGATGACAGGGGCGCGTTAGTATCCCTCGTTAGTCCTCAGGCATTCTCACGGAATGCTCTCGTTCTCGCTGGGCGTTCTGGGCGGGGGAGTGGAGAGTCGAACGCAGCGCCCGGTCGCGGCGACCTGAAAGCGACCGAGCCCGGGGCCGCACAGTGGGCCAGAAGGCCGGCGCAGGCGGCCAAAACTCCAGGCGCGTTTTGAGCTCCAGAGTCGCTAAATTGGATTCGAACCAAGCGTGTGACCCCACGAATGGATTCCTCGTTCAGAGAGCAATCCATTGGTGAGGTCACACGTTCGGTTCAAGTCCTACTTAGTGACTCTGGAGCTCAAAACGCGCCTGGAATTTCGGCCGCCTGCGCCGGTCTTCTGGTCCACTGTGTGTCGCCGTGTCGCCCCGCGCCGCGTCCCGGTTGGAGGTTCCCGACCCGCCGTATGTCTCAGGCCGTCTCGCGCGCGGCCGCCGTGGCCATCATGTAGTGCGTGGCCGTGGTTCCGCCGCCACCTGTGGAACTCCCCGGGGACCACGCGCACGGCGAGGGCACGGCGACGGCACGGCGTGGGGCGCCCAGGAGGGACATAACGCGGGCCTAACGTCCTGTAACGGAGTGCGGAGCGGTGTGGAGCGGGCCCGCGTCGACTTGAGGACGACGGATGGGCGCGGGAGCGTCGCCACCGCACAGTGGGCCGGAAGACCGGTGGAGGCGGTCAAAATCTCGGACGCGTTTTGCGCTCCAGAGTCGCTAAATGGGACCCGAACCGAACGTGCGACCTCACCAATGGATTGCTATCTGTCAACGAGGAATCCATTGGTGGGCCCACACGCTCGGTTCCAGTCCTGCTCAGGGACTCTGGAGCTCCAAACGCGTCTAGAGTTTTGGCCGCCTCCACCGGTCTTCTGACCCACGGTGCACCGGCAGCGCCGACGCCAGGTCGCCCCTGCCGTGACCCCCACCGCAGCCGCGCCGGCCTACATGCATACGTTTGAGCAGTCTGAGGCAAAGCCGAGAGTGATTAATCCGCGCCCAATCCCGGAGAGACGAGGACTCGGCGACAAGGCACGGAGCGGTTAATTCACCTTCCATCTCCCCGCCCTCGGTCATTGTCTGCTCGGGGAGTGGCTCCGAACAGCAGCACCTCGTCGCTCCGTCTCTCTCGCACCAGCGCGGAGCGCCCGATCAAATGTGTGGCGAAAGCACTGTTTGGAATCAGCCTGCTGCCACGATCAACAACGGCGCGGCTTAAGTCCCGTGAACGCTTAGTGGAGTGGAGTCCTCGGCCCGCCGTGGAGCGCCTGTGAATCGCAGGGTAGGCAAACCCGCGGCGCACCCGCGCGCCGCGGCACGGCATCCTGCGCTGGTCGGGCGCGCTGACAGAGTCTTTGACTTGGTCGCAATTGGTCACACGCCGTTTCGGCGTCGGCAACTGCCGCTCGCACAGCTACCCCTGACCGACGAAAAAAGACGAAACAATAGCCACGCTTCTTCCGATTAATTCTTTTGGATTTTGAGGAAAATTGCGGAAGCGTAATACGAACACGGGTATCACTAACGAATGTAACTTTTTTAAAAAGAGAAAAAGATTTGCACTGAGAAGAAATTCTGCTTCCATTATGCTCGGACCACATGAACTGAATTACACTCAATCATTTCACTGTGAGACAAATAGGGTCGCACCAATTTGAACTAAGTGAATTTTGAAGCCAGCTTCGCCCGGGACCGCGGCGGATGCTGGGGTCCTCGACAGCCCCAAACCGAACATAGCCCGGCCCGGCTCGGCACAGGGAAGTGCCTGAGTACCTGCGTGAGATAATCCGCTCTCGCCCTTTAAGCCCTTTAAATGCAGGGCCACTGCTCGCCAATTACCATTCGCCGTCCCTGCCCCTCGCCCGGCGCCCTGCCGCTCTGCCTCGCCCCGGACCGTCTCGCCACCATCAACTTGCGGCAATTAGGAGGCCGTTGGCTCGCTGCAGACTGATTCCGAGAGGCTTTTTCGTCGCTCTGTCTCTCTCGCACTCATGGGCGACAGAGCGACGAAGAACGAGTCAGTCTGCAGGTTTGCCAAGTCACCTAGTCCAGCCCAGTTTAGCACTCGCACTCGTTGAGGCTGGAGAAACCATCACTATCCGATACTCTTGCCGAGGCCCAGCAAATTCCATCGTTTTAATGAAAACATTATGCCGAGCTCCAGGCAGTTGGCAAGAGTATTTTTCCAGGAAAACCCACTTCTGTAGATGCAGCTGTGGCTTGATTTCCTTCAGTTTTTTTTAAATTTGCCTTGACTCGAGAGGGGGGCTGCAGTGGCAGTGACCTACCTGTTGTAGCTGTGTGCGGTGCGGTCGCCTTTCGGTAGCTCCGCGACTTTGGGGGTGCCTCTTGATGGCTCCTGGATGTGCCGGTGACTCTTTCGGCTCCTGGTGACTCCTGGTGGCTCTTGCGAACACTCGGTGGCTGCCCTCAAGCTCTGGGCCTCCCGCCGACAGCAATGGGCCTCCGCGCGCCCAACCGCGGGTTTTATAGGGGGCGCCGTGCCTGCCCTGCCGCGTCCTGCAGCCCCGCGACGCTGGGGGCCCCGCGGCCCCGCGGCCCCGCCCGCCGCGCGACGCCCCCCGCGAGGCGTGGCCAGCCCGGGTTGCGCCGGGGGAGGGGAGGGGAGGGGAGGGGGAGAGGAACCGAGGGAGGGGAGGGGAGGGCGGGCGTGCAGCGTCCACCCCTCCTCGAGGCGCTCCTCTTCCCCCTTCACTCTCGTCGTGACCAATAATTTGAACGCGCCCCGGTGCAAGGTAATTGATATTGAAGGCAGCTGCTGATATTATATCCCGGTATTGCGACTGCCGATCGGGTAGGGGACGAATTCGCTGCTGCCCGCGTCGCTTCGGCGGGCGACTCGTGAATGAAAAATCCGTAGCTCCACTTACAGTCCCACCAACAAACCCTAGTTTTGCTGTTCTTCGAGTCTCTATCGATATCGCGCAGTGTATCGTCTTGATGTCTCTCTCGCCGCCTCTGCCGGACACCCCTTGAGTGCGAAAGAGACAGAGAGACGCCGAGCCGCGCAGGTCCATCTCGCCGATGGAGTGACCGTCGCCGTGCCGTTCGACCACCTCCACCTCGAGGACCTCGCCAGCCTCACCCCGGGCGACCAGCAGGCTCATTCCGAGAGTCGTTTTCGTCGCTCTGTCTCTCTCGCACTCATGGGGTGTCCCCTTGTTGGTGCAAGAGAGACAGAGCGACGAAAACGACGCTCGGAATCAGCCGGCAGCTCGCCCACCTGTGCCGCCGGCGCCTCGCGGCCACTATCGGGGCGCGGAGGAGGACGCCGACGACACGGACGGCATGGCGATGCGGCCGTTTTACACGCGGGGCGAGACCAGGGCGGCAATGCAGGAAAGACGATGCCGCGTACGTGCCGCCGTGCCACGCCACGCCATCCACTTGTGGAGGCCGGCGGCGCCAGCGCGTAAAGTGCGCGGTCGGCCGGCGAGGTCGCTTCTCCGGTTAGCTTCCCGTTTCAGCTGCTGCTCGCCGCCAGTAGGCTCATTCCGTCGCTCTGTCTCTCTCGCACCCCTGCGGAACGCCCCCATGAGTGCGAGAGAGACAGAGCGACGAGAAGCTGGGTTCGGATCGGAATCAGCCTGCCGTCGGCGGCTTGTCCAGGCTCGTGGCCCAGATGCATTGCGATTGGCGTGACGTGACGTCACCGCCAGCCCCGGAGGCCGAGCAGGCCGAGCAGGCGGGCCGTTCAGAGTCGTTCGCCGCTCTGTCTCTCTCGCACCTCGACGGCACGCTCCGTGAGTGCGACAACCCTTCGAAATCAGCCCGCCGAGCGACGGGGCGGCGTGCAGGGACGCGCGGCGGCGACGTGCCAGGTGCCGGCCAGGCCCAGGGGGGCGTGCTGCGTGCTGCCCTGGACCAGGGAGCGCCAGGGAGGCTCCAGGGAGGAAATGGGCTTTAATGGGCGCGTGGGGTGGGAGGGGAGGGGAGGGGAGGGGAGGGGGCACCACCACCTGACACGCGGCGGCGGGCGGCGGGGGGGGCGGGGCGGCGGGGCGGCGGGGCGGCGGGGCGGGGGCCCTGTGATGCTCTGCGGGGCCCTGGCGGTGCCCTGGCGGCGACAGCGGGGACTTTGGCGGCCGTTATCATCGTTATTGAAAAGTGCAAGGGTCGCAGGCCGCGTTCGACGTGGTGGGGAGGGGGAGGCCCGGGCAGGGGGTGCACCCTGTGCTCCAGTTGTTAAAGTCTGTGTATTTACGCATTTACATAAAAATGGCCCCGCAAATGCGAGTGGCGCCGCGGCAGGGCTGGCTGGGGGTCGCTAGCCCGCCGAGAGGCCCAAGATGCAAACAGAATCTCCCGGAAGCGGCGAAGATTGCCACTTTGGCGGGAAAGTATTAGGCGGACCGAGGTGCAAATTCAGGGCATGGCTGTTTTTGTCATCAGCTTTTCTATCGCTCGTATTGTTTCTCATTGACATGTTTTGTGAGAAAGTCTCTGCGTAGTATTTTGTCGATCACAAGAGCAGTACAACCGAAAGTGCGAAGTGTTGAGGTTTGAGTCGTCGGAGTCGGTCAGTCGGTCCCGGAGCCGCGGAACTTGGCGAACTTGGTCGTTCCTGTCGCGCTGTCGCGCTGTTGCGTTGCCGGCCCTGTGGGTCGCACGCCGCCACTGCGCACCGCGCCGCAGTGTCCGCTCGACCGGCCGGCAGGCACGGCAGCACGGCAGGCAGGGCAGACCCTCGCCGTCGAGTCTCACGGCCTCCTCCTTCCTCCTCGAGCCCGTCAACATGGGGGCCATCTTCATCGACGCCGAGCACTACGTCAAGGTGAGGAGGAGCCACCCTGCTGGTGTTGACGGCGAGCGCCGTCGGCGAGCCGGGCGGCGCGGCGTGATGCGGCGTTTTTTGGGGCGGACCGTCCGTCTCTGTCGTCCATCGGTGACGTGTCGAGTGTTTGTTTTTATTGGAGTGGATGGATGAATGGATGCGTGCAGTGCGAGCGTGTGCATCGGCGCGCGGCAAATGCCGCACGCGTGTCCACCGTGTTCAGGTGGGGGGATTAGAGAGAGACAGAGCCTCGATACGAATATTGATGAGTCATGGTCGGCTGCTTTGTTGTGGTGCGGGGGCGGTGGCGGTGGTGGGGGGTTGCCGCTGCAGTAGTAGTAGCAGCAGCAGCAGTGAGAGCAGTAGCAGTGGATCGTCCGTGATGCGTGACGTCAGGCGTTCCGGATGGGTCAGGGGAAGTGACTCCTCAGCAGACTGCTTCCTTTTCGTCGCTGTCTGTCTCGCACCGATACGGGACGTCCCGTGAGTGCGAGAGAGACAGTGACGAAAACGACTCGATCTCGGAATCGGTTGACAGCACCCGTCCGCGGAGCCAGCCCCGTCCCCCCCCCCCCCCCCCCCGCGTGGGGGGAATTCCTTTCCCGCCCCCTGGGGAACACTGCCTACCGGAACAGCGTGCAGAAACAAATAAACAAACATGGAAATGATAGAGCTACCCTACCCGGTGGGCTGCAGCAAAAGTGGTCCAGGAAATGTCAGGGTGCGGGCCGGTGCGACCGCTCCATGTGGTCCGTTGCTGCACCCGCCCCCTGGCCGTGGCTCCTGATTCCGCCCCTTCGCTCCGCACGCCCACGCAGAACGCACTGCGCGGAGAGCGTTCGCGATGAGTGCCGAGTGGTCTGCTGCCTGATGTTTCCGAGAATTCCAAGAATCGTTTCCATCGCTCTCGCTCTCTCTGTCGCACTCGTCGGGCGTCCCGTACGAACGCGAGAGGGACAGAGCGACGAAAACGACTCTCGGAACGAGTCTGCAGGCAGCAATCTAATAATCTGGGTTTCAAGAGGGATGCTCGCCTCCCTGGCCGCTGCTCGCCGCTGCCGGCCGCTGGCCGCGGGGGAAGGAAATGGGGGGCGGGGCGGGGCGGGGCGGGGCGGGGCGGGGCGGGGCGGGCGGCGGTCTGATCCGCTAATCGTGTTTGTAGAGTGGCGGGGAGGAGGGGCAGTGGTGGGCAGTGGGCGGGAAACTGGAAAAGTGGCGCGTAATGAGGTTAACGCGTTTCACCAGTGGCGCGGCGGCGCGGCGGCCGTGGTGTGGGGGGCGAATTAATTAGCGAAATAGGGACGCTCGAGTCGCAACAAGTAAAGCCCTGCTCGCGAATTAGACGGCGGCCCGTTCGTTAGCGTGCATGGCCGTGGCCGGGCCGTGGCCGGGCCGTGGCCGGCACACTGATTCCGAGAGGCGTTTCCGTCGCTCTGTCTCTCTCGCACTCGTGGGGCGTCCCGTATAGGTGCGAGGGAGACAGAGCGACGAAAGCGACTCTCAGAATCCCGCAGCAAGCTTCGCCATGGCGGCTTCCTTGATCTCGACGCGGCGCTGGCTGCGGCGTCTTGGGGGTGGGCGCGGGCGGGCCGCCTCACTGCGAAGACGAAGCACGAAGGCTGTCTCCCTCGCACCCCCTACGGAGCGCCCCGTGAGTGCGACAGAGACGGAGTGACGAAACGAGCCATCGCGGCCGCCTCGGTGGACGGACAGCGTCCTGGCGAAGCTCTCGAAAAATTGGAGTCGTCCGCTCGGAGGGTCCTTCCCCACAGCAGCGCAAGCTGTTCGAGTGGGCGGTCAGGGAGGACGCGGCGGAGCGTGGCGGAGTCGTCCTCGAAGCACTTTGGCGATTCCGTCCAATTTGGAGCGGCTAATGGGAGGGCCGGGCCGGGCGGGGTGGAGTCCGGTGGAACTCGCGCGTCGGAACGGCTGCAACGGAACGCATGTCCGGCCGCGGACACCTGCAGACTGTCCGAGAGTCGTTTTCGTCGCTCCGTCTCTCTCACCCCCGTGAGTGCGACAAAGACGAGCGACGAATACGACTCTAGGAATCAGTCTGCAGGGCGCAATGAATGGAATGCGCCTTCTGGCTGCATTTATGCAAGTGCGAAGGGTGGTGGGTGCTTCGCGTGCTTCAGGGGTTGGCGGTGGCGGTAACCCGGCCCGGTGCCGGAAGGAAGGACTAAGGACGTGCTTTGCCGCGCTATGCGGGCCAGCGGACTGATTCCGAGAGTCGTCTTCGTCTCTGTCTCTCTCGCACCCTTGCGGCACGCCCCGTGAGTGTGAGAGAGACAGAGCGACGAAAACGACTCTCGGAATGAGTTTGCAGGGCGGGGCAGACCTTGAGGGAGACGACCCGACGAGACGCGTAGCAAGTACAGCCATGAAAGGCAGGCCGTCGCGACGTAGTGGTCCAAGTCGCTGTTGATGTTCCCGCCTCCCCGCGTCGCTACCCCGCGCCTCGCGCCTGGAGTAGCGTACGTCCACGCGTGGAGTATCGCCGCGTTGTTCCGTCGCTTCGCAGGGGGCTACGCGCCACGCTACGCTGCCTTAAGCCTGGTTGGCGGTGTAGTGGCTGAAGTGTTGTCCTGAAAGGCGCCCCTGCCACGCCACGCTCGATTTGGCCTTCATGTGCGACCGCCTCTCGATTTGCAGGGCTCCCTGGACCGGGGACGTCCGCCAAGGGCGCCAAGGACACGGAGACGCCCGTTTCGAATTTGGCGCCGCTGCCCGCGTCGTCCTGCCGACACAAGGCGGTGAGTCCTGTGACCATCTGTGACCGCTCGCGCCACGCGCATGACGTAACCGTCTGCTGCCCGTGTGCGCCAAAGGGTATGGCATGGCTGACTGTGGCAGCCGTCTGCAGGTTGGGATCAACAAACAGGTAATTGGGTGGTCTCGGTGCGCTGGGGGTCGTCGTGGCGCCCTTGGGGGTGTCCGCCGACGCCCCGCGGCCGCGAAGGCACCGCGTCTGGGCGACGTCATGCTAACCAGCGCGGGGAATGTCCCGTCCCGCTTTCCTTTGCAGACCCGAAGCAGCGGTCCAGGAATGAACGTCTCCCAGTGGCTCAAGGGCTTCCTGTTGACGGAGGGGCACTGTCTGGAGGTAAGCCCTGCGAGGACTCGGACGGCTATCTGGCCGATTGCCTTATCAGCGCGGCCACGGGGCCTGACAGTGGCGCGACGGCCCTGCAGGGCGTACTCCCTGGCCACCCCGTGTCTTTGACACCTGCTACGCTGCTACCCCCCGCGGGGCCGTCTGCCGTCTATGAATAGCTGGCCGAGGAAGGGGGGCACTGGGGCGCCGAGGCGCGTGGGCGCGGACAGCAGCCGGGCTTGACCGTCAATGTTTTGCGGCAATGGCTTTGCCAGTCGCCGCCGTCTCGTCCTCGACTCGTCCCTGCTGCGCTTGCTGCGCGCAACACACCCAGGGTACCCTGCCCCCAGTCCGCCTCCGCCCCGTCAGCTGATCCCTACTTGTTGTCCTAGCGGTCTCGGTGGCCCTCGGCTGTCAACGGGTTCGTATCCTGGAGCTTAAATTTCTGCGCGCGACGCGCGTGTCGCCCCGAACGAATCGGTCGCACGGCCGCCCCAGTGGCGATGGAATAAATGGAGAGGTTAGGCGCCCCTGCTCCTGCCAGCATCTGGCTCTGGATTACGGCCAAACCGCGCGCACGTCGCGCAGATAAGACAAGCCAGTGTCGCGGAGGGCCCTCTCGTCAACCGCAAATCCATACGTGCAGCGTGCCAGTGTTGTCATTCCCTCGGCATGCTGTTTAAGGCCGCTAATTGGTGTGTAATTATCACACTTTTAAGGTTAACCATTTTTCTTTGGGCAAATGTTTCCTGTCTATTTGACATTTCTGGCAACCTTGCCTTCTCCACTGAGCTGAGTAATTGTTTACCACTTTGTTTTGTCAAAGAATTTTAATCTGTTTTAACTTTTTAGTGCTATGGTGTTATTTAAATGCAAGCTTTGCAGTAGATTAATTTTGTTTTTAAAGAGGTCATAGGACAGTTTTGAGTCTTTTTCTCAACACTCAGCACTAGGGAGACCATTTTTGATAGCTGAGGGAATCCCATATGATAGCCTGAGGTAGCCATGCACTAAAATTATGATTTTGAATGAAAATAGTTGGAAAGCGGACAAGACCAACACATGTCTGTTTGAGCGCTGTGACTGTTTGCCTTGCCTCAATGCCATAGCAGCAAAGTTCATCTCCTCTCAACAATTCCATTTATACCACTGTAGAAAGAGAAAGGAAACGATGTGTGATAAAGAGGCAGACCAAAGCACCCTGCCCCCTTGATAGCAGCTGCAGCAACACCAAATGACTTCTTTGCTTGCCCCTGCTATGCTAGTGGTAGTGGGGGATATCTAGCCCAATCAGTGGCTACAAGAGATCTGATGTCAGTGTGACCAGCAGTTACGGGCCGGCATATCTATTGAGATGGAGATGAAACTATGGGAAGAAGTGAACAGCCGTGGAGTGGGAAGTAGTATCTTGTCACGGGTAGGTCTAGGTCACCACAGACTCTCTCATTCAGTCTGGTGCCGGTGGCGGGCGCGGTAGGACCTGTTTGTGTGTGTGAGGTTGTTCTTGTATGTGCATGCAGACGACTGCCACTGTGTCTGTGAAACAACACTAAATTCTTCAGAATGAATTTCGTAAGTACTTGTGCAAGACATGATGTAGCAACTACTGTGTTGCTTAATTTTGTTTTCTTTCCCCATATTGATGGAAATGCTGTAAAAACTATCTATTCACTATATTTTGACTTAACAAAGTGCATCCGGCTCAAAGATTGGGAAGCATTTGAGCGCATTTGAGGCAAGCCTTAGAAAAGCTACTTTATAATCTGATGCCCGCAGCCTGTGTGTTGTTGCCAGTGCCCTCTGTCACTCAAAGGCTCTGCTCAGTGGGACATGACCTTGATTGCTATTGTGCTTTCTCAAGACTGAGCAGATGTGTGGCGCTGGGCTAAAATCATTCATATTTCTAGACCAAAAACATGTTGGTTTTTTTTTGTTTGTTTCTTTTTGTAAATTACCATTTTTGAGCAGTGAAATTTGGTCTTGTTTCCAGACTTTTTTAGAATGTTGTTGAATTAAAATGGGGCTCAATATCATGTGGAGATAGGTTCAAACACTGTGCAAGAAAAAAATCTAGAACATGTGCTGACATTTTATCCAACTCATGGATTTAATTTTGTTTTCTGTTGTTAAATTTTTCGACTTGAATGGGAATAACAGAATCAATTCACAAATTTTCAGTGATTAATGCATATACTGTGCGTAGAGGGAGGCTCCAGGCTCCAAGTTTTGTCCGATCCGATCGTTCTGACCAGGCTGAATGAATGAGGTTCGAGTGCGATGCGACGGTGCCCTGCAGCTGCAGACCGCTTCAGAGAGTCGTTTACGTCGCTCCGTCTCTCTCGCACCTGTACGTGACGCCCCATGAGCGCGAGAGAGACAGAGCGACGAAACCGACTCTCGGAATCAGTGTGCGCCGCAGCTGGCGCACTGCATTGCATTGCCAAGTGCTCGCTAGGCAGGGCCTTGTTGTTCCCGCTGCCGTCAATGAACCCAACCCCCTCCTCCCTCCCTTCCTCCCCCTGAGACGCACAGGTGTAGGAAGTGAAGCCAGGTTGTTGGCTGCCATTGACCGCTGCCCAGGCCAGCCCGGCCAGCCCGGCCAGCCAAACGCTGCGTCGGCGGCGGTGGAGGTTGTGGAGGTGTGTCCGGCTGGGCCACGCCGCAGACTATCCAAGGGGTGGGGGGCGGAGGCCGGGGGTGATGTGATGTGCGTGCACCCGGCCAGACTGTCACTGACCGCGACCGGTCGACCAGTCCGTCACACGAGGGGGCGTTTCTGGCCTGGTCTGGCCGACACTGTCTGTCTAGCGGACTGACTGCCGGACTCCGTCTGCCAGCCGCGTCTCCACGCACAGGGTGCTCACGCCCTGCGCGTTTCGGTGTAATTTTAGTGAGGCGGGTGCGGTCCGGGCCGCGGTGCCAAGAAGTCGGTGACCGCGGGGGCGCGGGGCGGGGGGCGAGGTCCGCGTCGAACGCCGTGGCGCCGAACGCTGAAGCAGCTCAAGGCCCCCGCGGCCTGGCTGGCTGGCGGGCTGGCTGGCTGGCTGGCTGGCTGGCTGGCGGGCTGGCGGCTAGAGGCGCTCTGAGACCCAGACATCTCGACTAGAATGCCGAGCGAATGCCGTCGCACCCCATCGCCGCCACCCGCACTATTATCGCGCGGCCAAGGTCGCGGCCTCAAGGTCGGCCTCGTAGAAAATGGCGCCCGCCGAAACTAAAGCGGCACTGGACATCTTTGTGACGGGCAAGGCAGCTGCTGAGGTGCTGCTGTCCCCTGGGCTGTTTCTGCCCTCACCCTTGCAGGGCCCGAGGGAGGGAAGGCCCAAGGACTGCGTGGTCGCGGCGGGGCGTGGCGGCTTCAGACTCGCGGCTAAGACAGCCTCAGCGTGATAGTCGCTGTGCGTAATATCTTATCGAGGCCGCCCCGCCCCGCCCCGCCCCGCCCCGCCGCGCGCCTCGTCTCGCGCTGTCCCTGACGTCACGGACGTCACGTTTGCTGCGGCCCGCGCTCCGACGAACTCCCCTAGAAACAAACCGAAAAAAGCTTCTCTTTTTCTATGCTTTAATTGGATGCTGGTCCACGGTGGCTCTGGAGCGATAAAGGTCAAACGGTCCCATTGTCTCCCGCGGCCGGGTGCCGACGACACCTGTCTCTGTCTCTGTCTGCAGCGAAGTAAAGCTTTACAGCGAAGAAGCGAGGGTAGGCAACCCGTTCGCTTGGCTGCCCGACTGCGCCAGCGTTGCCTACCTCGCAGGCTGTCCTTGCTGTCGCGGAGCGGACAGGAGGCGCCATGTTTTTCCAATCATGAATGTTCATTTCATCAAAAAATAAAAGCGGCTTGGCGCGTACTCCGAGGCAACAGTATCTCTGGCGGTGGGCGGCCGTGTTTTCGTAAAGGCCTGGCGATTTCTTGTGGTGGAACACGCGCGCGAAGGAGGTCTGTTGGGTCATCGCATTCCCCTCGATAAAATGGAAACGGCATGACATAAACGGCGCTCTTGTTTTTCTTTTTCTGGCCCGACTCTCTCTCTCTCTCTCTGGTGGTACTTTCACCGAGATTTCGCGGGTGGTGACGTGGATGGGCTTACCTCCCGTTTCGAGCGTCAGGTCCAAAATATTTGCAGTGGGATGTCGTCGCTCCCTTTGCTCGCCCTGCAGGGCCGAGTGCCGGGCCCTGAGCGCCGAGCGGCCCTGGGTCTCTCTAGTCGCGCCCTGCCTTTTATCTTTGAAGGTCGAGTCGTTTTGCTTTTCGCCCGGCGTGCCTAGGATTGCCAGCCTCGCCTGCCTGCCCATTGGCTTAGGTCTGACGTCCGTCCAGCAGAGCCCATGGCAGAGCTCCACTCCAGCGCAGCGAGCGCAGGGCATGACGCCGGGATGGTCCTCAATCCTAGGCCGCGCGGTGAACCATGGGTGAATTTCCCGGGTGAACCCTTGTGAGCCCGCGGAAACCACCAGCCGCCACTCAGCCGAGCCATTCCGAAGCTATCTCTCTCGCATCCCTAAGGGACGTCCCATCATGCGAGAGAGAGCGAGCGACCGGCAAAATGACTCGTCGAAATTCGTCTGCAGGTTCCCGCCAAGCGACCGCCAAGGCTCGGCGTCAAGTCATATCTCGGCCAGCAGACTCAGTCTACAGGCGCCGCCAGGTGTGGTGTCTAGTCGTGCGAATTGCACAAGATTCAAGGCTCATTTGGCGGGTAGGGCCTCGCGGCCTGGCACGAGATGGGAGCCCTGCAGCCTGATTCCGAGAGTCGGTTTGGTCGCTCTGTCTCTCTCGCGCTCGTGGGGCGTCCCGTATACGTGCGAGCGAGACAGAGCGGCGTTAACGACTGTCGGAATCAGTCTGCAGGGCACGGTGGGCTTGTCGCTGCGCTTGCCAAGGTCGTCTCGTCCGGCAGCACCGGCAGCACGCTGTACGCCACTCGAACGAACGCCCTCTGTGTTTTCGCTCTGGTTACGGCGGAGCGCGGAGCATGTGTGAATCGCTGAAGCCGGGCGCAGCCGGGCGAGCCAGGGGAGGGAGGGAGATGGGTACCTACAGTGTACTTGGCTGACGACGGTGCGCTCTCTGCCAGCACGCCGCGACGTCGCGACGCCCGAGTGAGAGTGAGATGGCGTGACGTGGAGGCAGACGCGACGCCTCGAGGGTGCGGACGGTGCGGTGCGGACCGACCCCAAGCAACCCCCCAGCAGCAGAGGCAGGGTTCCCGGCGCCACCATGACCCCCCCACACCACGAGCCCGAGGTACGGAGCGGAACGAGACTTCCCCTCGGTGTGGCGGTGTGCGCGTGCGCCCTTCTCGGGGCAGCTTTGGCCTCGCCTGTTAAAAAAACATAATCGAAATCAAACCTTAACTTTGATGCGTGACTTGATGAGTCACCAGCAGGCGAGGCCGGGGCTGCTCACCACGTAACGCTGGCTTAGCTCACGCTCACCCTTAGTTCGCGGCCCTTGTCATGAAACTTTGTACTTTTAGTAGGACTCCGCTCGTTGATTTGGCTGTTTTCGTGCTTGTTTGACTAATAACGACCTGGAATGGAGTGCACTCAGTCAGTTATGCTCCTCGGTGTGTCCTGTAACATTTGTGAGTCAGAGCCAGTGTTGCCAGAAAAGCAGGCAAAAGGTGCCCGAGCACACCGGTGTACAGCGCGGGGCTTGTGTATCACTCTGCCTCCGAGGCAGCTTCTCGCCACAATGGTTGAGTGATTGCCTAGCAGGCAGGATGGTACTGTGTGCTGCAGCCCGCCGCACACCGGTGTGTTCTTCGTCATTTTTGCCTACTCTTCAGGTAACACGATGCAAATCATGCAAAGCGCGCCAACACATCCTGTGGGTGCGGGGCAGTGTGAGGTAGCTCGCCTACTTCGGAATCTGTAGTCGTGCTCAGATTTCACTATCCCCGCTCATCCCGAGCCACGCCTACCCCCTCCCCTTTCCCACGCCTCGACGGGACACGGGACTTCCCTGCCCAGCCGCTCCTCTCCGCCTTGCCAGGCTTTGCCGACGCCACCCTGTTCTGTTTCCCTGATCCAGCTGTACACTCCCCGATGTGCAGCATTCGCGCATTAACAATCGTTTTCCAGCTTCGATTTATTTCGTGAATTGTGGTGTGGTTTTCTGTAGACAAAAAAGAGAACTTAATTAACCTGTTTAAATTTGGTCTTTTTATTCCAGAGTGCGGGTTACTTGAAACGCGCCAGCACAGATCAGCTACAGGATATCTTCAACAAGGTACGTTTCTTCAATTAAAAAAAGAATTGAAACAAGCAAAATCAAAAGTAATGGGGAATGAAAGATTTAAGTCAATGCTACACTCACCTTGTGGCCTTTTTCATTCTTTGCAGTATGCGTCCGAAGAAGTTGATGGGGTCAAGTATATGCGAGCTGGTGACTTTATTCAGCGGTTCTTAGGCTTCATCCCTGATAAGGACTTCAACGAAGAATCTGTTAAATTATTAGGTGGCATTGTTGATACCAGCAAAGATGGGTAAGATTCCTGCCTGCTGCTGCATTGCAAGATAAATCTAGTCACAGATATCACCTTGGAAAGTATCTTACATGTGTTTATTTTTCCTCTTGTCTAGACTCATATCATTCCCGGAATTCCAAGCCTTCGAGGGGCTTTTGTGTGTCCCTGATGCTTTGTACAAAACTGCCTTCCAACTATTTGATACAAATGGAAATGGAATGGTCTCATTTGGTGAGTTGGTGCTGTCTGGATGTTGTGAAATATTCATGGTTCAAATTGTTTGCTTTTGTGAATGATACATGTATTGTATGTATAATGTTGGTTACAGATGAATTTGTCGAAGTGGTTCGTAAAACAACCCTTCATCAGCGCATGCCATTCAACTTTGATGGAAATTTCATTAAGCTCTACTTTGGAAAAGACAAGAAGAGACTCATCTCTTATTCTGAATTCAGTCAATTTCTTCATGTGAGTTATTTGTCAATCAGGTTTATTGAAAATTTATGTAAAGAGAAGGATCTTATCCAACATCTATTTTAGGATTTCCATGAGGTATATGCTATGGAAGCTTTCCGAAAATCTGACAAGGATGGTTCTGGATTCATCTCAGCAATGGACTTCCAAGATATTATGGTGTCTATCAAGAGCCATTTGCTCACAAAGGATGTCAAGGCCAACCTTGTTGCTGTAAGTTTCGTAACAGAAATTTTTTTGAAACCATTTGCATGAATCATGATCAAAATAAAATAAGTAATGTCTTTTTATTCAGGCTGCATCCGGAGGATCTGGTGGACACCGGGTGAGCTTCCCCTATTTCATGGCCTTTAACTCTCTTCTCAACAACATGGAACTTATCAAACGTATCTACCTCAATGCAACAAATGGAAACCGAAACCAAGAAGTGACCAAAGGTATGTTATTGCCCTACATTGGAATACCCTTTGAGTAATCTACTACTTGTTTGAAGATGCACTATGAATTTTTATCTACAGAGGAATTCCTTCATTCGGCTCAAATGATGTCGCAAATCACTCCCCTCGAGGTTGACATTCTCTTTGTCCTTTGCCATCTGCTTCATCAGACAAGGTGAGTTATTATGTCCGCCAGTTTCTTTGTTTTCATCTATTAGATTTCGATGTATTCATGTCATGTGAGCATTCTTTGCTGTCATTTGGAATGCAGCATAGCTGTTCCTCATGAGGATCATCATAGTTGGTTTGGGTTTGTGCTTCTATTATCTTGTGACCAATCCATTGAAAATATAAGTGTCTTATCATATCATATCTTATTAATTCTGCTAAAATAATTTTTTTGTGTTTGTCTCTCCAGCCGTATAGTTTACAGCGACCTTCAGTCAATTGCACCTGAACAATACTTCAAGCAAATCACAAATCGTTTAGCAGAGATCAAGGCTGTTTCAGTAAGTATTTCTAATCTGTTTTCCCATTACAAGTTACCATCACATCTTTTTATATAAATATTTGACCTTTGATATTTAGAGCCCTGAAGAGCGAGGAGCAGTTACCCAAGTTTTGGAGAGTGCCTATCGTTTTACACTGGGATCTATTGCTGGAGGTTTGTCTTGTTTTGCTTTCTTTTGTGCAGTCAACCTAATTTCTGTTTCATATCACTTTTTTCTTCTTTTGATACAGCGGTTGGAGCTACTGCTGTTTACCCTATTGATTTAGTAAAAACTAGAATGCAAAATCAGAGATCAGGTTCTTTTGTTGGGGAGTTGATGTATAGAAACTCAATTGATTGTTTCAAGAAAGTCATACGTCATGAGGGTGTAACTGGACTCTATAGGGGTCTTGTCCCCCAGCTTATGGGAGTGGCTCCAGAAAAAGCTATTAAGCTCACGGTAAGCTGCGCATTAAAAAAAAAATCAGTTTTCTAAATTTTTTTTTCCACTTGTGACAATATTTTTTTTCCAGGTAAATGACTTAGTGCGAGACAAATTCACTGATAAAAAAGGCAACATTCCACTTTGGGGAGAGATTCTGTCAGGTGGTTGTGTAAGTTCCCACCAATACGAATAATTTTAAATTAACATGGCTTTTGAACTGGTAACTTATGTCTTTTATATTTAGGCTGGAGGATCCCAGGTAATTTTCACAAATCCTCTTGAAATTGTGAAAATCCGTCTGCAAGTGGCTGGAGAGATAGCCAATTCAACAAGATTGAGTGCTTGGTCGGTGGTCAGGGAGCTGGGCTTCTTTGGATTATACAAGGTTTGTAAACAAAAATTAATGAAGTGCCTTTCTAATTTTTAAAATATTGTTCTTGGTATTGAGTGTAATCCTTTTATTTTTAGTGCATCAAAGCTAAGTCTTGTTTTTCTTTTACGTAGGGTTCTAAAGCATGTTTTTTGAGAGACATCCCATTCAGTGCTATCTACTTCCCTGCTTATGCACATGTTAAAGCCAAGCTTGCTGATGAAAATGGTTACAACCACCCCCTCACTCTACTTCTTGCTGGTGCTATAGCAGGCATACCTGCAGCATCTCTTGTTACACCAGCTGATGTCATAAAAACTCGTCTCCAGGTATTGTAATTATTTTGTAAGGTGCTTATTTATTATTATTTACCTTTAGTGCTTTGGCACATGCCTCACATTGCACAATGTTAACAGGTGGTGGCGAGGCAGGGCCAGACCACTTACAATGGTGTGATTGATGCATTTGGCAAAATCATGAAAGAAGAAGGCCCTAGAGCTTTCTGGAAGGGATCAGTGGGTGAGTTTAGATGGAATATTTACAGCTGTCTGTCATTCGTTATGTTTTAAGAGCAGAACTCATCTATATTGTTGTTCTATCCTCAGCACGAGTGTGTCGTTCATCCCCTCAGTTTGGTGTGACATTGCTCACCTATGAAATTCTCCAAAGATTATTCTATGTTGATTTTGGTGGCACGTAAGTATTTTTTAACTGATATCCTTAATAATGTTTCTAGATCAAAAACCCTTTGTCTTAATAAAAGTAATTAAATGCAATTTTTTATTCTTTCCAGGCGACCTGCTGGCTCTGAACTCAATGTGCCTGCCGTAGGAATTGCAGATGAAGTTAAATCAACTAATCCTGACCATGTTGGAGGATATCAAGTTGCTCTCCCAATATTCCAGGGCATTGAGAGCAAGTTTGGCCTTTGTTTACCAAAGTTCCGAACGGGTTACATCCCTGTTAAACCATCTTCATAGTTTCTTTAATGTTAATGTGCCACTGGATATTTATAAAGTGAGGCCAAAATTTTAAAGCTTTGAAGGTTGTGATGTTGCCCACTGTTTAAGCCTGTGATGCAGGGTATTGTTTTGCTTTGGAGAGAAATGAACGAGTAATTTACAAAACTGCTGATAAAGGAAAAAAGTGTATTTGACATCAGTCTGTGTGCCTGTTTAAGTATTCCTAATCTCACTATACAGAGTCATAGGTGAATTGTATTTTCTTCCCCTTTCTCATTTTTTATGATCAAGCAATATCCTGTTAATACTATGTCATTGTTTGCATTCTGTATGAACAAAGTGACTCCTTGTATATCATGTCTGTTAAAGTTACATTTAAAAAGTTTATATGAAAAACACAACAAACAATGATGTTTGGAAAAAAAAGTGAAACCAGGTTCCTTAAAGGATATTATCGATTCTTGTTGAATTATTTGTTTTTAATGTATTGGTTACATGTATTTGCACCAATGGTCGTGCTACAATGCCCATTTCACCTTAAAGTGTGAATAATCTTTATTTTGTTTCTCTTAAGTTCAGATGTCCGTACCATGTCAAATTTTTACTTATCTTTCTTACAAATACTGCTCTTTCGATAAAGATGCACTGACCCAAGTAAAATTTAAGTATTGTGGTGATTATTTGCTACAATATGATTGTTTTGTATTTTGTAATCTAGTTTGTAATTCATCTCCAGAAACATTTGAGATTTGTTGTTCTTTGTTAGAATTCATATTGCTGTAGGCATTTCGTCCAATGCAATGAGCCTTGCATATAAATAAAAAGGCCGCCAAATTGTAATTTTACCAAATTGTAATTTTACCAAATTACAATATTTTATAATTAGCTACATAATATTGTGGGATGGTAGTCTTTTCAAGTGGAGCTATTGTGTTCCTATTTTTAACACAACAATTTATTTATAGGGATAAACTGTATCTGGGCCTCAGGATGTAATGCCATTTACCTCAGGGTTTTATCAGTCACATTAGTGTAGCTAGTAAGTCCTGTTCTTTGTGATATTTCATACTTTTTTTTTTTTTTACCGGAGGATGGATTTTTGACAGATATAATTGTGATTTACTAGTTCTTGTGGGGAGTTTGAACATGTTCCATCGCAAGTTTGCTGTAATGTGGTAAAAAGAGTGAAAATCACTGAGGTTCAGGGACCTAGGAACCTTTCATCCATTGCTTTTGTCAGTCACATCTTCCTCTTTTTAAACTTTGATGGCAAAGGAAACTCACCGGCTTCTTTATGCTTCACATGTTCTTGGCCATTGACAAAAATTCATTCAATTGACTTGTAGTGTGAAGAGAGAGTTGTTGAAGTTGAAATACTCAAGTATCTTTCGTTTCATAATGTTTGGAGATTCTATTATTTTCTTGTTATTTATTATTTCTGACTGTGTTAAATGTTGGATTATCTGGATTGGAAGTGATTGGGTTCTATGCATTTGAAAATATTCCTTAGAATGTTATTACATTTGCAAGTGTGCGCCTGTTCTCCAAGTATATTGCATTTCAGAAAAATTCTCTGCAGCTGCTTCTTAATTTTGTTACATGAGGTCGTAATTATTTTTGTCTTGTTGAGATGCATGACCCCATGATTGTACAATGCACTGCACTCCTCAGCCATTGCTATTCAAGCAAATATTGAGATTCTCATTTTGCATTGTTGTCCCATTTACTTAAGTTACCTATCTGTGCAGATTTTTCTGACATGGTATTGTACTTGGCTCTTCATGTTTCTATTGTCTGTATTGATGTAGGCTTTGCTCCTTCATACAACCCAAGGAAGATATTCTACATTATTTTTTCAGTTTATTTTCTGATAGTAAATTTATTGCTTCTGATTTTTATATTTTTGAATACCTGTCACAATTTCACATCATTATTCCATATCAGCATAAACATCTTAGGGGAGAAGCTAACAGAACACAGTAACAGCTAAATAAATTTCATACTTTTTTTATTCCAACCCACTTAAACAGAAACAGGACAAATTTACTCTTTCATTGCATGTTATACCTCAGAGGACTTGCACAGTTGCTAGCACAACCATTCTAGACAAAGACGTCCTAAACCAATAGTTCTGACCTAAAGATTTATTAACGTAAGTATGTAACTAGATCTACCTTCAGCGTTTTGCTACCTAAGATGTTCATTAAACCGTCCTCAATATATAACTCTTGCCAGACACAAAAAACTCTTTATAAAATTCATTTTTCCAAAATAACTGCCTTTGTTGTCTGTCTTCATGATGCAAAGGCTTCTCATTCATTCAGAACAGAGAATTATGACTAGAAACACAAACATGCATTAGGAAAACACAAACATAGAGCGGTTACTTTCTGTAAAGGTTTGACAGGATAGAGAGAGACATATTGCATCATTTGAAACATTTAATTTATAATTTGTACAAATTGAAATGGGTTCATAAATCTTGTCCAACAATAACAAGCAACTAAAGTGAAGATTGAGTGAAATCTTGCTGTATCAATAAGGTGAATCCTTGTGGTCGCTAAATGACGTAATCTACTAAAAAAGCAATATTTCACGTCTGTTTTGAGATGGCACAAAATCATCATGATCATATGAAAACTGAGTCGATGGTACTAACAGCGTAGAGGAGTTTCATAACTTTGCTCTCAAATACTACTTGCTACAAAATTAAACTACTTACCCAAATCAAGAACAAAGTTAATGAGGACTGAACCTTTAGGCATCTGATGAAGGGAATGGGCTAATAAATGCATAAGGTGGCAAATGGCTGAGGGCATATGCTGAACAAAATGATATTCTAGAACAGAACTTCGACTAGTCGGGAGGCCCCACTGCAAGAAATTAGGTTTGATAACATGCCTAATGCTCTGATAACATTTTTACAAGTATCAATTACATGCCAAAGCCAAGAACACAACCAAATGCCAAATATATGCTAAATGTAAATGAACAGGAAATATACAAATACATTTGCTTCTTCAACCAACCATGAGACCACAGCCAAGCTTGAACTGGCTATTGTTGTGATTGAGCATACCACTTAGTGCAAAAGAAAATGGTAGTGGCATCAACTTCTTCTCAATAACACCTCCAATAGTCCAATTGCTGTCGACCATGCCTGAAATATTGAAAAATAATTTTACAGAAGAACCAGAACTATGATACAATCAAATGATACAGCAAAGAACAGAATAATAATAATATAATTTTAAATAAGATATTGTAGCTGTACCTTTAAATGACAAATCAGCTTTAGGTACATCAATTTGGTACCCAATGGATGCTGTGGACTCCATCATTCGGAAATTTGTGTCAAACTCAACTCCAAGAGCAAGCTGTTCACTGGCTTTCTGGTAGTAACACACATGCAAGGCTGAAGTACCAGCAGTGCCACTTACAATAAAGTCTTTCCCTGGAATTGCAGCAGGCATAAGATCATCATCTATCAATCAATCAATTCAAAAACATTTTATCACCAAATAACGAAAATAATATATATTAATACCTGAGTATCTTCCAGCTACAGACAGAACAGCAATCTCACCACCTGGCACTTGAGGACCATACTGGTAAGCCAATTCAGCACCTAAATCTGCATTCTTTGACACAGATTGCAGATAATGACCAACAAGGACACCTAATACAAACAAACATCAAATGGTTAAGGTAGGATTATAAACACGTAAAGAAAAGGTTTGTAGTATTCAGCCTTACCTGATTCATTAATGATATCTGGGTTGGCAGCAGTTGCTGTGAATGTGTAATCGGATCCCTTATAGTCAGCAGTCATCTGGACTGCATTAAACTTACTTTTCTTGACCTAGAATTTTTTTTCCAAATGAGTTTTGTTAATTCTATTTATAGATAGGACAAACCTCCGAAAATAAGCTAACTTACCTGTGTAGCAAATTTAGTTTTGAGTTTAGGAGTGAATTGATGAATAATATTGGCATTTAGGTCTCCACTGGGATCAATGTCCCCCAATAAAATAGGAAAAGCTTCATTTGACGTAAATTGTTTGGTGCCCACATATGTTGCACCAAAACGATACCCTGAGGGAGTTTCTGAACTCAAGTTAATGGTGTGGGAGACTTGGAAGTGATTACTAAGTCCCTTGTTCACCATCAATTTAGCTCCTTCAAAATTAGTGGGAAAAACATCTGAAACACATGGAAATGATAGTGGCAATTAGCAACATTCAATGTAACACAAATAAGGCCGTTGAACAGCTGACTTCATTCATTCATCCAATGTTGTGGACATAATGCTCGCTACAGAAAGAGAAACTGTGCAAAATATCCGTATGAAATTTTATTAAACGATTCTGTGAAGTAATTTTGACGCGAAGACAAAGCGATTATTTAGAATGAGATAAGATGTAAGATGCATACATTCCAGAGTTCGCTTAACCTCAACCTCGGAGGGATCTAAGCATTGTCAACATACCTTTGCACTGCTTGTGGAGGTCCTCCATCGTTCCAGGATTTCTCCCTGACGAAGTGTCTTGCAAAAGGGGTACTGGGGATTGGAAATTGGCATTTTCCGATTTTTCAGGTTCTGTGGAAGGAGGAGGAGGCATGCCCGGAGGCGGCGGCGGCATGGTGGGGGGAGGGGGTGCACTGGCTGCTTGAACGTTTCCCATCGCGGCAGGTCGTGATATCAACTCTTTCTGCACACAATATATCACTTAGCCACGTCCGGTACCGGTACGAACACGTCTTGAAGATGTTCCTTTTTCAGTTGAGACCTAAACGCGGAAATAAGGTATCATTCCGAGGGGTCCATGCTTACACCAGGTTCTCGTCCGTAAACCAAATGACGAACGCCGAGGTTGAGTGCAATATGAAAAATTTCTCGAGAACCATAAAATTTTTCATACGAGTAGCAAGTTGTGAGCTGTGATTGGCTGGCGTCGGTGTGTTGGGGTGGTGTAAAAATCAACACTAAGTCGACTCCTGCAGGCCAATTCTCTACCTTCGTTTGTGACTATTCATGTACGTTTTCTGGTCTTTTTCGCTCTCGTGTGGCACAGGATGCTGTTAGTGTGACAAGGAAGATAATAATGAGTTTGAATTGACGAACCTGGCTATTTTCAGGTGATAGCCTGACCTTGGTGTAGTAGGCCTAACCTAAATTTCATTCATTCCCATTGAAGTTTGTTTTCATTGCTAAACTCGCATTATATCTCTAATCAATTATGCCTTTATGTGTTGGCCTTCGTATATATTGTCAATTTATTTCCTTTGTTTTTCTTGTCATTGCAGGTATTATCCAACAGTGCGTTGGACTGCTCTGCACCTATAGTCCTATTGAGTATTTCTCACAGTACTTCAACTCACAGAGATGACATATTTCTGACTGAACCTAAGAGAGTACTGCATCTACCTTCAAAATGGCAGGTGAGTGAGAGCAGCGTTTGGGACACAAGTTTGTAGCAGTACCATGTGTGATATCAATGTTGCTCTCCCATTCAATTTTGGCTGGCTGGCTCCTAAAAGGTATGGCAAGCGCCAAACCATTCTGCCAGCATCACTACCTTCACTAATGTGTCTGCTGGCATGAGTGAGTGCAGTCTGGAGAAGTTCTTTATTGTCTTTTTGGGGGCTTAGGAAATGGTGAAAGCTTCTAAATTGTCAGAAATAGCGGGCATATTTATCACTCTGTTTGCAGATTTCTGCTCAAGCTACAATTGCCTGACTTATTATTATTATTATTTAACTTTAGTGGTTTAGAAGCTATCCCTGGAAAACCCTGTCCAGCCCTACTCCCTGTGCTAACATTTGCAACTGCTAGGAACTGTAGGGACCAGCTAAGGTGGCAATCTTGGTAGCAAAGTTTCGAGCTTGTACAAACCTTCCATTGTGTTGAGATGGACTGTTTCCTTTTTCAGGCCGTAAGCGAGGTCTGAAGATTTTGGTGCCAGCAGAAGAAACAGTTCCTGTGTAAGTCCTTCAAATAATTGAACTGATTGAAATGACTGAACTGAGTATAATAATTTTATTTTATGATAGTTTTTTATGCTCATTTATTCTATTGTTTGCAGAACTCCTCCTCGGAATCTTGATAAAAAGACTACCATAACTATAGGTGACAAAACATTTGTCGTGGAAGCTGATGATTTGGAAAAAATATGTGATCTAGGTCGTGGGGCTTATGGTATTGTTGAAAAGATGCGGCACATACCAAGCCAAACTATCATGGCTGTGAAAGTAAGTCTCACTTTGTTTTTTTTATATTAACAATTAATTTATCACTAGAATTTCGTTCATATTTCTCTTCCTATATTCCTTATATTTGGAATTACTTAATTTCTCTGGTGGTAGCAGTTGCATTTACAACGACAGGTGCATATCTGTTTTAAAAATGATAAATTTATTCTTTCTTCATTCATTTATTAATGCAGACTCTCTCAATCTTTTCTTTTGGGCTGTGGTTGCTCTTAAAAGAATATTTATCATACATTCTGGTTTGTTATGCTGCTAGAGGATATCAGCTACATTAAGTATGCAGGAACAACATGAATTATTAGTTAACTTTGAGAACCTGCTGCATTCGGCGGGGGACTGCAAGAGCTCGGTAAATTTGCATGGCAAAGATTCAGATTGCATCCAGTAAAGAGCAGCTTAAGCTTCTCCACTGCTCTGTACCATAATAATCAGTAATACAACTCCATTAGAACTGAAAGCGATTGACTTGGTGTCATTAGTGTCTATAAAAGTGTTGAAGAGTTGAGAGTTGAGCATCCCAACTGTTGAAGCATGTTAACTTTTAGAAGATTGTCTGATAGTTTTATATATGAAGCCAGGACTCTTCTACAGCAGCTTCCTAGAAGTATTGCTATGTGTTTTATATTTTTGTCTTCCAATGCATTTGCCTTGTGTTGTCCCAGTACAGTTTCTCTGAGTTGTTATGCTAATATACCATAATAATTGTTGTTGCACTCTGCTGTGCTGGCACTGTATTTGACTGTCATCACTTCCCAATTTTTCTTTTAGGTATTCTGTAATTTTAGCCTTAATATTTTCCTGTGCATACCATTGTGTATTATTAGGTATTTCATTTTTGTTAATGCCCCTTTTTTATACATTATCCTTTAGGTAGCTTTTATTTTGTATCTATGTGTTGTTATGCTAGGTTTTGATTTTATTTAAGTTATTATTAAATAAAAAGTAGTCTCTTTGTTGGTAACTTGCACTTTGGTTTTAGCTTTCTGCAAGTAAAATTCTATTATTTCCTGTTCTTCAAATACCAGTGTAAAAAAATTACAAATTAATTGTTTGTTTCAGCGTATTGCAGCAACTGTCAACACCCAAGAGCAGAAACGCCTTCTCATGGACCTCGATATCTCAATGCGATCTTCAGACTGCCCATATACTGTACAGTTCTATGGAGCCCTGTTTCGTGAGGGTGATGTGTGGATATGCATGGAAGTTATGGACATGAGCCTTGACAAATTTTACACAAGGGCATTTGGTCATCAAAGAAGTATCCCAGAAGATATTTTGGGCAAAATTACAGTTGCTGTAAGATACTTTTGATTCTCAATGAATTATGTGGACTTGGTGTGGTTGGCAGATGTGTAGTTATACTGTCCTTTCTTTATCCAACACCTCAGGTTGTGAACGCCCTTCATTATTTATACTCTCGATTAAGAGTCATTCATCGAGATGTTAAACCCTCCAACATCCTCATCAATAGACGAGGAGAGGTGAAAATGTGTGATTTTGGCATTTCTGGATACCTAGTAGACTCTGTAGCTAAGACAATTGATGCTGGCTGCAAACCATACATGGCTGTAAGTATTTGTCAAACATAATGATGATTTTCATGGTAAAATTGTGTTTTGAGTTTCTAGTATCCATATTTAATGAACTTCCCTTGATCCAGCCTGAACGTATTGATCCATCTGGTAATCCATCACATTATGACATACGGTCTGATGTGTGGAGCTTGGGAATTTCCCTTCTGGAACTTGCAACTGGCAAGTTCCCATATACTACATGGGGCACACCATTTGAACAATTGAAACAGGTTGTAAAGGATGACCCACCCCGACTGCCATCAGGCAGATTTACCTGTGAATTTGAAGACTTTATTGAGCAGTGGTAGGTCAAATGAACTTCGTCCCCTTCATTTCGAGTATGGGTTGTTTTTTTAGCCAATCCTCTTCTTTTCAGTCTGCAGAAAACCTACACTGCTCGGCCCAACTACAATCAGCTTTTGGAGCATCCATTCTGCAAGACTCATGCTGAACGTGTCACTGATATCTCAACATTTGTTGGAGAAATTTTAGACCTTGAAGACGTTGCCACCTAGATACAGTGCCTGTGTTTGTTGATGTGTGCGCTTTTGTATGTCTGTGTATATATATGTGTGTGTGTGTGTTGCCATTAGAGGGTTTGAGTGTATTTTACTGTTGCCCAGTGAAAAGTAGCCTATGGGGAAGGCATAGATCAACCAAGTCCCAGCCATTTTCACATCAAACATGTGCTTATGGTAATGTGGTTGAAAAGTTTAAGTAATTGTTTCTTTTCTTTTTTTTATGTTGTTGTATTCTAAAATTTTGAAAGTTTTAATTTTTGTTTTTCTGTCTCCCAAACATCACTGGAAAGATCAAGAATTTAAAGTACCTGAAATGTGCAAGTTTTGAGGGCCAGTTATGTTAGTTCAAACATTTAATGCAGGTTTCCCTTCCCATCGTTTTAATGTTGCATATTTTGCTTGCTTAAATCATGTGTTATCGGTGATCATCAACAGACAGCTGCAGAAAACTAACGTCAAAGGATTATAAGTTAATTTAGAATAAAATGTATCCGGTTTTACTTCAAACATGTATACATTTCTCAAATATATCTTCTTTTAGCCATAAAATTCTTTCATTTTCCAAAACTAATAGGCATTTTTGACTATGGTAGAAGTTGAACTAGTAGAATAGCTGTGTGAATACTCAACTAATTTTCATGACTAACCTCTGCTGATTTGCTTCTGTCTGAAAATCCACTCCTTTTGGTTATCTGTCTTTAGGAACCTCAGTCTCTTTAATAGGATTGTTACATCACTCACATCTCAATGATTAACTTGCTTTGTTTATGCTACCAGTTGGATACATCTCACATCTCTAAAACTATGTCAGATACTGCTTTGGTTAAAACTTTGTGCCTATGACTTTCCTCCTTCAGAGAGGAAATAGATTCTTTACCATGTTCACACTTTTCCTCAATATTTTAACACTACTGGAGAGAGAACTTGACCTTTCTGAGTGCGATGCGATTTCAGTTTTTGTGAAACAGAAGAATTCTTCAAAATCCATTCTTATCAACTTCGTCCTGGTCTTTGTGCCATCTTTTTGTATTTCAATGGCTGATATATTTCACTGAATGGTATCAGATTGTGAAAATTTTTCCTAACGCCTGAAGTCTGGCAACATACAAACTATATAATAGTTTTGGGACACTTTTGTGTTCAGGGAAATTGTAGATTATCACTTTCCTAATTTAAAAGGCATTTATTGGACCAGTTATGTGGTATTTGCGTCTTTGCAAAACATTTAGCTAGGAAACTTGTTGTCTTTTCTTATTGTGTTGCCGTCCCCTTGTTTCAGTTGTAGGTACGGTATACAAAAGTCAGTAACATTCGTTTGACACCTTTCTTAATAATTTCATGGTCTATGATTGAATCTGAAAAATTTCTACATAGTTTTAGATAATGTTGGATAAAACTAATACCCTAACATTGAATACACATTGTTTAGATTTTAACCTAATGAGTATTGTGTCTCCTAGGTAGCAGTTATCAGAAGACGCAACAAAGTACCTAATAAATCCTGGTGGTACAAGACCCCTTCCCCCTCCTTTAAAAAAAAAAAGAAAATTAGAGTTTAAGTCATTAATATTACAATACATCACCGTTTGTGTGCCATGCAAAATATTATGTCTTGTTCCCAGGGATACATTTCATGTGATGTGAAGCTGTTTCTAGGAGAGATTCTCCCAGGTATGTAAGTGGGACTGAATGAATGTACCTTATCCTCAGGGCATTATACCCTGCCACCCACCAAACCGGGTTTGAATGGATAAGTTTTGTGATTCATACATACTGCATTAAGCTAGATTTGCTGATGATGTTAATACAACAAGACTGTTAGCCATCTAAAACTTGTTCTGAAATAAATAAAGCTGTCTATGTATCAACATTTGTCTTGAGTTTTTTTTTCACAGTTGTTGAACAATTCTTAACTTCATTCTATTGTGAGGTTTGTTGGGTGCTGTGAAATATTTCAAAGGATACAACATGTATTGATTTATTAACAAATTTTTATCACAGGAAAGCTAGGCAAGAAGAGAGAGATGAGAAGTGGCCTGATCCAAGGTGCTCATTAACCAGGTACCCATGACAAATACTCCCACCCAGTCGACCCACACTCAGACCCACACCCTTTATGATAACTTACTTGATTAGCATGAATGAGAGCAATTATTTGGAAAAGGAGATTACAAGTGGCAATACATTCTCCTATTGTTATCAAATGGAAAAGAGAGAGAGAGAGAGAAAGAGAAGAAACAAACAGTAATAACAACAAACACTTCCCATAAATGCCTCATAAAATTTTGACACATTTTTGTATGCTTTTAAAATATAGCAGCTCAAATTTGACAACAATAATTTAACAATTATAAAAGTTTGAAATGTAGGAATAGTAGGATAGAAAAAAAAGCAACCACATAAACTCTTCTTTGGCAATGCTGATCTTACATTAGAACAGGAAGACAATGATAAAGAGACAGGAACTTCAATGATTAGTTTTAGATTGTCAAATTCAGGTGTTACCCCCATTAAAAGATCATATTACAGTAGTTGGAAAAAGTGAGGAAATGTCTAAAGGTTCTATGACCCCATAGAAAACTAGCTGTATCACAGAAGTATACTGAAAAATGAATAAGCGTAAAAAGAAATAACATACACATCGGTAGAGCAGTGTCTCCACAAGTCAAATAATAATAAATGGTAACAAAAAATGTGTTAACTATACAGAGTGGGTGGGTATGCAAGAGAGGTATTCAAAAGCTAAACCGACCACGCACTTTAAAAAAGCCTAAAGAATTTCTGTTGTGAATCAATGAGCCAAGAGACAAATAGTTATGGAGCAGAATTGGTTTATGTTGAATAATACTTTTTGTGGGCTTGCCTAGTTTCTCCATAGTAGCCATCAGGCTTTCAGATAAAGTTTCGACATTATAGCTGAAAGGCAGTTCTTTAACTTTCCTTCCCTCAACTTGAATTGATTCTGGACATGAAAAAAAAATAAAGAAAAGTTGTATAAATATGGATCTAACTTCATTATAGCAACATGCGACAAAATAAAAATCATATAGTTACCTTTGTGCCATAATAAAGGATGAGAGGCAAAAGTGAGGTAGGGAATGTCATTGTTGAAAGGATTCCACTTTTTTGAAAATGTAATAGGTTCTCCATTGTTCCACATTACACGCAGTCCTTGCATATTCCGTGGTCTGTCAACAATTAAACATATTGTAAAACTGCGTCCCTATTAAATTAGATGAGAGTTAGTTTAAACAAATTTCCTGAAATGAAAAATAATAGTTAGTAGTTCACAAACAAAGAGGCATGCTGTCTTAACAGTCAATATATAACACACATGAGCCGAGCACAAAGACAACAAACACATCTGTTCTCAAACAGAAATTATTTTTAAGTACATATACTTTCATGTTTGGTTAGTGAGATAAACATATTACAGGAGCCTCAACAAAGGAGATGGGTACCTGGGCTCAAACTGCGAAACATCCAAGGCAGTGTGACATAATTCTGACGGACGGGACCAATGAAGCAGACACCCTTTCACAATGGTGGAGACACCGGATGCCAGACCATTCATACGCCTACAGAGCCATAGATAATTCAACATATAAGGAGTGGAATGTCATGCAAGGAATAACAAGTATGCAAGCCAAACATCACAGTCTACATGCTTTTTTCAGACTTACGGCACAAGTGATGCTGGTGGATAAGCAAGATCTCCTACCACAAGAGTGTCAATCTGCTCTAGTAATGTTCGTCTAACTTCCAGAGGTTTTAATGCAATGAAGTCAAACTTAATGACTAGAAGAGATTTATTAGTCAATAGGACTAGTCTCTCTTTTTCAGCATCCCAGATGTTTATCCTGTCAAGGGACAAAGAGTATGTCAGTGTTGACATAAATGTTCATTATTACAAATATGCAGGAATATCAAAAAGAAATGAAAATGAAAAACAACAACATACTCAGTCATTATCCATGATCCTAAAACTTCACCATCTAAATCTGGCTGTACGAATGCAGAAATACTGTCCTGGACTGCTTGGTCTACCAATCCTTCACGAGAAGAAAATAAATTTTTAATGTGGTCCTCAGACCAAGGCAATGCAGCTACATCTGTTCATGAAAGAAAAACAATTCAAAATTAAATTTTCGCTTCAATTCTGTTGTGGTGTGAAGGTGTTCAAACAAAATGTAAACAATCTGTTCACAGGCATTGGACGATAAAAGAATTGTACATTGAACGAACCTGATTTGATTTCGGATGGTGATACTGGGTCACCATCGTTTACAACAGCATTAGACCAACCTCGCTCGTTCTGGGAAGTCTGCGAGATTGAGACGGACAAAGAGGCAACATCTTCGGCTGCATTTTCTGCTTGTATTTGTAACGTGGCACCTCGAAAACTTGCAATCGGGCCGTCACAATCATCTAGAGACCTGTCTTCCGGATCCATCACCAAAAGACTTGCGACAAAAATCTCAACTACCCTACTTGACTCTAAAAATATCTCAGACTGATTACACGGCGTGTGTAGGGCGTAGCAACAGATATTCCAGCCTCCCGATAAGATAGTTTGTTGTTTGTTGTGCACGTCGCCGTCGTCTGCTGTCGTCTGCTGCTCCTGCCAATAATAGAGATGATTATTTGCAGTCTTCTGTCAAAACGTTGTCGATCTGCCAATAACTGAAACGTGATTACTTGTCTGTTTGTCCGACGTCAACGCGTCGTTCATCTCGAGTCTTTTAGTGTTAAAGATTGAACTATTGCCGCTGCATTAAAGCTTGACTTCAACTTACTTTGATACTATTGTTCCCTTTAAATTAGCCATGTGTGGAGGGTTTACGTGCTCGAAAAGGGCACTTGTTGCCCTTAACATTCTTTACATTGTAAGTTGACCATTTACCGTCCTGTGGGCTTAAAGTTTTCTTTGTCACTGTCATCGACAAGATTTACATCATCAGTTAATAATTCAGTTAAAGATGCGTTCGAGATAACTCTTCCACTTATTTACCGATGTCTTTAGTTTGCCGTTGAAGGTGATAGAAAGTTGAGGTTACGTTGAACATACTCTGGTGTTTTGCTCCAAAGATTGGGTGTGGACCTTGTTTCTTGGTTTTCTGAGGTTGGAGGGTACATATCTAATATAGAGCCCTTTGTGTGAGATGTGTCTAAGGAGCTGGAGCAAAGATAAATCCTTGGAAGGCCTGGTTTAGTGATGTTAAACATTGTATTTCAAGATGAATTGTATATAATATAATTTCTGTTTGTTTTGCAGCTTGTAGCATTTCTTCTGATTGGAGTAGCTTTGTATGGCCGAACATGCGCCCAAGTTGTTGATCTGCCTATTATCGGTGGTATTTTGGCGTGTGGTGTATTCCTAATCTTGATTTCCATACTTGGTCTTATTGGTGCTGTGAAGCATCACCAAGTTGTGCTCTTCTTTGTATCCTTTTATAAAACTTTGAACCAAGCTCATTTTATTTATTTTCTCAAAGTGTATTGATACTCTATGTTGCCTTGGTGGCAGTAGTAGACCTGATCCAGATGCAACACGAAGAGCCAATGGCACTGTCCCTCGACCAATCAAAAAACAATCTTATATTCTTGCCAACGTTATTTCGATAGGCCATTGTCTTATGTTGCGTCCGGATCTGGTCTACTTGATCTACTGCACCATACCACCAAGGTATCATTGAGAGTTAATGCACGTTTACTGTAATATTTTCTCCTTAATAATGATGCAGTACATGGTGATATTGTTCATGCTTTTCCTCGTCCAATTCAGTGTAGCTTGTGCTTGCCTTGCTGTCAACAAGGAACAGCAAAGAAGCTGGGCTAAATCGGTCTGTATTGAGCACCTTTTTTCTTAAATTTAAAAAAAAAAAAATTTCTTTTTTATGATATTGTTTAATATTTATTTTGTTATAGGGATGGGACGGGGTATCTGAAGATTTCAAGAAGAAAGTGGAGGAAACATTTTCTTGTTGTGACTTCGAAAAATCTCTCAATACGACCTCTGCTCCAAAGAATTGCCCTCAGCCCCACATGGTGAAGCTCATAAATTTCTCTATTTACATGTGCCTATTAGATTTTGAGAAATTGAAGTTTCTTTTTTGTAATAATTATGGTCTTTCTTTATAGCAACCATGTATTGACAAACTTCAAACTACTATAGACCACGCATTCAAATTGTGTGGCGGTATTGGACTTTTCTTCAGCTTCACAGAGGTAAATGTTATGTATTATATCAAGCATGCCATGCCTGTATGCATTGCAGGTACTGGTGAGGGAATCCCTTCTTGGCATCTCTGTGCTCTTTGTGTCATGAAGTGTAAAACAAAGAAAACATTGAGGTTTCTGTTCTTTTTGTGTTGGCTTTATCCTAATTTTTATTTTTCGGATGAGAAATGTAACTGAAGTTATCAGAAGGTTAATGCGGTCAATACTCATCAGCTTTTTTTATTGTTTTACTGTACTATAACTGTCCAGGGGCTTGTTTGTGTGGTGTTTTCTAACATGGTGATGGTTTCCTGCTCTGTTAAATGCTACAGTTTGTTGGGGTTTGGTTGACTGTCCGCTATCGCAACCAGAAGGATCCTCGTGCTAATCCCAGTGCTTTCCTTTAAAACGAACCTTCTTCTAAGAGGCCTTGGTGTGTTTGTCCTACGTCTTTACTGAAATATACTAGAATAAATAATTTGAAATTTCCAGTAATAACAGTCTAATTTCATTGATTGATCTCAATTTGTTTTGTGACAGGTAATAGCAGCTTTGGTGGCATGCCGATACCGGAATCAGTTTGATCCATCAGCAAGTTTCTTGTTCCCAAGAAGCAGAATTTACTGATGGGTGTGAAGTTTTAGTTTACTGAATGACTGAAATATTTATTTAGGTTGCTTGTTCATGAGTGAGCATAATCTTGTCATTTCTTTGTAACTGCATTTACAACTGTTTACAACTGTGTGTTGTTGTTTTTTTTAAATCTTAGTTTGCTTGTTTTTTTATTGCTTTGATCAGTTAGATTTCTTTTTCAAAACACCCATTGCCAATAACTAACTAAGGTTTAAAAATTCTTTCCAACCGTATATTTAATGAAATTAATATTCGAACAAAGCCTTAAAATGTTGTTAGGCAGGTTGAAAACATTTTGATTTGCTTACCTGTTGCAACATTGTTTCAATTTTCATTCCAATGAATTTTGGTATGTATCAATCCATTTTGTCTGTTAGGTCATAGTTTGTTTTAAACTTTAAACAAAGCTTCAGGTATTGGCCTGTCATGTTACTCTGGATATCCTAGCAGAAAATGAGTCATTTTGATCTGTTGTGCCAAATAGTGCCAAAAGTATGAGTGGATGATTATGTTCAGCTGTTTTTAAATCAAATTGTGGAAAACATAAACAAAACCTCAAAGGGTTGATAACTGCCATATTCAAACCTTTTTTAATGCAGTAATGTTGGCACAAAACATTAAGAAATTGTGGCTTTTAAGTGATAGCTGCTGACTTAGTAGCCTAGTACCAGCTGCTAACTTAGTGGCCTAGTACCTACAAATAATTATATGAAAAGTATATTTAATTCTTAGCCAAAACTCCTATGCGGATGATCTAATTGTGTATTATTTTTCTGTTTAAGCTGTTTCCCTATCTATATAATTGTAAGCTTATGTTGGAAGTAACCAAACATTTTATTTCATGTGTAGCCTCCATGTAGCTGTTTCGCTAGTATTGAAGTGTAGTTGTAATGGGACCAATATTACTGCATCCTTGAGGTCCATTCCTCATTGCATTAGATACAATAGTATTTAGTTTAGTTCAGAATTTACTGAACTGCTTTTCATTTACTTGTTACACAGGGATTTGTGTACTTATTCCCCTCTGAAAGCTTAGGCTCCCCAAACTCCTTTAAAAAATAAACATTTTATCTTCAGGGAGATTTCCTAGTCAAAGTGGGTGCAACCTTTTCCTTGCCATGTTACTCTCTAAGTATGTGAAGCTTTGCTGCATTCTCATTTTAAATGTATGGTACATGTTAAAAATAGATAATCAGTGTATCTAGATGAAAGAATCAACTATCGAAAATAATTCTGTTCTGCTCTGTACAACTCAGTTCATGTGTTGCAGTGTCTACTTTTAGGTACTTAGCATTGTGAACTTGCTAATCTAGTCATCTATATGGTTTAATTGTATAATTTGAAGAATAAACGGGGTATTTCCTCCTCACATCCTTGTCTGTTCATTTGGGCTCAACTGGTGCCACAGGAAAAGCCATTAACACGACAAAAAAAAGTTAAGTACTTCGGTACTACCAGTTCAAGGCGAGGTCTTATGGGTCTGTGTCGAGCCTGTAAGGAAAAGTGTTCAGTGTTCAGTACTCCTCTGAACAATAGCTCCGCGAAGGTAGGCCACCCATTCAACAGGTTGGCTCGGTTGGTTGGGATGACAACCGTCACATGTCGAATGGGTGGCCTACCTTCCCCACGTCTTCCCTGTGACGTGTTAAAGCGGTGGTGTATCTTCCGGGCGCTGTCGCCCAAAGACATTTCAGGTCACCCGACATCTACCCTGTTTACTGCCATCCAAACCGTGCTGCTGGACAGTGTGATGAACCTCAGAGTGGCACTGTGTTTGCGATGCTCCGCTCAGACACTCTCTCGCGCGGGCAGTATGTCTCTCGACGCTTTTACTAAGCTGTCAGCACAAACCGTTTCCGGTAGCTGATTGAGGCGCAGTTGACCTTGGCCGGCACTCTGAAATTTTTGAGACCTTAGAGTCATCTGGTTTGTTGATTGTGTCTGGACCGATTTTTACCCCTCCTGTCCTTTCTATTCGGACAGGCAGTGTTCGCTCGTTTGAGCTCTCTACTTTCTATGCATTTAAGGGGTCCGAACCCACCCAGTCAAGTCTTTCCAGGTGGTTCCTCAAGGGATCTGGTTGGCGATCGAAAGTTTGGATCCCTCAACGAAAGGCGCCAAAAGCCTTCTCAATCGGATACCTCCTCTGCCTGTCGGGTCGGCGACGTTGCCGAGTAGATCAATTGATAAATTGACTGAGGGCAGGCAGGGGGGCAGGGGTGGGTATAGGAGGAGGAGGTGGGGTAGTTGGGGGTGGGTGGAGCCGTGGTGGAGCAGCAGGGATGCTGAGCAGTCGATCAAGGTCATTGCGGGTCACGGCCACCCCAACAAACCCCAACCCAACCCCCCGAGGAGGGGCGGCCCCCCCACCAAGCTCCAACCAAGACCACCACCGCAACAACCCCAACCCTCAGTACCCCTCCCCCTCCCGTCTGCCCCCTCCCGACGCCGCAGCCCACGCAGCCCGAGGTCGCGTAGCGTGTAGCGTGCGTAGCGTACTATAAAATCACAAAGTCCCCCTCCCCTCCCCCTTCGGTTTCCGACATTCCTTGCCCGTGGCGGCGCAGATGCGTAGCTCCTCCCTCCCCTCCATCCGTCCTCTTCTCCACTCTCTCCAATTAAGGCCATCGCTTAAGTACTCTTTCCCCCTTCAGCCCACCCCCCCCTAGTTTGGGTCGGCCAATAACTTTTACCGTGCGCCGTGGGGAACGACTCTCCTGTCTCCTCCACCACCCCCGGCCGGCCCGCACCCCCCGCAGCGCCCGCACCCCGTCCTCCCTGTCCCGGAGGCAACTCGTTCGCCGCGGAGCCGCGCTACTACTCCTTCCACCTTGAAACTACCGTACCCTTACTCGGGCCCCACCAGGCCCCACCCGGCCCCACATCCCCATCCCCGGGAAAGGGTGGGCAGAGGGGCCGGGCCGGCCGGGCCAGCCAGACGAGGAAGGGGAGGGAAGGGGAGGGGAGGGGAGGGGAGCAGCGGCCGTTCGTGCACAGGCCTTATTCCCCGCCTCTCAGGGTCGGCTCCACGCGCCAGCAGCGCCAGCAGCGCCACATGAATTCTTATTCGCCGGCAGATGTACCCTGCCGCCGCCCTGGGTCCCTACCCTGGCCGCTCCAGCGCGGCTCGCGCGGCTCCAACTTTCTGCCCCTGGCACCGCGCAGCGCCGCGCAGCGCGCACCCATCGGGAGTCGAACCCAGCCAAGCACGGCCGCGGCACGGCGCGCATTGAGTATTGGGCCAGGGGCGGGCACGGGCGGGCACGGGGCGGGCACGGGCACAGGTCCAGGCGGTCGACAAGCCATGGACTAGCCGACCAACACGAACTCACACGGGTTGTCAACCTTGCCTATGCCTCGCGCCTCGCCTGCAGGCCCGGGGGCGGCGGTGAAACTTTGGATGGTTAGTTTGTTCGCCAAAGTCTGACTGGGTGGGGACGCGACGCAGGGTCGCCTCCATGCGTGCGGGCCGCGCCCTGAGAAGTCGGAGAAAATGCCCGTCAGTGTCTAGGACTGCGGGGTTCGGGGGTTCGCGAGCCCACCAGACATGCCTGCAAGCATGCCTGCAGGTGCGACTGGGGGCGTTTCAGGGTGCACGCGCTACGCGCCGCAACGCGCACCAGGTGGCCATTTCACTCCTTGCTTACATTTTCCCCACGCTTCCCGGCGAACGTGCTGGTCGTGCCCCTCTTCTCTCTCTGTCTGTCTCTCTCCGGCGTTTGCGGGCTTTGCGAGGCGCCCGAGGCCCGCGCCACGCGCCGCCACGACGCAGTAGACTGACTCCGAACGGTGCCTCGTCGCTGTCTCTCTCGCGCCTCGCCGCGACGCCGCGTGAGTGCGTGCAAGGGAGAGAGGGAGAGAAACAGAGCGCCGAAAGCGCTGTTCGGAATCGCTCTGCAGAGCCCCGCCAAGCCCCGCCAAGCCACGCGCGCCGCGCTAGCCCTCGGCCCTCCCCGCCGGGCTTGCCGGGCTTGCAGGGGCGCCTTCGCTGCGTGACAGCCAAGCCCCTCCCCCTCCCCTCTTCCCCTCCGCCCCCCGCGCTGCTCCAGCCACGGACTACGTACTACGCCGTACGCCGCACGCCGAGAGGCCTCGTCCTGGACACGCGGGCCGAGGCGGGCCCCCGGAGACGACTGAGGCGACCCCCACGGCCTCCGCCGTCCATCCGCGTCCACCGCCCCTGCCCGGCCTGCCCCTCCCCGTCGATGGGGCCGATAGGCGCCGCCGGAGTCCATCGGCTGGACGATGGCTAATTCCACTACACTGCCTTGTCGCTGTCTTGGCTGTCGCTGTCGCCGCCCAGTCACATCATCGTGGGAAGCCGTGTGAGCGCCCGGAGGGAGGGTGGGGGCGGACTCGCGAGGCGGCCCGCGGCTGGGGCTGGGGCTGGGGCCAGGGCCCGCCAGGGCGGTCGGGGCGGCGCGGACTGCGGGTGCAACCGGTGTCCGTGCCGGCCGCGCCGCCGTGCCGCCGTGCCCCGCTACCCGCTGGCTGCGCTGTGCCGGCGGCCGCGGGGGTCGTTGTCTCTGTACTGCTCGGCCAGCAGACTCATTCCGAGAGTCGTTTTCGTCGCTCTGTCTCGCTCGCACTCATGGGCGTCCCATACTAATGCGAGAGAGAGACAGCGACGAAAACGACTCGTCTCAGAGTGCAGCTCGGCCGCCTTGTCCAGCTCGGCGCCCACGGCGAGCTGCGCGGTGCTGCGGCAGTTCAACGGTCCCATGAACCTTTAGTCACTTCCAGTTTCGGCGGCCTGGCTGAAGCTCGTCGCTGCCGGGGTGTTTGCCGCTTGCAGCTTGATGACCGCCGTGTTTGCCAGCTTGTCTCGCTCTGCTGCAGTTGGCTGCGGGGGTGGTTGGAGGGCGGCTGTAGGAAACGGAAGCTGCGGGGCGTTGCCCTGGCGTTGCCTTGGCGTCGCCTGCCAAACGCGTGGAAAACTTTGCCGGCAGTGTACTCCTCTCCTCACGTCGAATTTGTCATAGAGCGCTGGCGGGCGCGGGCGGGGCGTCACGCCGGGGCCGGGTGGCCAAATCTTCCTCTTGGACGTCGCGATGCCCCCGCGGTGCCGCGGTGCCCAAGGACGCCCAGGCCTAACCTAGCCTAACGCGCTTTTCGTCGTTTGGCGCAAGTCCCTGGCGAGCCGCCTTTCTCTCGGCGATTAAATGTCACCGACGAGCCGCGGACAGCAGCGGGCTAATGTATGCCGATGGGACGCGCGGACAGTCGCGGACAGTCGTGGACACGCCGATCAGGCGTCAATCAAATTTACGGCCGCCGTGCCGCCGAGTGACGCGGCGTCAGCGCGTCAGCGCGTCAGCTTGATGACATTCCTCCCCAAGTCTGCGCCTCTCTTCCTCTCCTCTCTTCTTTTTTTTTCGTCTTGCAAATCGTGGCGGTGGAAAAAGACCGGCCGGCGAGCAGGTTTGTGGAATTGGACTGTGCATTAGGCGTTATTGCTAGACTAAAGCAGTGGAAGTCCCTTGGGCGTTTTATTTTTCGCCTCTCTTTTTCCCCGTGGCTCGGCTCGGCAGCGATGCTCCTCGGCGGCCATGCCGGCAGCGTGGCAGCGTCCGCGGATATCTTGAGCGCCACACCTTGCGAAAAGCAACAAGGCCGCGGGGGCCGCGGGGGCGGATGAGTCAGTGGCGGCGATATTGCTCTAATCCTCTCAGACGACCGATTCCAGAAACAAGCTAAAAAAGCGCCAAGTGGAGTGAGCCCGGTGCGGCGGTGATAAGGAAGAAAAAAAGAAGGGAAATAAAGTAAAACATTTTATTTGACAACGAAAAAAAAAGTGACTATGCCCGCGGAGAGACGAAAACGAGTTGACAACAAGACACGGGCATCGACGTATTCCGGGCGGCGAAATGGCGGCCGGCAGACTGATGGGTTCGCGTGTTCGTGCGGGACAGACTCTCGCTCCTCCACGGCCACGGCCAGGCCACGGCCAGGCCACGGCACGCCGCGTGAGTGCGAGGGGGACAGAGCGGTGAGGCCACACTGTTCTCTGCGGGAGGATCGGCCGGTGGGCGGGAAGCGGCTGGAAGGCGTCAGGCCTAACCCTAACCGCCGCGGCCCAAAATACGTTTGCCGATAGAAGTGAGGCCGCGGCCAAAAAACGTTGAGCCAACAGCGGGCCGGGCCGGGCCGGGCCACTGGCAGCGCCAGGCCACCCCCTCAGATAGGGCAGCAGAAGGCGGCAAAGGCGTCCGCCGCGTCCGCAATCCGCAAGGTCTCGCCCCGACTAATGTCTTTGGCACTCTCGGGGCGCGAATCCCGTCGCTGGTGAGCTATCGGTGGCGACGGTTCACACCATTGTGGTTTCCCTGGCCAAAGATAGGTCTGCTCATTATTTCATTCACCCTGCCACA